CCAATGATCTAGCCGAGACACTAGAAGGGGACGGGGCTAATGGCGAGCGTGATTGAGACATTGAACTTTTGGATGACGCCCGAAATGCTCGCGAGGTAGACGGAGTTGCCATAGATGCCGGGGAGAGAATGAGTCAGCATCGACAGCTCTGAACTCACTCGGAAGAGGAAGCCTTACACAGCGAATGGGGCGATACAGACTCCGATCACAAAGGTCAATCGTCGGGCATAGGGCCAATTTCGCGGGTTTTCAGGGTCGTCTAGTTGACTAGATTGTTGTTTTGCCATTGATAGCGCACAGGCCTGGACGGCCGTCAGTTCAGTGATGTACTGGGAATACATATATAAGCCTGTGGTGTGTGGATGAGGGAAGGATGAAATGGATACCTTATTTATGATTGAGCTTTGTATCAATGAGCGGGGCCTCCGAGGCGGCCGAGGTCGGATTTGGCCCGCTAGCGGAGTTGGCTGACAGTGAGCGACCATGAAGCCCACATGTATAAATACCTAGCAGCTGGAGCAGATCGCTTTGAGCCTCATTCAACTAACAGCCATCTCCTTTTTATCTGATCACAATGCTGGAACATGTCCCTCCCATCTACACCTTATGTCCCGTCATACTCTATGTCAGTGCAATCTCCCCGTCTCCCCCTCCAGTATCTCCGTCCCCACAGCCCTAACATGGACCCACATCATAGATCGCCGGGCTGTGTGTCCATCGAATCTACTTCCACCGTCTCCATCAACACCCTGGACCCTTGCTGGCCAAGCTTACGAACTGGTATGCCGCATACTACACGTGGCAGGGTACCATCCATCTCAAACTCCGGGAATGGCATGATGCGTACGGTACGATCCCTGAGGCCAGCATCACCCACAGACACATGCTAACAGAAGCCACAACCTCGACCACAGGCCCGATCGTGCGGTTCGGCCCCAACTCCATCTCCATGAATAGCCCGACGGCAATGGCCCAAATCTATTCCGCTCGAGCCAACGTCCGCAAGGACGATGCGTATTCTGTGATGAGCGCCAGCAGCCACATCCCCAGCACAATCAGCTGCTTGGACAAAGGCCAACATGCAGCCAAACGCCGTATCCTTGCGCAGCTGTTTACCCCCTCAGCGCTGAAGGGCGTCGAGGAGCGCGTTTTGTCGCACATTCGCACCTTCTGCGCCTCGCTCGGGGAGTCCAGCCAGGATGGACGAGCGACGGACATGGCAGTACTGTCGGACTATCTCACCTTCGATATCATCAGCGACCTCTGCTATGGCCAGGCCTTTGGCCTCCTCCAATGCACAGCGCTCCGATATATCCCAAATGTGATCAGCCGCATCAGTCGTCGGAACGCGATCGTAGGTTCTCCCTTCCATGGTCCATGACAAGTGCTTCCAGAGGCGTGCTGGGGGAGAACCCCCAGACCCCCCTTTCCTTTCAGCTTCCCTAACATGCACCAGAACACCGAACCAGAGAGCTGACCGACTCCTGATAAAGTGCTTCATCCAGCCCGCGATCCAAAAATACCGACTCGACCGCCTATTCCTCGCCCCCATCTCGACGCAGATCCGTGCATTCGGCCGCTGGATCCAGCAACAACAAAAAGAGCACCCCCACAAAATAACCCCCGACTTTCGCAGCCACCTCACCACATCCACCATTACCCACTCCGGCCCTGACCCCCGGCCCCTGACCAACAAAGAGGTCTGGATCGAGCTCCTGCAGCTCGTCATCGCCGGCTCCGACACGACGGCCGTGGCCCTCAGCGCGGCCGTCTTCCACTTATGCCACCACGCGGCCGCCCTGGCGCGCGCCACCGCCGAAGTACGCACCCACTTTCCCACTACTGTCGAGGCCATTCGCCCCGGCAGTCCCCAGCTCCGCCGCTGCACCTACCTGCACGCCTGCATCCACGAGTCCCTCCGCCTGGCCCCGCCGGTGACGGGCCTGGCGCCGCGGCGGGTTCTTGAGGGTGGTATCCAGGTCGACGGCGTGTGGCTCCCTGCCGGCATTGTTCTCGGCTGCCCCATCTACGCGGTGCAGCGCGATCGGACCTGTTTCCCTGCGCCGGATCGGTATTTCCCTGGTCGGTGGGAGGGTGTGTTAGATAGTAGTTGTAAGGGGGAGGAGAGTGATGATATGGGCGAGGAAGAGAGGCAACAACAGCGGCAGAAACGGTCTCGGATGCTGTCGGCCTTCTGTCCGTTTAGTGTCGGGCCCCGGGCGTGTGTGGCGCGGCGGTTCGCCATGGACGAGATTACGGTGACTCTGGCAAGGGCTCTGTTTCTGTATGATTTGCGGTTGGCGGGGAGAGAGAATGCGGATACTGGCACTGGTGCTGCAGGTGCGGCGGAATACGCGCTGAAAGGGTGGATGACTTCCGGGCGGGAGGGACCCGTTGTATATGCTTCGCCGAGAGAAGGTTGTTCGCTGTAGGCGTTTTTATTGACATTTTTATTAACACTTACTCATTTTCCGTACTCACTGATGCTCATCTGTGGCTGAAGATAGCGTCAATAACTCTGGATGTTCTTACACAAATGTACTGATGAGGTGCTTTACCCTCTTTTCATGTCACACCTTTCAAATAAGATTTGCGGTTCCAAGATATATGTTAACCTCGGGAATGTTTACACATATTCTATATTTGCTGTCTTTCTTGATATCGCCTACTATGAGTATTAGGCGTAGTAGGTATCAATGACAACTACCTTTCACAATTGTACTGTTAACTCCTGTTTTGCAAACAAAAGAAAAAAGAAAACAAAACCAAAACAGCTAGTGTAGGTAGAATTCAAATGGAAAAGTGCGCCGGTGTACTCCAAGTCGTGCGCAAGGGAATCTTAGCTGGCGTATGTATAGGCTAACATCGATAAGATATAGGGCGGGTCGGACTCTGTCCGCTAGCGCGAGTTTTGTGTCCGGAGTTTAAGGCTCTGCATACCATTGCTATCTCCGCCCACCAGCCCTAAACCCTGCGAGCCGTGCTGATAGTGGAAGAGCAAGAGAGCGATGACGAACAGCATTGTCGTATAAAGGGATGCCATCACCCGGGAAGATCAGCATCAGCTCGCTGCTATTACATTGAAACCAGACAGTCCGGTCTAATATCTCGTTGAGTGTGAAAAGCAAAAATGACGGTAGAACAAGTCCAACTCATCTACGGCGGGGGCTCCTTCATCAGCGAGGTCAGCAACCCCTCTCTCTCCGACGTGCAGGCCACGTTGAACCAACTGCATTCTCACGGTATCCGGGCGATCGACACGGCGCCCATCTACGACCGCTCCGAAGAGCTCCTGGGCCAGGCCCATGCCGCGGACCGGTTCGCCCTGGCCACCAAGTTCCCCGGCGGGTTCCTGCCCGAGCCGGCCACCGAAGAAGTCCTCCTCGCTGCGGCCGAAGAGAGTCTCCGGAAGCTGCAGACCGATCAAGTAAGTCCTCCCTCTCCGTCCTCTGCATCCTTAGCCCGTTGAGGTAGAGACCCGCAGACAGACATGTTGAACTAAGATAACCTCCCTCAGATTGACATCTACTACCTCCACGCGCCGGACCGCCGCGCCCCGCTGGCGCCCCTCCTCGAGGCCATCACGCACCTCCACCGCACCAACCGGATCCGTCGCTTCGGGCTCTCCAACTTCCTCCCCGCTGAGGTCGACGAGGTCGTCCGCCTCGTCCAGGCAAACGACTACCTCCGCCCCACCGTCTACCAGGGGAACTACTCGGCCATCGCGCGCGGGGCCGAGACGACGGGACTCCTGGACACTCTCCGCCGGCACGGGATCGCGTTCTACGCGTACTCGCCTATCGCGGGCGGGCTGCTGGCGAAGGAGGTGGAGCAGTTGCAACCACAATCACCACAAATAGCAGCAGCAGGTTCATCCACTGAAAAGAATAGTGGTCGTGGTAGTGGTAGTGGTAGTGGAAGTGAGAGTGTCACGAACCGGGGAAGATGGGACCCCGCGACCACGCTGGGCGGGTTCTACCACGCGCTGTACAACACGCCCGTCATGCGGGAGGGCCTACGGCTGTGGGGCGCGATTGCGCGAGAGGCCGGCCTGCCTCCGGCGGAGTTGGCGTACCGGTGGGTGGTGTACCACTCGGCCTTGCGCGGGGCGCACGGGGATGCGATCCTCGTCGGGGCCCGGAACAGCGGGCAGCTGGAGCAGACGCTGGCGGCGCTGCGGCGGGGGCCGTTGTCTGATGTGGTGGCGGCGCGGGTGGACGGCGTCTGGTCCGTCGTGGCGGAGGCGGCGCCGCTTGATAATTATAATAATGCGGTGGTGCGGGGGATGTTTGGAATCGGAAAGGAGGAGTAGATTATTGGACAAGAAAGACAGAGTCTGCCTATCGACCTATGTATGTGTTTCTTCTCGAATGATAGAGTTTCACTCGATTTCCGCACAACTCTGGCGAAAGGATGTAAATATTGGGCTGAAGCAACCGTTTGACCTAGGACAGCAAGCTATCTGTACTGATTTACAAACGCCTAGTTTCCCTAGTATATCTATACTGGGTGGTATTACAGTCCGAACTCTTTACCTAGCTTATATAGCTATCATATACAACATTAACTAGGGTATTCCGGAATTCTGATAAAATAGTAATCTGAGATAAACATTGGTCCAATCCTATATAGCCCTGATAATCTTAACATGCCTTCAAATTATACACTTTTTAAAACTGAGCAGTTAAGAAGATTAGTACTAGAAGTCGTAAAAACTAAAATAAGAGAAGCAGAGAAAAGTACCTAGTCAAATACAATATTAGTAGCACCAGAATTCAGAACAAATTGGTACAGATCGGCCAACTACAGTTAGGTCTATTTACATACTGCGCAAAGAACATACAACAAAGCAAACATTGTCCACACCTGGCGAAATCAACAACTCAACACTTCCATTATAATCATCTAGAAACAGTCTCGAATTGTTGCCGTGCTACTTTGCTTCTCCAGAAGCAGGATCCCCCAAGCGGTCCCAATACACAGCGCCCTCCGATCTCGCCTCAACCGTCCACACCCCCTCCGCCACCCGCCCTATTAAGGGCACGACCCCGACCGCCTCCGCCGCTTGGATCCCCAACGCATGTCCTTGACCATCAACTCGACGGGAACCCGGGGGACTGCGCCGCTTGACGACTGCCCCTTGGCACTGGAAAAGAAAGGAGTATGCTCCTTTTGGCTCTGCCGAACCGCCTCCGCCATGCGCCACATCTGCTCCCCCATGAAAGTCTGCCCGGAAGAAGCCTGGAGAACGGCATACAGCTGGGCGGGATCGACGCCGGCGCGCCCTCCAATAGCCGTGGCCTCGGTGACGGGCAGAACGACGCTGCACACAACATACTTAATGCTGATTTCGGCGGCGAGGCTGGTACCAACCCCACTGCCTTTTTCTTTATCAGTTTTGGGGAATTGGAGAAGGTGAAAGAAGGGGGGTCTGGGAGTTCTCCCCCATTACTGTACGCTATGGGAGGCGGGAGTAACAATTGATAATATCTGTTCATTCTGTCTTATGCTAATATACAAGAGAGTTTCAGCCTTTTTAGTATGTAATACATAGCTGCCGGCTCGCTTGCCCAGTCGGTTCGCTTACCGATTACGGGCTACAGGTGAGTGATTAGATGTGGAGCCCTGGGTCGGCAAGTGCCCGCTAGCTTCAAGGATATGTGGGGTCTGAGACTCCACCACACACAGGAACGTCCAATGCTGTACGGAGTGCTTAACATATAGATTGCGTAGGTGGAGTCTTGCTCTGGATATTCTAGTGTAGCTCCTGCACCCAAAGCCCACCATCACACAGCCGAACAATCCTTCAATCACTCAGATCTAGCATCTCCCTTGGCCCCCAACTGCGCCGCCAACCCTGCCCCCGCAAATGCTCCCGTGGCCATCGCATTTGTCACGGTCTTGCCCAGCGCGACACAATCTCCGGCCGCAAACACCCCCGCTACCGAAGACTGATACAAGGGCTCGGCAGCCTCAATCAGCCCGTGGGGGGTGCGCCGACAGCCCAGCTGCGCCACTAGATGCGCTCCCTGGAGCTCTGTCCTGGGTCGATTGACCACAAACCCCTCCACCACCGGCTCGCCCGTCGCGAACTGCAGGATCACCGTCGAGGCTACTTCGCCCTTAACCATGCGCACAATGCGTCGGGAATCCACCACGAACCTGGCTAGCTCGTCTGGCCGCAAGAGGCCCCGGATATGCTCCTCCAATTCGCCCCCCTCCCCGTTCGTGTAGAGGGTAACCCGCTTGGCCAACCGTGCGGCCAGTCGGGCCATGTGCACCACGGGCCCAGCGGCCAGCAGCTCCCCGGCGCAGAGCACCCCACAGGACTCCGCGCCTCGCTCTTCGTACCCGTGGCAGAAGAGGCAGTGAAAGCTGGACCGTATGATTCACACATTAGCGAAACCTCTTCTCCAGCATTCTTATCCAATTCTCTGCGTCGGTGGGTAAGAGGGGCCAAACGCACATTCCACTCGCCCAGCACTCAGTGTACCCCTCAATCGCGGGCGGGATGTCACGCACCCCCATGGCGAGGAGGACGCTCCGGCCGCGCCAGACGGCTCCGGTGTGGTCGCGAGCGTGGAAGAGCCCCTGCGGGGTCTGCTCGATGCTTTGAATGTTGGCGTCATGGAATTGGATGGTACGATAGCGCGTGAGAAGGTTGGCTTTGGCGTCTGTGAGGAACTGCGCAGGAGGTTGGTGATCCCAGGTGAGCACGGCGTGCAGGTGCGCCGCGGGACGGTTGCGCTGGGACTGCGAGTCGAAGACGACGGCTGTATGGAGGGTGCGGGCCAGGCAGAGCGCCGCGGAGAGACCCGCGGGGCCTGCGCCGATGATGAGGACGTCGTAGAGCATTGTAGATGAAGATTGTGATGGTGGTGGTGGTGGTGGTGGTTGGGGGAGACGGGATCCATGTTCTACTTATGCCCGGGTCTAAGCTCAGTGGGTCGGTTCGATCGGTCAAAGGCCGCTAGAGCAGTTTGTCCTTTCCGAATCGCAGTGGGGGCGTCAATATTAGCCAGAGATGTACGATGTATATTCCGGGACATACCGAGGACAAAGTAGCTGCTTTCGTTGTCTTGATTCTACGGACCTGCCCAGGAACTGTGTATGTATCCGAAAATTTGGAGTTCACCTACAAGCACATCGCAGACAAGACAAATCAACTAGGCCAAACCAGGATCATCGGAGTAGAGAGGCAGACCTGTTAAGCTTGGCAAGAATGGTAGACACCCACATAGAAGACCTGGACAATCTAGTCAGCCATCAGACTTAGTTATTCTTGACATAGGTATAGAGCTCCTTGATGAATTCCATGATTTCCGGGTAGTCTTGATTTTGCGCCCGTGAGGTTATAAATATATTCAACAGAACACAAGCTGTTCTTAGATTATAAATAATACTACTTCTTTAATCGGCTCTGATTGTCTTTAATCTAAGTTATTGGCAATGTGGTAAGTATGAAATGCTGTTTAAACTTTTGTTTATAAAAGCAGAAAATTATTGTAGTAGCTAACAATTACAGAGTATTACTTCTACTTTAAAAAATTGTGAGTGCTGTCAAGCCTATATTTTAATAATTAGAAAGCGAGTTCTTAAGAAGTTAAACTTGTAATATTAATATTTATATTTGAAGTATAATAGTAGTAGTATATTCTGCTTAAGATAAAAAGACTCTGTAATACTGTATTTGTGATGAATATAGTAAGATAAGAAAGAAGTTGAATAAAGAAGTTCAGTAATGTTCGATAAGCAGATATCGCATTTTCTGTCTTCTGCAAATAATGCCTGAAGTGTAGAAAGGATAGTGATTCCTTGGGGCGCTGCTTCCACAGAAACTCTTGAGGGTCATTTCTGGAGATATTCCGAGCCGGACCGCCGCACTGATCCATCAACATTTTTTCCTAAGCTGCAAGGGTGGGGACTGATTCCTTGATAAGGTGTAGTAGATCGGGGTACCACGGTCGATCGGACCATCTCTGGATTCAGGGAGACTCTGGATCCCATTCGGCTTCGAGCCTGAAGTTCCATCTGCGTTGCACGAAAGTTTCAATACTGCCTTCTCTTCTTCTTTCCAAGGCAAAGTCCACAGGGGCCTTGCCACTATGGCTGAAAGTTCTGGCAAGAGCGGAGCCGTTGTTGCTTTGGAGAAGGAGATTGATCATTTTCCTTTGTTGTGCTGTGGTTTCCGTTCTGCACAGCCACATGGAGAGGAATATCTCCAAAGCTGGTCCGACGAGTCAAATCAATATCAGGCAATTCTAAGACCACCAACGGCATCCTGGTTTCGCGGCTGCAATGCGACCATGATGGGGGTTCTATCAGTTCATGCGACTTACACTATAGTCATTTATACTTTCTATCGCGAAGTCAAGCTTGAGCTCATGTTCAACTCTCTTTTGCCAAGACAAATCGATCGCTCCAGCTCCAACTCAATTTCGCAAATCACCAGCTGACCACGATAACCTTATGGTTCACCCGTATTCGCACCCATGGTATCTTCTGTTCTTATTTATGTTTACCTCCATTGAGCCATATCTCTGCACCTTGGTGAAGGGGCTGTGTTTAGGTCGGACGGAAAATTACCTTTGCTCGTGTTGAGATAGCTGCTGGGAGATAGAACCAAAGAATGTTGGTCTCTACACGGAAGGGTTTCCTGCAGATTGCTTGGAGATGACTTCAACGACTGGGCTTCCAGCTGGCCTTCGGTTCTCTGAGCTATCCTCATCAAAGGATCCATGCTTGCCTACAAACTATTTATATTGCCGTCTGCCTCCTGGCCTAAGGACTTCTCCTTGAAGAGCCAATTCTCGAGATCTCAACCTCACAACAACAAGTCCCTTCCCTTCGAGCAGAGATGCATTCCAAGATCGGGGCGATTCTTCTGGTGATCGGTGGCATGATGATGTCTGGTGCTGCAGCACAGTCTGACCAATGCTCCGCCCAACCCTGCTATGAACGCTGTGTCCGAGATAGCTATCAATGCCTGGACGACTGCTGGAACATCGCATCGCAAATCCGAAACAGACGCCAGGCAAATCGGTTCCACGCGAATTGCCAACGGGGATGCGACGATGGAATCTCCAACTGCATCTTCCGACAGTGCGACGTTCAATGCCCGGTCGTCGCGGACAGCGGTGACCCCGACCAATGTCACGAGGGCTGCGAGCGCAACGCACTCCTGGACACGATCCGATGCATCACTACTCGGCCCAATTCCGCGGACCGCGACAGTTGCCTCGGAGCCGCAAACTCCAAGCACCGGGGCTGTCAGGCCGACTGCCCACCCCGTGAGCCGGTCGGCGGCTGCAAGGACGGCTGCATTGCTGATTCGATCGTGGGAGTTGGCCGGTGCGTAGTGGCACCACAGAACCCGGTGAGTCGAGAGCTCTGCAATCGGGCGGTGGAGTCGGAGCGGATAGAATGTGAGGAGAAGTGCGACAAGGCGACTCCCTCGCAAGCCCCCGGCCCGTCGGCCACCACTGCAGCAACCACCACCACCACCCCCACGGTGACCCCTTGTCAGGGGGCGCCACCATGCGGATCCTTGATCACGCCCTGTCTCTGCGACTGTTTCAACGAGTTACATTGTGGAAATAACGCGTGTAACGAGGAGTCGGCTACGTGTGGCGACTCGGACGCCTGTGGCTGGCGCTACAGCGAATGTATCAGTGCGGTCGATGCCAAATTTAATACCTGCAAGGGAAAATGCCCGGCTTCTTGATTCTGCTTTCTGGTGTGGAACATGGATTTCCGCTCGACCTTCACGTCCAAAAGTTAGGCCAATGTGATTAAGCCCCGGAGTCGGCACGAGGTGGATTTTGATATGTGACTGGCAACACAAACATATGCCGACAAGGTGTATCTCTGATTCTATAAGGCTAGCCATCTCATCTCTAGGAAAAGCATTTGATTGTTCTAATTTGTTGCCAAACACGGAACCCGGATTTTCTTCTATCGTTCACGTAGTGCTGTCTTCCCTCCTAGGCAGGGTTAGTCTGCAAGAGCCCTATAAGGTAGATGAGTCCGGGAAGGTGCGACACATGATCCTGATGGGCTACGGCGGGCAGGAGACTGATGACATCGCTCGCCAGGTCGCCAGATTGTCAGATTGCTGCAGGATTCATTGATTTTTATCAGTCAGAAACCCTGTAAGTTTCGATAAAACTCACGTTGCTGAATATACTATAATTTATAATATCTTATCAAGTAATGAATCTGGTAAGATTAATAATCCACTTTAATCTATATTGTGTTTGTTGAATAATATTAATAGCTATCAATGTTCAATAATAGTTATGTATTCAAAATAAATTAGCCGATTAAAGCTTATACTCCACTCAGCCGTATTTAATATATGGCTTGAATACAGCTGAGCGGATGGGAAGCCCTGTGTTCTACATCCTGTGGTCGTATGTACTGAACAGAAGATCGAAGAAATTACAATCATTCGATCTTCTGGGGGCACTGCACCAAACTCTCCAAAACGCAGGGATGTACAGTACGTGGGACCTACTCAATCAAAGCCCCGCGCATCACTCACCCGCCGCTCCTCCGCCCAGGCCGCCAGCGCCGCGTAGTCGCGACACACGCGCTCCGCCCCCCACCCGGTGACGCCGCCGAGCGCGGCATCCACGGGCTCCAGCGTCGCGTCGGCAGCGCACATCAGGCTCTGCCGCAGGTAGTCGAAACAGTGCCGCATGTGTCAGGGGATGTGCTGTTGCTCTTCCTTGTCTTTCTCATTGGCGTTGTGCTGATCGGGGTGGTTCCCACTCAGGACCCCGTAGTAGCTCTGGTGGATCGACCACTGCGCGTTGAGGGTACGGGGGAGATATCAGCGCTTCGGTGGGTTTCGCAAACACGCAGTCAAGGGTACGGAAATGAAGGGGGAGAGAGATTTCATACTAGGCAATGTAACTGGTGGACCACCGAGACCGTGTAATAGATCTGGTCGGTATCGGGCGCAGGGTATCGGACCGTCCCTTGGCCGACTGTGTATCTTCGTTCGTGGTTAGGACGGTTTGGCTTATAGGGCACACAGCCCAGGGAGAGGGGGCAAGATCCTGGGGGAAGCCCTTACGGGGAACGATTGAATCCCATGCGGCTTGGGTGTTGGCATCATCGCGGGGATCAGCCCCAAAGGTGCGGTTGTAGGTGAAGACTTCTTTGTTGGTTCGCAGTGGGATGGAGGCTACAATATGAGTTGAGATCGGAGGGGAGGGAGTTAGTCGTTGCCAATGGCTGGAGAAGGAAGGACAACTCACGATTCGAATATACGCCAGGGCATGGTCTATGATGATCAAGACGGCTCCCAACAAGGCCGCCGATGCCGGCTGAGATGACAATGGTGATCAGCCATACTAACAGATAGCAGCGCTGCTGCACCAGACGAGTGCACAAGCGACCGGGGTCAAAATCGTGGTTTGAGGGTTCATAGCGGGGGCTGAGATTGAACATGGTTGACAGGTGTGTTTAATGGATAAGTACCGGTATGAAGAGTTGATGTACTGTACCCATCCGTCTACTGTACTGTACCGTATCTACTAATCATTCTCAGCTGCCTCGTCAGAAAGCATGTGCTTCAACCAATTAACGTCCAAGTCGCGTTGGCCATGTAGGATGATGCATCTAAGCTTCCGCCCCTACAGCCTCGAGCTCTCGCGGATGCGACATCCTACGTTTGATTTTGTGAATTACATGCATTAGTGCTGCACGTAGTACGTGTCCACGAAAATAGCGAATTCGGTAAGCTTGTCATGCAACCACTCTCACACTACCAAAGCCTGTGCGGGCTGTGACTATAGTACTAGGTATCAAGACTTACTCTCGCTTATTTTGTTGATGCCAGCCATTTCATACTGTTTGGTATGGTATAACGTACAATCCAGCATCGGGTGGGTATAACATTGGAGCTTCGCTACAACTGCCATGTGCATCTTGAACAAGTACGTAGAGCGGAGGGAGACTTTCGGGGACGTCAGGTATAAGAATACAGCTATCTTGCACTGCCATTCAATATGCCAACGATTATCATCCCGATTCAGACTCCACCACCATAGTTCTTCCAGAAAATCTCCTCCCCAGAGACATCCCTTCCAACAGATCGCAAAAATGAAATTGAACCTCCTTCTCTTTCTGGCTGCCGCTGTGAACGCAGTACCTCTCGTTGCGCTTATGTTCTCACCTGGAGTCCCCTATGAAATGGTACTGATTGGATTTCAACAGGCGATGCGGGCCATGCACTCGGTGCTCATACTCATAAGTTCTGCATTTTCGGCATTGCAGGTTTGGTTTTCAGGCATTATGGCTGACATCGACTGGAGGATCCGCGGCGGATGCTGATGAGGCAGTTGCTTACCCAGCTAAGATCGACCAGTCCTGGGTCGATGCGGCATAGATAGATGGGAATGCTTAGGGGGTTCACGCCGTACCGCTAGGGCTTGGGTTGCCTTATATGTATGTAGTGGCGAGTAGAATGAACGATGCTTCACAGATGGTCAGGACGTTTAGTTACTAGGTACTAAGTACTCTTGACCAATGTTAAAAACTCACTTTCTGCCTTTCTACTTCCTACTTCATCCCGCGTAAACACCCGCCGTGAAACTTCGATAGCATAAGTGCGCACGCACTCCAAGTTCTCTCATTATGTCCCCCAAACAGCAAGACTACCACCCGCTTCGACGTAGCTCGACCGACGAGGCCTCCGAAAATGAGGATGAGAACGAGACCAAGCCAGGGACTAACAATCTGGACCCCCCACAATCCGCAAGCCCGACTCTGACGAGCCCACACCGAAGCCCAAGGGCCATCCTCCTCACCGCCCTCTCCTTCGCAGTCCTCCTCCTTTTCTGCACCAACATCACCTTCCTCGTCTACTGGCTGAGGAGTACTAAGCTAACATCGACCCCGTGCGAGCGGGGTTCATACTACGGTGTGTGTCCCGATTCTCGATGTGAATGTAACACCCCCAACAGGAAACCGCGACGCTGACATGCATGTATCATGCAAAGCCAATCTCCACCGAGCCATCCCCCTCCCAATCCAAGAACACAGCGTATTCGTCAGCGAAAACGTCAGCGCGGTCGCGTACCTTTGGGAGGACGAGCTCAGCGGCGACCCGGGCGTGGTGGCGCTGGAGAACGATTTCGTCCGGGAGAAGCATCTCCCCGAGGCGATGCCGTTCCCCTGGGATCCGTCCAAGAGCGTGTATCTGCTCCAGAGATATCATGACCTGCATTGTCTGCGGACGCTCTTCCGCTACGCCTAGACGGCGGACCGCGGCCTCCCGCAACGGATCGCGTTCAGCCACGTCCTGCACTGCCTGGACCAGCTGCGGCAGGATGTGATCTGCAACGCCGACGACACCCCGCGGTACGCGGGCCACCCGCGGCCCCGGGATCCGCCGGGGACGGGGGCAGGGCAGGTCCGTCTGTGTCGCGACTGGGCGCAGCTGGAGCGCTGGGCCCGCGAGCGCACCGCCTGCTTCAAGCATGAGGATGAGGTCCCCGGGCGCATGGTCGATCGGTTCAAGTTCTGCCCGGATGGGAGGGTGTTGTGGCCGGTTGAGTAGGTCACATTACTAAGGTAGTACTAGTACATTTGAATGTATTTGCATTGGGTAGACGCAGTAGGAACCGTCAAAGAAACAAATACATCATATCCACGATCTTGTCCAAGTCATCTGCACGTAGCCAGTCAAGACTCAGGATTCAAGTAACTTCATCGCCTCCACGATCCCATCGCCGCCCTCATCGACGGAATCCCAGACCCCGACCACCGTCAGGCCGGCCGACTCCAGCAGGGCCTGCCACTGCGGGCGAGTGCGCTCGATCCCCGAGTTGAACGCCATCATCGTCATATCAAACTGGGCCTGGAATTGAGCGGCCTTTTCGTCTGCGACGATGATCTCGTGCACGAGCAGCTTCGAGAACCCCGGGGTCATGGCCGCGGCCACCTTGTCCAAAATCCGGCGGCAGTAAGGGTCGGACCAATCGTGGAGGATATGGTGGTAGAAGTAGACGCGGGCGCCGACCACCGGCTGCGCGGTGAAGAAATCATATGAAACCTTCTCAATGGCACGATCGACATCCAACTCACTCAACCCATCAATGACCGCGGGCAGATCCTCCAGCACCAGTCGCCCCCGGGCCTGGGGGAACCTGGCCCGGAAGGCCAGCAGGTCATGTCCCTTGCCCGCGCTGACATCCACCAGCAACGTCTGGCTTTTGTCAGCCGCACAGCCATCCAGGATCCGGTCCTGCACGGGGTACCAATCGACCCAGTACTTCCGGGCGCCCATGGTGTTGCCCATGAAGGTGTTGAAGTCGCGGAGGAGGGCCGGGTCGCCGGCGATGCGGTCGAAGGTCGTCTGCTTCGTGCCGAAGGCGTACTGCATCAGCCCGTCGGTCGGGTCGAAGGGGCAGGTGTATCCGCGCGCGTGGAAGTAGGCCGGCGCGCTCTGCATGGCGGGCACGATCAGCCGCGAGACCATGCGGTGGCCCGCCGCGATCTCCTCCGTCGCCATGGTGTGCGTGATGCGGCTGGCGGTCCAGGTCTGCGGCGCGACTTCGCGGACGAAGTGGACGGCCGAGAGGAGGCGGAGGAGGCGGACTGAGAGGTTGAGGGCTAAGTTTTTGTTGGATATAAGGGGGGAGGGGGAGTTTTGCCCTACCGATCAACAGTTCTTCCGCACCGGAAAGCACGGCCAGTCTCGCGGCGGTGATGGGTTCGTTCGCCTGGACGATGTGCGCGAAGAGATTCAGGTCCACGGCGATGCGAGCGCTGGTGGCGACCATGGGCTGTGGAGTTTTGCGTTCAGCAATCGGCAAAAATATAAGAGGGTCATAGACGTACCGCAAAGGCCATGTCCACGGCGATGTTCTCGGGCTGTTCCAGTTCCACGGTGAGGGATTTGCTGAGCTGCAGGCACTGTTTGCGGGCGTCGAGATCATTAGGGTTGCTGAGCCTCGATGCGAGGGCTTGCAGCTGGGAGATGAGACTTAGGGATTCCTCGTTCGCGGTGTGGCCGTTTGTAGAAGGCATGATTGTTTTCCAGACGGGTTACAATCGAGATAGCCAGAGAAAGAGAGTAGGAGTAGTGGTAGTGGTGGTAGTGGTGGGTTTATTATGAATTCTTGATGTCACATTGCAAGATTCTCTTGCGATCCGGGGTCTCAAAGGGGATGATATAAGGTGAGCCATCTGGAAAAGGTGAAGTGGGAATCTTGAAGTCCAAGTCTGGAAATCTAGTAAGTACTAACTTATCATTCACTGTCCGAGTTTATTCTTATCAGTCCGACATTGTCATTGGATCCCTTCCACGCATGTCTGCTTTGTTCCAAGCTAGCATTCACTTTTCTTTGTCTCTAGGGTCGGAAAGCTTTTTGGGGGCGGGAATAATCCCTTCTTTCCAGAAGATAGACATTCTATGTGTATCTCAGACACTGGTACCTTTCGAGTTACTGTCCAGTGGTGCTAGTCGAACTTTGATTCCCAGGTAAAGATGGTGATTTTCACGTGTTTAGACTGTAGTATGGACGGTGTATATCTGTCGCACTCCATAACTTAACAAGTCAAGCTTATTTAAGCATGTCCTGTGTAAGCCCCAAAATTACAGACAATTTGCTTATATGTCATCTAGTCATCTAGTAACTAGCAGGGATCGGGCACCAGCTGGCGATGTGGACAGCGTCCCTAATACTACGTTGGGAATAGAGCCCTAAAACCACGGGTCGTTTCCTGATTCATCCGAGGGGATCTTCCGATAGGTGCAGACCCCTGCATATCACCCAAGGCTGGCTCCAATGTCAGATTTTGGTCTGGAGTCAAACCAACATGTAATGGCTTGCGCGGCCCGCCCTTATCTCGCATTCTTTGTTGTTCGGACATTGCCTGTACTAAAACATGAGCATCCCCGACCCCTGCCAGCGCCTGGTTGCCTACTCGAGGTCGGTCAGACACCCTTTCACTCATTTTCATAGGTTAGATAATTTTAATCCATTAGACGATTGTAACCTCAATTTAGTACAAGATCATGGGGACTCCAAGCCGCCTTTCCCATTATTCACACCTCTCCCTCACACCCTTACAGTGAGAATTCTCGCCTCACCGAGCTCGCTACACATTAGCCTCTGTAAATTCATGGCGCAATTTTGCACGAAAGACCAGCACAGAGAGAAAGATGGTCTCCGACAACAAACCAACGATGTTGGGGAGGAATCATCATCATCCTCCTCCGCCCCCACCGAAGACTGGTTTGCATGGCTGCAAGTCCTGGGAGCCTTCTGCATGGTAAGCTTACCCACATTCAGATCAGGGTGATGTACTAACCAATCAAATCTCTCCAGGGAACTTATGAACGCCTTCGGGGTCTTCCAGACATTTTACGAACTGGATCTCCTCGCCTCCAAATCCTCCTCGGACATCTCATGGATTGGATCCACGCAAGCCTTCCTCATGTTCATTGTCTCGGCGATTGTAGGGCCGATCGTCGACGCAGGTTACGTGCGGTCGTTGCTGGTGCTGGGGGCCTTGCTCACCGTGCTGGGGATATGTATGACGAGCCTGTGCACGGCATACTGGCAGGTGTTTCTGGCGCAGGCGCTGACCATGGGGCTGGGGTTCGGGTGCCTGTACGTGCCGGCGCCGACGATCGTCTCTCAGTACTTCTACGCCCGCACTGCGCTGGCGATGGGGGCCTCCTCCGCGGGCACGGCCATCGGAGGCGTCATCTACCCGATCATCTTCACCCGCCTTCAACCCCGCATCGGCTTCGGCTGGACCACTCGAGTCCTTGCCCTCATCGTCCTGGTAACAATGCTCCTGCCGGTGGTCCTGATGCGCTCGCGAGCGCCGCCGACCAGACAGCAGCGCCGGTTGACGTGGAACAGTTCTACAAAAACATTGGAAACGCGGGGCTTATCTACGGGGAAATGTTTCAATGTGTCAGAAATCTCTGGCGGCGTGGAAATGAAATCTTTGCTCGTGTGGAACTCCCTGCCGCCATTTCGCATGAGACAGCCCGTTTCCGTTTCCACCCAGCCCTCCTGGATGCCAGTTTTCACATCGTTAACGCCTATGTGCAGCACAACATTGGTGTCAGCGCTGTATATCTCCCCTACACACTGGAAGCCGTCGAGGTTCTTGACTCACGCGGTATCTCGTCAGTTTGGTCCAACGTGAAAGTGAAGAGTCAAACCGATGACACCTTGAATGTCGATATTTTAGTCTATTCCGAGGACGGTCGACTGCTTGTTTCTGCCAAGAGCCTCGTCATCAAGCGGCTGGGTTCCACAAAGACTATTCGATCCCTAGAGCATGAGATAGCTTTCGAACATGCGCCGAATGGGACAGAATATGATGACCGAGTTCCCCGGAGTTTGACGAATATTATCTCCATCGATCTCGGCCTAGCCGCTGATATTGATGATGCCGGTCTCTTCCAGAATGCCTTTCCTACAGTCCCTATCCACCGGAGCTCACTCGAAGAAGCCGCTGGCGACTTCGATTCTGCCAAATTTGGGTTCCGGCTGGACCGCAGAGTAATGATCTACATACCTGCTGTGATGAACATGGCTTCTCCCCATATTGAAAATCATATCGAGTCGGTTTATAGCGCTCTTAGTAGGGTTGCAAACTGGCTACAACACGATACTGGAAGCTCGACAGTACTCGTTCTCACCAGAGGCGGCTGCTTGACCTCGGCAGACACTCAATGCGACCCTGCCTCTGCCAGCGTTCAGGCCGCGGTTCGTGTGATGAGAAACGAGCTGCCGCGGATATCCGTACAGCTGCTCGATCTCCCCTTGCGCGGCTCTTGGAAATCCCTGCCCTCGCTCGACGAAGTATTGGGAAATACCCGAATCAGTCGGCACGACTGCGTGGTAGCTGTTCGTCCTTCCGGTTGTTATTATCCCCAGGTCACGACAGTCGATAGCGAGTCTGAAGACCGGTGGTCTAAGCCGGTCCCGCAAGAGGAGGAAGGTACTATGGCAAGCCCGTCCACGGTGGTTCCTTCGGCGAGATTTCCATTCATGATCTAGAACCCATTGCGCTGGGCCCCGGAGACGTGGCTATCGAAGTTCACGCGACGGGACTGAATTACAACGATGTCATCACGTCCATGGGGATGCAGTCCGATCAGGCTACGCCTGACGCGCTGAGTGGCGACAATCTGGGAATGGAAATCGCTGGCGTGGTGACGCGAGTGGGAGCCAATGTGAGCGGCATTGATGTCGGGGCCCGGGTGATGGCTCGAGTCACCAAGGGTCTTGGAGGGTCGGTGGTGGTCAACCACCAGCTCGTCGTGCCTGTTCCGTCAACGATCTCGCTTGCAGAGGCAGCCTGTCTGCCCATGGCATATATGACAGCTTATTATGCTTTGGTTTATCTCGGCCGCTTGGGAGAAGGTGAATCAGTTCTTATCCACTCCGGCGCTGGAGGGGTAAGTATCGCAGCTATCCAAGTCGCCAAGCTCTTTGGCGCTCGCATCTATGCAACAGCCGGTAATCCTCAACGTCGAGCCTGGATCCAAGCCATTGATGGTGTGGAGGCTGTATTCGATTCGCGGTCCGTGACTTTCAGTGATGAAGTCAAGAAAATGACCCATGGCAAGGGAGTGGATCTGGTGCTTAATTCATCAAATGGGAATATCTTTTCTCAGTCGATTGCCTGTCTGGCTCCCTTTGGCCGCTGCCTCCAGCTGGGTAAGAGCGATGTCTACCGGAACATGAGAGTTGGCCTCCAACAATTCCGGAAGAACTGTACTCTTTTTGTGGTGGATGTTGACTCCTTGGCCGTCCAAAAGCCTGAGCTCCACCGGAAGCTGCTTCTCGAGGTCTCTGACTTGCTGAACCGTGGAAAGTTGTTGCCTCTCCCGGTCACCCGGTTCCCTTTTGGCGAATTCCCCAAGGCACTCAAATCGCTCTCTCGCTCATCCGCCATCGGTAAGGTCGCTGTGGAGATGCCGGAACACGAATTTGTTCAGTCGAAGCCCCAGGACCGACTGCTGCTGTCAGAGGACAAGACATACCTCATCACTGGCGGCACCGGTGGATTAGGGTTACAGCTGGCCCGCTTCCTTGTCAAACGAGGGGCCCGCCACCTCTTGCTCGTCAGCCGCTCCGGCCCCAAATCCGCTGAGCATCGGGCCACCATCGATGACTTGATAGATCAGGGCGTGAGGATTATCATCAAGCAAGCTGATATCGCTGACTACAAGGCGGTTGCAGCGATCTTTAACAACACCACCGATTACCCGCCGATCGCAGGGGTGATGCACTGTGCCGGCGTTATCAACAATCTTCCCGGGGCTTTCTCTCAGCCTTGGAGTTTTGGGATCTTATGCCGGCATGACCACAGCCGACCTTGGCAGTCGCATCCTGGATTCATTGGAAGCACAGGGGCTGTTGCAACTTGACTTTGATACGGTCGAGTCCACACTGGAGCGCCTCATTATCCGCAAGACCTGTCACCGTGTCCTGGGTCGCATCAGTTTCTCCGCATTCGTTGACGTCCATAACCACCTCCGGCAAGACGCGTACTATACCAAGGTGCAGCATGAAAAGGGGGAAACCAGCAACGACGGTCCGACTGGATCGGCCAAGGATGACCAACCAGTGATCGAGGTCCTGTGTGCCGGCCTCGCCAAGGTTATCGGCGTCGAGCCGAGCCGGATCGAGCCGAAAGAAGAGATCAACACCTACGCCTTCGACTCGTTGACCCTCACGCAAGTGCGAGGTATGATTGCCCGAGAACTACGGGTCACTATGCCCCTGATGCGTCTCTACAATAATCCTACGATCCAGCACCTTGCAACCGAGATCGAAGATATGCTCGCGGACGGGAAGGAAGAAACCCACAAGGATGCGAAGCAGACCTATCAACACGCCGCCGTGGTGGATCTGGTGAAGGAGCTGACGCCATTGTCCCCGTGGATCTTCAAGGGCACCGGTGCCGGAAAACGGGTGGTCTGCTTCCACTCCATGGGTATCGGCGCATCTCTGTTCACGCCCTTCCTCGTCGACTGCCCGCCGGGCCTGGACCTGGTGGCTGTCCAGCTGCCCGGCCGCGAGACGCGGGCCCACGAGGAACTACCCAGCTTCTCCTCCGCCGTGGCGAGTATCGTGGCGGAGATCCAATCGTGGGAGCAACCGCCGGACGTCCTCTGGGGTCACTCTTTTGGCGGAATCATTGCCTTCGAGGTCCTGCGGGCTCTGCGTCGGAAAGGTGTCCCCCTGCCCTCCCTGATGATCACCGGCACGATCGCGCCCCAGCTGATTGGGGTCTGGAAGCGGCGCGAGCTTCTGATGTCGAGTCTGAGTGGGGACAGCAGCGCCGACTATCTGCTGGCGGTCACCCGCTACGTGGACGAGCCGGACTTCGTCATCGGGATTCTGGAGATGCTCCATCACGACGCACCACTCCTCTTAGATTACGAGTACCAGGAGGAGAGTGAATTAGGGGTACCCATCGTGGCTTTCTCCGGGCGCCAAGATGATATCGCGTACCGCGAAGAGTTGGCTCATTGGGGTGCGCAGTCGAAGAATTTCACGCTCCGTGAAGTGGATGGCGACCATTGGTTCTTGCGACGCAACAAGGATGTTCTGCTCCAAGCTTTGGTGGAGTTGGCGGGTGTGGGAACCGCATGATTTCCGCAAAGATCAAGGGCTACTTGACTTTTTCAGGACTTTCGCTTCTCAGTAAGGTCATATTGGCATGGGTGGGTGACCACCAGCCAACTCGTTCTGTTGTCAGTTTTTGTCTTCCTTTGGCCAGTTTAATGTTGAGTTCCACCGGCGACCCAGAGACTATGTAAGGGGACATCGTCTCTTTCGAAGAGTCCAGTGCTTCTTCTTGTTTGACGACCGCCCAATTTGTTTCATTTGATTCGGTCCACAAGCCTGCCAAAGTAATAATTCGGACCTGCACCGAAACAGTCTTGTAACGCAAAACATAGATGCCGTGTATCTACCGCAAGCTACTCGCCAAGTTGCAATTTACCTATCTTGTTTACAGTTCCTATGTTAGTCTAATTTATAGCTTTATTCTTTTTCAGACCGATTTCTCTCCTAACTGATTCTCACACAGAGATCATATACAAGATTTTCGGATAAAGAATCCTCATGCAACAATACCTTGAGTCTGAAATATTCTAGGATCTAATGTCTAGCAATCCTAATATAAGATATAGTTATGTGACTTTGCTGAAACCAAGTGGACTTAGAAAGATAATGGAGTACAGCCAGCGGAATTGGGTTTATTGCAAATTGGCACAAGTGGCCCACCGGAGTATATCCTTTCCAGCTTGTATAGCAACGTTCTAGCCAGGCCTCTTACCGTAGTACCGTGTGTACATCGTCTGTAAAATCTCTGCCGGTGACGTTCGGCTCATATGTTGTCCACGTTGTCCGCCTTTTCAAATACAAACATCCGGCGACCAGATCAATCTTTGGGGATGGATCTCTCAAAGCACACATGCCCTTCCTACGGATGGATAAAGGCCTTGCTCACCTACACAATAGTTTCTTCTTCCGCCCCAAGGGCTTTCACTACCACCCATTCCACTCGAATATGTTCGCTTGGTTACATCACTATAGTGGGTCTGATCGGAGAATATTCTATACATAATGGGTCTATGTTTTCCAACTTGTCCAGCTCAATAAAGTCTATTGTTAATCTATTGACAGAATGATATGGAGGTTGTGGGGCACAGCAATGACGGGCTCAGGCCGAGCCGAGCTTCTCGGCGTTCTCGAAGCCAGTGAAGGTGAAGTCGGCGAAGGCAGCGCCAATGTCATTGCTGGTGCCATCGAGGGTGAGGTACAGCACGTAGCTTTGGTAGTCAAGCAGGAAGGACGAGCTGTTGGCCAGGGAAAGCGCCAAGTTGGCCCTGGCGATGGCGTCGTGGAGCTGGGTGTAGTTGGCCTGGTTGACCCACTCCTGGGTGGACGGGACGTCGGAGCCGCTGGTGCTGATAGTCACGTTGTTCAACTGGGCCTGGGCCTGGGCGACGGCCCTGGTGAGGAAGTCGCGCGAGTTGCCATCGCTCGTCATGCCGACGGGGCCGCCGCGGTTGGTGGTGTTGGTGACGGGGACCAGCCAGAGACTGACGTTGAGCCCGGCGGCCGAGTCATTGGTGAGCTTGAAGAACTTTTGCGCGCCGGTGAACTCGCCGGGCCGGTTGGAGATGGGCAAATTGTCCCGGGAAAAGCGCATGGCGTCCCCGTAGGTCACGCCCCCGACGTCGTAGAAGGTATGATCAGCGCCGTCGATAAAGAGACCGACCACGTCCTGAGCGCGCTTCATGGCCCAGCCCTGGTTGCCGTACCAGAACAGCGCGACGTCGCCAGGCTGGATACTGGTATCGAAGTTGCTGGCGGGGATAGCCGGGCCGGCACCGCTGAAAAGGTCGGCGTCGAAAATGGTGCCCTCCCAGGGCGTCTTGTTGGCGACGTCGATATTCCCGCGGTAGACCGAGTAGGTGCCGTTGGCGTTCTGAGTGATGGTGTCGACGGTGACGCCCTCCAGGTAGTCGGCGTCGATGAGGTCGGTGTAGCCATCGCCGTTGGTATCCCAGAAGCGCACCTCGAGACCGGCGACGATGTTGGTGACGACCGACAGGGCGGCAGCCTCGTAACTGCTGGCCTCGGTCTCAGCCTCGTAGCCGCCCCACCACGTCGCGGTGGTCGTGTCGTAATACAGCCAGGGCACTTGGTTCACCAGATAGCCGTCGCTCAGGCATTGGCTAACTTTGTTGAAGGCGGACTCGGTGCCCGGAATGGCCCACAAGTTGATGTAGAATTGGCTGTCTTCGATGACAGCCTTGACGCCCTGGAGGGCGCTTCCTTGCTTGAAGTACTGGTCGTACTGGGTGGCGGTGACGTTGGCAGCGTCGGTGCCCATGTCAAGCACGACGGAGTGGAGGAGCGTGCCGTCGATCTGACTGCCCGAGTAGGCAGTCCCGCAGGCAGCGAGGCCCGAGGCGGGCAGCATCGCCAGGACCGAGGCGTTGGCGAGTCTCATGTTTGCGAGACCTTGAGGAGTAAAGTCAGCGAAGGAGCGTAATGGAAATGAGCGACAGGGAAAAGAACGTTGGCCAATATCTGGAATACCGATGAGCACAGTTACACCCCGAGATGCTGTGGGTGTATGGATATGCCTGGCACCTGGGTGGTTTTATATCCTCTTTCCTCATTGCTGATGACGAATCTGATATGGTTGCACTCCGTACTCCGACTTTAGCGGGCGGTGGGGCCGGCATGTAGATCCTGCGAATTTCCCCCTTTCCCCCTCCTTGCTCAACTCCACATGTCCTCTGAAGAAATCCCATTCCGAGGTTTCATCGCATGGGTAAATGCTTAAGCGCTCGAGCCGTAGTGCTGTCACTCTCGGGATACAGAAGATTGAGGGGATATGCTAGCTGCAGCGGTGGTTCGGACCGCGACGGAGATGCCGGTCTGGCTGTATACTTCTGGGGTTAGTGAGACACTAACCTCCAAGGTTAGATTAATATTAATTAGGTGAAGACCACCTGGAAAGGTTGTCCGTCAACTTGTCCCCACGAACCCCACCATATGAGCAGTATGTCGTCGCACCGTTGTCGCACTGGCTGAAAAGGAACATTTGAAGAATATCCAATGTGGGTCTGCGTTGACGACATGGGAGAACTGCAGCGAATGATCCCATGGCCATTTCAACTTTCCAGCCATCGCGAGCTCCACACCCCCATATGTCAACTTGAAGCGTTTAAGCGTAGATCGACCCGAACCTCGGAGTTCACAGTGAACCGAATTGAATATGCGCAGAGATTTCTCGAGAGAAGTCGCTAAAGTGATTGAGATAGCCGAATGAATCGATTTAGATTAAGGCTGGATGTTGATCAAGACGATGCCGACTTCATACAAAACTGCGGTACGTACCTTGCTCCAAATCCAGGATGCCCCTGTCGATCCATGGCATGTGCAAACTAACCTTTGCGGAGACTAAACCACTCAGGGTTTAGTATCCCGCCAAGATATCCTCCGTGCGCGTTCCAAGATTTCTCTCGATCCGTGATCCGTTCCATGTTCGCCCTCTAGCACGTTTATCATCTTCTGTTCTACAACTGCACAATCTAGCAGTGGGGAGTAGCGTAATATTATCAGTAGGGAGGAAAGTACACCCCACGTGACAACGATATCTTAAATTCTACCCATGTCTTACAAGGTGCCTGCACTTATCTATACTGCTCTGAACGCATTGTTTTAACTGACACCAGTCATGCGTGTTGGATTTAGGTCAAATCAGATGGAGTCGAGTGCTAGTACTTGGAATGCAATAGCCTGTTTTGAATAAATAGACCAGGTAACTTCCACCCGGCTATTCTCGTTACTTTCTGAACATTTTACACTCGTTGATCATCCCGGAACTTCAATCTGTGGTGAATCAGTCGGGAGCCTCGTGTATTCCCTGATTAAAGAAGCCATTGATACTACTTTCGAGGTTGAATACTCCATATACTATCTATGCTCCATAACTCCCAATATGATAATGGAAATAGTGTTGGAACGAGCAGGATGATAAGATTCGGTATTCTGCGGTAGAAGAGCGATCGAACCAGTTAAAGTGGAGAAATACAACGTTGAAGGAACCGAACCAAGTTTCCGTACAACTGTCTTTCCTGCAAGATCCAGTTAGAATTGGTGGATGGATGAAGCTTTGTATTGATATTCTATTGGTGGCTTGTAAAACTTTTGCACTAATTGGTATTGAAGAAAAATAGACTTGATTTCTCTGGATCAAGTGCTAATTCACTATGTTTGCAATAGGTCTATGGAGCAAATCTTGTCCCCAGCTTCGGTACAGCCCCCTTAACAAATCACCTTGCCTAACATTTCCTTTTCAGCAGAGATGATAGACAGCCACGACAAAATATTGGCAATTAGATTGCGAGAACCACAGTGGTCCCAAGAGGCTGACCTGTTGCTTTGAACTATAGAAGCCCGAAATCCCTTCTAGTTATCTTAGTGAAAGTAAGAAGTCTAGAAACATATAAACGTCATTAATACGGGCAGCTCAAGATGCACCAAGTCTCAGCTCGTAATAGTGTTGAACATGATCCGGCTTCCGCCGGTAATTGGTAAAGCTTCATTTGTTGTGGGATGCAAAAGCTCTTTGGTTGCTTGAGAGCAGTACAATAGAAGTTTCAACACCCGAAAAAGAATATATAGGTAGAATTGATAGTGGAATATACTTTCCCATTGAATCTCTCCAACATCTTATGTCCGACATATGGTTTTATTGACATCGTCAGCCGAAGAACCCCATACAAATTGGTAGGCACTCAGGCTAACAAGAAGCAGTTCTGCTCATACAGTCTTTCAAAACATGCTAAACTCGTGTAGAATAGACACCAATACTGCTTAGTCGCCGTTAACATGCCGTTCAGTTGCCTCACGGGATAATTACTTCCAACTATATGCAGTGGCCACGAAATAGCAGCCATTTTGCCTTCAACTCTTCAGCCCCAATTAACGTCAGTTGGCGGAGGGTTGCTGTCTGACGGAAGACCAGATGATGACAATTCCGCCGACACCGTGGACAGAATTCCGTCACCAGCACATACACACCACGCCTGTGCAATTCTCCAAGAAGAATTATCAACAGAATTTCTTGTTGCCTCCATACTTATACTCTCAATGTAGTGGCAGTCAGGTTGGGATTCTCGACATGTCAAAAGTGAGATGAATTGATCGGAGTGAGTCCAGGGCTAGATGCGGGGCAGCGGAGTGGGAGCCCTTTGGTCCATCCCCGAGCCCTAAACCTACTCCATGAAATTCGGTGGTACAGCCATTCGTGTTCCAGGCAGTACGATGCAAACGGAATTTGGCTGCAGTCTGTGGCATCGCGCATCTCGTCTTCAATTCAAAGTCCAACAGTGAGGTCGGTGCTTTTCAGGCCCCGAGCGACGTCGACGTTCGTTGACCATGGTAAATGTATAGACATAGCCATTGATTTAAATCGTCGGGCTCCAATTATCCTTTCCAGCCCTCAGCCACTGGCCGTTAATACGACTCCGGAGACAGAGTCTAGTTCAGGTCCTTATCGTATTCGGACGCCATTGCGATCGTGTTGAAAGCTTGTCCATAAGTGCAAGATAGCCAAAGACATGGCTACATGGCGCCGTTGACGAAATGACAATGATGGTATGCCCAGCAGCCGTGCAGAGGGGCCACATAAATTGAAGTTTCCCGGGACTGCCCTACCAGAACCTCTGCCATGGTAATACACAGTAAATCACACCATTTGTTGGGGGGCACCACCATCGCACCTCGATCTAGAGTAGCAGCATATCACAACAAGTACAAATTCAGAAGAGGAGACGGGAGCCATGGCATCGCTCCTGGATGAATTTCGCCAGTCTGCAGTCCCAGCTGGAACCGCCGACTGGACAACTCCCACACAATGTACGTGGACAAGATCCGGTCTGCATTGCCACATGGGCCAGACACAAAAGGACATCTGACGATCCTGGTCGGCGCGGGGGCTTCAATCGGTGCCGTTCAAGCGAGTGAACTCACTACCAGCTTCAGCGAGACCGACAAACAGAAGACCCTAAGCGGACTGAGCTGGGCGGGGCTTCTCCTTGATGGCCTCCTCTATGTCATGGAGAATCATGACCTATTCTTCGATGAATATGACACATGTATACCAGAATCCTCCAACGGGTCCAGGGCGGCGCCCCTGCCTCAATCGGCACGCTACTACGGGCAGCTGCTTTTCTCAAAGCCAAGCTCATTGACCGCGGAAAGCTGGTCGAATGGCTGGATACTCGATTCGCCAAGCTTTATGACAAGTGGGTGGATGACCGTCCCAATCGACTTCTCGATGCCATCCGCGAGCTATCCGACGGCGGAGCCAGAATCATGACCACCAACTAGGATGACTTGCTGAGCCGACATTGTCACGCACATCGAGATAATTGCATAATGATCATTGACAACATGGACGATAGTGGGACGCTGATCTATTTGCAGATGAACATGATACCGTCTCCTGTACGAGGGCGCATTCTGCTCACAGGAAGGGTCACCACACTCGGAAATGTCAAGGATGCTCCAGCACTCGGATTCCCAATTATGAGCGCCACCGAAGCGGAGAACTTTTTGAAGAAACTGATACCACCTACGCCGGTTTCAGAGCAAGCAGCACACAAGCTGGTCGAGGTGTTCAAATATCTCCCCTGAGCTATTGAGCAGGCAGGTTGCTACATCCGAACCACGAAGAAGTCGATTCAGAAGTATATGGAACTGTACAAGGAAGAAGACATGAAGCCTGTGCTGTTGGCATCTCGCGTAGCGGGCCCCAATGTACTCCCCATACTTTCGACCTTCCGAATGTCTTACCAGAGACTATCCTCGAATGCGCAAACGCTGCTCAGAAACCTCGCTTTGATCGGCCCCGGGGGTGTCAGCGACGATTTCTTACAACGGCCTGCAAACACGTACCCACTGGAAAGCTCGCTGGAAAGCTATTTGGTCCATGACTACCCCGACACCCTCTTACCGCAGGACCTTTCTTCTCTCCTGAGCAGAGCCCATCGTCGTGAGGTTGCCATCGATTCTCTGGTGGAAGTCGCCCTGCTGCAGCGGGTCGATACCAGACTGATAATGCACCCTGTAGGACATCAGTTCTAAGGACGTCTGTTTGACCGGAGCTGACAATCGCGCAGATGCAGTTGGAATGGCTCAAAGCCACGTGTTTGGAGCCGGCTCGGGACAACGTCTCTCTTCTTGTCTTGACCATGATTGCGAACTTTTTTGCGAGTATGACCGATCGGGAATTTGTCCTCCGGAGTAGCTATGTTTATTACGCCCGGACATGCGTCGAGATGCTCTCCGAGTCTTACACCGAGACACCCGATGAAGTGACACTGGCCAGGTTGTGCTTCTATCTGGGCCGAGTCTTCTGGCTCGTCCGGGATGACGTGGCGGCTACTCATTTGTATGAACGCGCCCTGGCAGAAAGTCTGGCGTCGTTGCAACAACCCCACATCTTGACCTTCTGGACTCGAAAGAATCTTGGATTGATTTATATGGAGCACGGCTTTTTCGAGAGCGCCTATAGGCAATTGAAAGACGCGTCAAGCCTCCTGCCTGGGTGCTTTGAGAGAGATCCACTTCCTGAAGCCATCCTTGTCAGCAATGCCGGACGTGTAGCGAGAGACAAAATAAGATCTTCACCACACGGGACGATACCAGCTGCGGACTCTTTTCTCGCTTCTTTCCAGGCCGGATCCCAGGCAACTGCATATGGATTATTGATGTCCAGCATTGACAGAAATGTCGAGCAAGCAATGGCACGGAACATGCTTTGGACAACGGAGCCATCGCTCCCTATCAGCCGCATGTACGATCCGGGTTGCCGATTCTGTCATGGGGACGAAACAAGGTTGCTGGATCGGGTGAAGGGCATGTTCCGAGGCTCGGAACGTCTCAACCTTGGAAGGTCACTGTTAGCGGTTGAGGTTTACTTGCAAGCAATGTATCGCATCTTACTGGGAGATCTTTCCGGGGCTGCTTGGTTGTGCAATCGTGCTGCTAGCAGCGATTGGAAAAGGAATGCGGCACATACGGTTCCCCCCTATAGCTGGGCCCGAAGGGTGCTCTTCCAAGTCGCCACTTACGGTGTTCATAAGCGTGAATTCGAGACTTTTGGGGGCACTGTTTCGCCTGCCTCAGCAAATCTAAGTGAGGTGTTGCTTGAGTGCAAGGTGAGAAAGGACCCATTTGTCGGAGGTTTTGTCACGCATTCGTGGAACGGTATGTATAATCGATCTGTTGCGCCTCGTAAGTAGTCATGAAGTACGTAATAATCGGGGCACTGACCATAGACCACCAGGTTTGATAGAACCTACCTCAGCGAAAGGCCTTGCAGCGCTTGTAGACGAGTTCATCCACCGTTATACATTTCTCGGGGAGCTCACACCCTTGTGGAACCATTGCCAATGGTCGATGTTCTCTTTCCGGGCAGGCTCGGTCCAGTAGCAGACTACGAGTCAGGAGAGGCCATTGATGCCTCATACTTTTACATGATATTCATCCTGGCAAATTTGCTTCTAGGACAAAGTCATCGCGCACTGGGAATCTTTTGTGAGGTGAATGAAAGGATGAGCGCGTTCCAGCGACCTAACCGGGTGCTGCATCCGGAAGACTTTTGAGCTGCAGCAGACGGCCGAGGTCTGCAAGAACAGTCAGTCGCTACTGAGCAAGCTCCAGGATGTGTGCCAGGTCGAGAAGATCTAGCTGCAAGAGCCGCACCTAGAAGATTTGAAGTTGACACGAAAGGTCAGCAGTCCTGTACTCAATGTAGTGATGAGCCAACGATGACTCCTGCCCTGTTGACTCAATCGTATAGGCTAGTGGCTTCTGTAATTCCTCGGATGCTCCTGACACCGCATGTAACTCAGCAAGGGAGTCAGATGTCGGTCACTATTTTCACTCTCAAGTTCAGCAGCTGGTGTGGGACTAAACTAATGCTCTGGTGCGTAGAGCAGAGCCGGTAGTGAGTGGAGCACGTAAGCACTAAAGCAGCCCACATCAAATGGATATTCGACTTTGTTGTAGCGACTCAGCCTGTTTCAGGGGTGCCATTTGCTCAGCCTCGTGAAAGTGTGTTCCAGTTTCTCGCTATAAAGGAAACGTTGGCCCGCCCATGTATGACCTGTCATCTTTCACCGGCCCACCCCTCCTACTCCTCGGACACCTCGTGACAACTTCACTTCAGCACCAGGATGTTTCTCAATCCTATCTTGTCGATGGTCCTCGAGACCGTCGTAGTGGTATCTACACTCGGCTTCACCCCGGCTCAATCAGCCCTACGGCCCGGGGCACTTGCGCTTCTGTCACTATGTGTAAGCCATTGCCTCTCAACGACGCTCGAATACTTCGTGCGCACACCCTGGGCGCTTCTAGCAGGCGGTTACTCTGTTATGCTGCTGTTTCACTTTGCCGACGTTGGTCTGCTGACGCGTTGGGAATTCCCTGGGCCCAGTCGTGTCAACAAGCCCACGGAATCAAAGCGCAGGGGCTCCCGAGGAATGTCGGGCTCGACCTGGGCGGCCCGGCTACGATACGGCATCTGGGCATGTTTCAACGCGCGATGCATTGGGACCCCTGAGCAAGCGCGCAACATCCCCCAGCCACGTTATCAAGACAGAGAGTTATTCCTCCGCGGAGCCTTCAATTTCATGATCCTCGGCTATATCGGCCTCGATGTGCTCGGGTCAATGAGCGATCCGGAGGTGGGATCTCGTTTTCTAGTCGCGTCCCGAGTGCCGTTCTTCCGTCGCTTGTCGGAAGTCACTCTGGAAGAGATACTCATTCGCGTATTCTCCGCGGCTGCTTCAGGCGTCGGCCTAGTGTGCAGTCAGGGTGGATTCTATAATCTCTTCGCATTTGTCAGCGTGTTCATGCGGTGGGGCGAGCCACAAGACTGGCCTCCCTTCTACGGATCCCTATCGGAGGCCTATAGCCTTCGACGACTCTGGAGGTAAGATACCCCATGTCTCCACGGTCACAGTGGGCGAACAACTGATTCAGGATCTAGTCGCGTCTGGCACCAGTCCAACACACACAAATTCCGCGCGATTGCCCGATTTGTGGCGGAGGATGTTCTTGGCCTATCGCCAAAGACGCTTGCGCACCGATATGCGCAGATTCTGATAGTATTTGGGACTTCGGCTCTGATGCACTTTCTCATCGATGTGTCGATGGGGCTGTCGTTCTCTACCTCCGGGGCGGTGCAGTTTTTCTGTACCCAGGCATTCGGCCTCATGGGAGAGGATTTGGCAGTCCGTGTTTATGTCGGTCTGCGCGGCTCTTCTCGTAGTCGATTGGCGTTGCGGGGAGAGCGCATTGTTGGCTTTCTCTGGGTTGGATGCTTCCTGGCTTGGTCGCTTCCTGCGTATGTTTATCCGATGCTGTATCGGTCTAACAGGGGCCTCAATGATTCGGTGGTTCCAGTGAGCATTGTTGGCGTAATGAGAAGGATGATACTTGGGTAGATATGACTGTAATGACCGGTGATAATGATGCGAGAACGAGTGCTGTTTCGGATAAGATGTGAATGGTGAAGGAAGGGGAAGAGAAGGGATTCTCCGCACGGCGACAATGCGGGGAAGGCGCAGAAGCAAACAAAGCAAACCGCACAAATCAGGCAAAATGTATTCCGCCGATTGCGATAATCTTCCCCGACGAATCGCTGAAGCATCGCTGACACTCTCTCTCGTCGCAATAAACCTCTTGATGACATACGCCAGAGTTCGCCCCAGTAAACACAGCGTCTTATCTGTCTTCAGGGCTCCAGCGCCGTTTCTGTCCCGCGATCCTCTTTGCATAATCCCGAGCGGGGCTCGCATCGTAGCCATGTCGACCTCGACATCGGCGCCCCCGCGCAAACCAATGCCCTCTGCATTGACCTTTGATCTACACGCCAAGTGCTCCGTCAGTACTCGGCCCTGTCTCTCGGCGATGAATGCGATGGACTGGCTTCATGCTTATCTCATATCTCTTATAGACAACGAAAGCACGCGCGAGCACGCTCCACCTCCCCCATGGCGACGTCCCTCTCCCCATCTTCATGCCCGTCGCGACCCAAGCCTCCCTGAAGGGCTTGACGTACGATCAACTCCGCCAGACCGGCTGCCAACTCTGCCTGAACAACACCTACCATCTTGGCCTCAAGCCGGGCCAAGCGGTTCTCGATGCGATCGGTGGTGCGCACAAGTTGCAGGGGTGGGATCGAAATATCCTCACGGACAGCGGAGGGTGAGCACACACCACAAGATCGATGGACTGGTGCTGACAAGAAGCCTCTAGTTTCCAGATGGTGTCCCTCCTCAAACTCGCTCAAGTCACCGAAGAAGGCGTCCGCTTCCTCAGTCCCCATGACGGCACTCCGATGTGCGTGGTCCCCACTTACAAAACCGGTGCATATCTGACAGGACCAGGCTCCTCACTCCCGAACACTCGATCTCCCTACAAAACTCCATCGGCTCCGACATCATCATGCAATTAGACGACGTCATCGCCACCACATCCCCAGATCACGCCCGTATCCACGAAGCGATGGAGCGCTCGGTCAGATGGCTGGACCGGTGCATCGACGCGCACAAATACCCAGAGAGACAAAATCTGTTCTGTATCATCCAGGGTGGGTTGGATCTGGAGCTTCGCAAACAATGCTGTGAGGCGATGGTCGCTCGAGATACACCGGGCATTGCCATTGGGGGTCTTTCCGGCGGAGAGGCCAAGGAGGACTTTTGCAAGGTGTATGTGTTTGACCGCCAAAAGAGAGGCGAAAGCTGATGAGTACAGGGTGGACACTTGCACGGGCTTGCTTCCCGAGAAGAAGCCGCGCTATGTCATGGGAGTGGTAGGCAGCGGTGATTCTAATCCGTGACTACCGTGACGACTGACAGTTGATAGGGCTATCCGGAGGATTTGATTGTTGGTGTCGCTCTCGGCGCAGACATGTTCGATTGTGTCTGGCCTACACGAACTGCGGTAGGTCTCCTGTCTGCGTTGAATCAACAGTAACTAACATGGACCAGCGCTTCGGCAACGCGGTCGTCCCCAGCGGCACATTGAATCTGCGTCATCGGTCATACGCGGAGGATTTCCGGCCGGTGCAAGAAGGCTGTACATGCAGCATCTGCCGGCCCCGGGATCAGGGCGGACTCGGGATCACGCGTGCATATATCCACCACCTGACGGCCAAAGAAACCGTGGGGGCTCATCTGTAGGTTGCTTGTCTCTGACAATTGAAACAGGGATACTAACGGTACCAGTCTCACCATGCACAATGTGCATTACCTGCTGTCGTTGATGGGATCCGCTCGGCAGGCTATCCTCGAGGATCGGTTCCCGACGTTCCTGCGCGAGTTCTTCGCCAATCTATATGGTGAGAAGTCGAACTACCCCAGCTGGGTGGTAGACGCGCTGCGGGGCGTGGGGGTGGATCTCATGGTCGATTAGCGCAGCGCAGCATAAATTAGAAGCGCCAGCCAGCGATAGACGATAGTCTAAACTTTTGATACCACATCATGTAGTGTAACCATAGAGTACATATTACAGCCGAAACCAGCAATCATGACCATCCCATCTTCAAAACCCACATCTACACCCCATCCCCCCGAACCGTCTATCATACACATCCCCCCCGAAAAACCCCTAAACAACCCTCGCCTCCTCCCTCGGCGGCCTCTCCCCAAAGATCCCCGTCCCGACCCTCACCTCATCACTCCCCAACCGAATCGCGCCCTCAAAATCCTCACTCATGCCCATACTCAACTCCAACCGCTCCTCCTCCCCCGCCAACCCCAACCCCCGCACAACCTCATCCCTAACCGCCCTCAACGCCAGAAAATCCGCATTCTCCTCCCCCTCCTTCACCGCCCGACTCCTCGCAATCGCCCCGATAGTCATCACGCCCGCCAGCCGGAGGCCCGGACACTCCTCGCGGATGAAGCGACACAGCTCGAGCGCGTCGCCGCCCGGCGCGACGCCGGATTTCTCCGCCTCGCCGGAGGTGTTGACCTGCACGAAGACGCGCAGCCGGGCCGCGTGGTCCTCGCGCCGCAGCGCGGGGGCGCGCTCGCCCCACCCCCGGTTCAGCAGCGCGGCCTTCTTCTTGCTGTCCACGCTCTCGACGGCCCACAAGCCGCGGACCTCCCGCGCCAGCGCCACGCATTTGTTCGACTGCAGGCCGCCGATGAAGTGCCACCGGATGGTCCCCGGCAGGAGCCGCGACTTCTCGAGCAGCTCTTGCTGGTAGTTCTCGCCGAAGTGCAGGTGGCCGGCGCCGGTGGGCGGGGCCGTGTGCAGGGCGAGGATGTCGGAGGCCGGTTTGAGTTTGGAGACGGCGACCAGGCGCGGTTCTTTGGGTTGGCTGGAGGTGGAGGTGGCGGCGGTGGTGATGCGGAGGGAGACGGTGGTGAGGTTGCTGAGGAGGGTCGCCGTGCGGGACGGGGTCGCGGTCAAGGGGGTGGCCATTTTGGAGTGGTGTTGGTCAGGCTCCCCGTGTGCTGGATATGGGGGGATTGTTGGTGGTGGTTTGTTCAAGAGGGGAGGGGTCTCGAGGTGATATTTGGAGACGATGTGGTGATGATGGTGGTGATGGCCCGCTTGGGATGAGTCAGCGGGGTTTTGAGCTGGGTGCACGTGATGAGGGGTCTGGATTATGGGGATCGTGTTTAAACACTTGTTTGATGACAGAATTCATAGCGTCGCATTCAAAATGGTTTACGTTCTTGATGAAGGTGTAATCATTCTGTTACACTGTATTCTTGAGATTAACTCAAATTCAAGTGACAGATCGAGACTACACAGAAGATCCCCGACCGAAATATATAAAAGCTTGAAACTATTGAACTGCCAGAAGGTATCTACAAGGGTGGTAAGACTCAATCTCACCAGCCATTACACATCTACACCCCCTCAATGCTTGAACTGATCCTCCGTCACGCCCTTGCCCATCGCCGCGGTGCTGCTGATACCGCCCGTCACCATCTTCAGCATATTATCGATATAGTTGGCCCCGCTCCACTTCTGATGCGTCACCACGTCGACGCCCTGCTCGATCTCGGGCTCCTGCACCAGCTCGCCGTACGCGCGCATGCCCTGCTGGGCGTAGGCCTTGGCGAACTGGTCCGTGATCAGCGCCGTGGTGTGCAGCCCGGCCAGGGTGATGAACTGCCAGCAGTATCCCAGGGCCCCCAGGCGCTTGATGTAGGTCTCCTGCTCGTCGCGGGGCATCGCCTTCTTCCAGTTGAATGAGGGGGAGAGGTTGTATGCGAGTCTGCGGGCGCATGTTAGCACAGCTTGATCAACAAGAAAAGAAGTGTTGGCAAAGGACAACGTACTTCTGCTCGGGCCACACGGCGTGCACCCCGTCGGCGAACTCCTTCGCCTGCGCGTAGTCCGGAAGCTTGCTCTCCATCCAGATGAGATCCGCGAACGGGGCGTAAGCCACCGCCCGGTTGACCGCACACTGGGTCCCGCCCTTGTACCGGTAAAAGCCCTCGCGGGTCCGCGGCGCGTCCCAGTCCCAGTGGATGTCGACGCCGGTGATGCTCTTGGCGAGGGCGCGGGCCTCGCTGTTGCTCTTGCCCTTGACCTTGCGCAGGTAGTCCGCCGCCACGGCTTGCTTGTTGCTGTGCGAGCCCTGGTGGATGGCGTCGAGGACGGCCTCGTCGAACAGCTTCAAGCCAGCTTGAGCGGTCCATTGGTCCTCAATCGCCTGCAGATCATTGCCCGACTTGCCCGCTTGCTCGGCAGCGACCATCAGGTCGTTGAGCGGCTGCAGCTTGGGGTTGGTGGAGCCAATGATGAAGCCGTGGTCCCGGTAGTCAATGGTGGATGTGATGAGGGTGGCGGCCTCGGAGTCGGTTCGGGCAATGGCCAGGAGATCCGTGCCTGCATTGCTCGCCGTTAGTCAAGTTCGTAACTCTGCGACGAAAGGCTGACGTACCCATAATATCGGCCTGCGCACGAATGGCAACCAGGCGGTTGATGTGCTCGCTAATAGGCACCAACACCTTACCGGCCATGTGGCCACACTTCTTGGTGCCTGGAGCCTGGTCCTCAATGTGGATACCAGCCGCGCCCCGTTCAACGAACAGCTTGGTCAGCTTCATCACCGCAGTCAACCCACCGTGGCCAGTATCAGCGTCCGCAATGATAGGCCGCAGGTAGTCGATGTTAGCCACCTTATGGCGCTGGTCCTTGGGGGTGGTGATGCGCTCCTCGCGTTGTTTCCGGTCGTGGAACAATTGGGCCATGAAGAGGTGGTTGACCTTATTGGGGACAGTGTTCTAGTACCTCATGTCAGCACGGGAACGAGCCCTTTCCATATGTCCCAAACCTACCATAGGATAATCCGCCAAGTCCGGGGAGGGCTCGTCGGTGGAAGAGGCAGTGGAAGAGCTCTGCCAGCCCGATACGTAGACAGTGTCGAGGTATTTGGCCATCTGGGTGACCATCGTGGGGTCGAGACAGCCATATGTGAAACTGGCCACTTTTTTCTGCAAGCACGAGGAGAATGGTTAGCTTCAGCTTCATTTCATTTCCCACCCCTCCGAAGGTCTGGACTAACCTCAAAGTTGCTCTCCAAGATCTTCCAGAGCTTCTTGGCTTGCACATTGGATGGGTAGTCAATCTTCAGGTTTCCGCGCTTCGCCACAATCTGCTCAGCAGTGAAAGGGCGCTTGGTATGTCTCCATCGGGAATCCTTCCACCAAGCGTTGACGGCTTGGACTTCTTCCAGATACTTCTGGTCTTCGTCTTCGTGTAGACCCATGATGTGTGAGACGGGAGGGGTGGTGCGAGGGCAACAGGAGGGAATCAGAAAGCAAGCCGAGGCAGTGTATGCAGTATAGCCAGTCTACTGATCTATAAAGAACCGTGACCAGGGAAAGTAAGACAAGCAAGAAGAACGAAAGTCAAATTGGAGTGGAGAGTCCGGAGGGAAAAGAGGCAACGAGGAGATGGAGGGTAAGAGAAGGGTTAAAGTACTGATCCTCACAATCACGAGCCAAAGGGTCGATATTTAAGGCCCAGGAGCAGGAGCAGCAGATGCACACGCGCCATCGTCGGTGCGTCAGAGTCATTGACTTTGGGCCAGTGGTCGGTAAACGTTCGGATCAGCGGGACAAAAAGGGTGGTCGAGCAGACGCACCCGGCATGTCTCGAAAACTGGGGGAACTGGAGAGGTGGACAGGATGGACAGGAATTAGGTTAACCGTGTCCCAGATTCACAAGTCATGGTCGGAGCCAAGGAGCAAGCTGAGTGGTTGGTGGATGAGGTTCGGGAGAGAGGATCACGTTCTGCTGAAGATCCTCGGTCTAAGGGGAGAGACCCTCCACCTTCCCCCGGGCCTGAGGCATTTCCGGGGCAATCATAATTCGGTCGCCACGCCGCGGCGATGGATGGTCCTTGGCACATTTGGGTCGGACAGCGTGGTTTTGTTCTCTGGCATGGTAGAGGAGATCAATAATGACTTAGAAAGAGCATTGAACAATGCCACAACCGGCTCTAGTTGTCGTGCTCTGGGAGGTGCCTGTTTCAATTTGATGCTGGCAGAGAGTAAGAGAGAAGAGAAGAAGAGGAAGAGGAAGTATACGAGCGAGTCCATGACGTCGATGCATGTGCTTACAGGGGGGAAAGGCGGGCGGAGGATCAGCTTACCATACCATACCCGTACTGCAGCCCAAAGTTGCAGGCATCAATACGAACAATTAACCTCGGTCCCGACTGCCTCTCGCCGGCCACACCCAGCCAGATCCTCTGACTCGTCCAGATCGACTTCGACAGCCTGCATATTCGACGGCCACGAAAAGCATTGTCGGGTATTCAAGGAGCTTCCTTCCGTGATCCCACGAAGTCCACGACATTGTTTGATGAGATCCACCAAGTTACTTGCTTAGTTTGTCATGAATCACAAATTAAACCCTCCATCGGAACCCGCCTGACAACAATGTTAGTCAAATACTAGTAGAAAACATATTTCATCGTATAGTCTTCGGTGCAGACACGTCTAAACAAGCTCAAAAGTACCATTTCGAATCTGTTAGTCTCCTCGCTCAGTAGCACTTTCCCTCTGACACATGCTTGTCTTTCACATTGTGTGACAAGATACTCATTCTCAATACACACGGGAGTCCCTCGAGGCGCAAACAACTACTAGAAGTAAAGGAGGGACGTTCAATTATGACTTGAGATGGACTCAGATCAGATTTGCTTGGCAAGCGGGTAGTGAAGACAAAGACAGCAGCCAATGAAATCGGTGGGGCGCAGTGGATTCAACGATAAGGCGGTAACAACGATAAGGCGGTAACGACAACTGGTGACATTCTGCCGTTGCTGGGCCATAGATGGTCTTTTCAGCGCAAACAACAGACCACACACTGTTATCAATTCGATCTTATGTTAGCGTGGCTACAGTACACGCTCGTCAGTTCGTCCACTCAGGAACCCTCTTGCGATTGCAAGTCAGTCCCCTCATGCCAGACATGCAAATGCCCCTCAGACATATACTATGCTCGTCTTGCTCAAAGCACAATGTCTCTGAACACTCTTCCTAACGAGCTACTTCTGCAGGTGGAATCCTATATTGAAACGCAAACCGACCTCGCAGCACTACTTCAAGTCAGTCGTCGAGTCTATAAATCACTGGTGCCGTGTCTATACCGGCGTGATGCAACCGCCGCCTTGCTATACGGGGTTCAGAACGACCTCTATTCCACCGCCTGCAAGGCGCTTCAGGCCGGGGCCGACCGCAATGTCCGAATCGAATCTATCAAGGCGAGACCGCCCTCAGTCTGGCGGTAGAGAGGAACGACGACCTCCTAGCGCGGGATTGCACGCTGGGATAGGCATACTAGGTATCTATAGATACCTTGGAGGGGACATATTTGCAGCGAAAGTCACATGATTCTGACAATCGCCACCTGGGTATGTACTGTACAGCTGGTCTACCCGAAACTGCGGGGTGCGGCAGGGGCAGACCCGGAGATGAATGTCCTCCGATGCATGCCACCCTTTTCGGCTGTACCCGTGACGGAGTATACTGTCCAGCGGAGCTGTGAGGCCTGCGGAGCACCGGAGGAATGGCATGTGAAAGTGCTTGGTCTCACGCGAGCAGTCCCGCCTCTCAGCCGCGTGCTTCTCAATCAATAGAATGACTCATATCCGCCGCTCTCTTTGGCATGGGACAGCAATCTGGCGGGAGTCAGCTTTCTTCCCAATCTGCACTACTACAATAGCAATTTCTTCGACAAAAACTCGATGCAAACAGTTTACGGGGTCCAACGCGCTCCCACAAAAGGCGTTGCAACGCGCCGTAAGTGATCAAAACTGTCCAAATCACGAGAAATATATTCCAAATGCTTTTAGTCAACTATTTCCGAAATATGTACCCGAAGCTTTCGTCTCCATATGCACAAAGCTGCACTTCTACTCCACAGGGGTGAAGTAACGCTTGAACCGGTCAATGCGAGTCAACTTCAGCTCCACAATAACCGAGTGGCAGCTCATCAGTAGACTGGGGAATCGCACAGTCCAGAAGTTTAGATAGCCTTCCGGTAGCCCACCAATGTGCGCCTTGAGGTGTTCAGGCATGTCGTTGTAGTGGTTGCGCTTGTTGCGCAGGGCCCGCAGAAGATCGAGAACCTTGGATCCAGTGTATTTACGCTGCTTGCCGAGGTTTTCCTTGAAATCGCGGGGTAACAAGCGAAGGAAGTCCATGTCTGGACCCATCACACGCGAGGCAACGGACTCCAAACAAAGAAGGGCATCCGACGGAGGGTCACGTGGCTCGAACTCGAAATGATCCGAGACGTCGCACAGGAAGCTGAGGCGGTCGGAGGGAGGCCAGAAGAACGGATGAGTCAGAACGGCGCTCGCGTCGGGTCTGGAACCGGATTAGACTTGCTAGCAGTGGAGAAAGAATCAAGTGGTGTGACTTACCGTTTGCGTGGGTCCAGGGCTAACATCGATTGGATCAGGTCTTCTGCCTCGAAGGCATATTCCCCTAACCGCTGAAGCTCATCCAGATTGTGATTGCCTTTGACAATATTGGCCTCCCGCATGAATTTTCCATTCTTGTCGAACGGATGGCAGCCCCTGGTCAGCACATAATAGAAGACGCAGCCCAAGGAGAAGATGTCGATAGCCCGAGTCGCTCGACGGTTCGTTTGAGGATCGACTACAGCGGGCTCGGAAGATTCGGTGTGCTGAGACTCGGTGCTCATCATGGCCGGGGTCATGTCCTCATCCATCAACAGCTCCGGCGCTCGCCAGCCAGAGGTACCTGCCGCATGTGCCGTAGTCGCGCGGAATGAGCTTTGGTTATCTTCCAATTTCTTACACAAGCCAAAATCAGAGATAAGCAGCCGCAGCGAGCTCAAGCCCGTGCGACCGCGAGGCATCGCGACCAAGATGTTTTGCGGTTTCAAATCCCGATGAACAATCTTGAGAGAATGAAGGTACCGGACACCCGCAATGATCTGGCGCAAAACGTCGGGCATGTCCATGCCACCTTGAACCAACTGGGGAAAGTCGCCCGGACGTTCGACAACGTCCTGCAGCGAGGCTGGGCAGAGCTCCAGCGCAATGTAGAGAAACCCAGCAGCCTGTTCCCGACAGTAATACCGAATGACATTCCCGTGGTCATCACTCTCCTGCAGCAGGCTGACTTCGTGCGATGCAATGTCGTAGAATTCGACCAACATGCGCTTCACAGCTACGTCTCGGCCATCAAATGACCCGCGGTAAACGACAGTGCCGTGGCTTCCATGTCCTAGCACCACCTCGGTGAAGACTTTGAGACGCCCAATCTGGAGTACACCACCCACTTGAACAATCTCGTTCGACACAGTCCGAGTCAGTTGAATGTCAGGTTCCAGGCGTGACTGGGGTTGGAGGTTGTTCACTTCTTCCACGACGCGATCTGCCTGCTCATTGGACTCGCCTTCAGTGGGCTTTTTGCCACGTCTGTGATTCTTCCCGCCACGGCGTCCACGGCGAGCTTTCTTCTTCGGCTTCTCTCCGTCGCCCTTTTCAGATTCCTGAAGGTTGAAGTCGTCCACGTCATCATCAGCGTCGGGTCCTTGAGATGGCTCTCGAATGCGAACTCGAGGAGTCGTATCAGGCGCCAGGGTGTTGACGGTTTTCTTAGGCTTGGGGGTCATATCACCGGCGGACTGTTGCTCCTCAGAAACGCTCACGTCAACCATGACCTCTGGTGCTGACCGGGTTTCGTCAACCTCTCGCTTGATATGAGGACCATCGATGACTGGGGTCGACGGCGTCGACAGTGATGGCTGCCCGTATGACACAATGATGTTTTTCAAGTCCAACTTCTGTTTGGCCAGTTCCTGGATATGATGCGAATTGAACCAGATGAAGGTGCCGAAGAACAGCAATAGAAGCGTGACGAAGATGTCGACTACATTATCCCAGCCCTTACGGATGATGGTACTGTGTCGAAGAGCAGGCGGCAAGGCTAGTTCGGACGAACTTTGGACGACCCCTCGAGGAGGGGTATCATTGGAGAAGTCTGCGGACGAAGGCCCCGAGATGCTTGGGATGTGGCGGCGAATGACACGAGGGGCATGGAGGGAGTGTACTCCGGCTAAGGCATCCTGCTGTTGACTTGTGGTCAAACTCGTCAACGGCTGCCCATGACGGAGATAGTCTTTCTTGTAACATTGTGCCATCTTGGCTCTCCCGGTCACGAGGGGGTAACTCTCCTCTGACATCGCATACCAGCCACCAGCCTCTGTGCAATCGATAAAGACGCGTGAATCGCGATCATCGATCGATCCATAGTCAGGATCAGGGGGTTGTGAAGGTTGCGAGAGAAGGACTAGCGGCGTGGGCTGATCAGGCGAGTCACTGCCAACCGGGCGAGCCACGTCGAAGACCCGGATGACGGGGCTCGAGAAACGTTGAGTGTAGCGTGGGCGATCCATCTCAGAATGGTCGAATCCCAAGACCACGCCATCATGCATGCTGTAGATGAAGCTTTGGTCCATTGTGTTCACATATTGACTCTGGAGGTCAATGTCACGATTGTTGGCCGCCCACTCAGAGTATTTTAGCGTGCAAATGGGATCTCCCGTCTCTGTGTTTTGTATCGCTACCGTGTAATCTATGCGACCGAGCACCAAGGTGCCAGAAGGAGTCTCGCACTCCTCTGCATCCCTATCCAGACCATCGACCTTTCGACATTCCTGGCCCGATGAGACAGGGCCGCGGGAGCTGAACACCCGGAGAATAGTCCCCGATCGTGCATCGATGGTATACAGAGTCGTCTCCTTCCGTGCCGTGTACGTAACGGCGGGGTCATCCCCAGAATAAGGTGTCTCATCGACAAGTTCCTTCACCGTCAACCCGAGTTTTTGTAATCCTGCATCCGGGCCAGGACTGTAGATGTAGAGGCTACCGCCCTGACTCGGCTCCACTATCCAGATAAAATCATCCTCCGGTTGTTGCCGATCGAAGCTCGAGCGGTTGGATCGGTGGTAGATACTTTCGACGGTAGGACTGCTAGGGACTTCCAAGGCCCAGCGAGCCGCACCGGTTTTGCGGTCACGAGCGTGAATGGAACCGTCGACGGTCGCCAGAAGGACAAAGTCCTCAACCTTCCAGTCCTGCAAAGACCGCGCGTGAAGCTGCGGAGCCAGACCAGCGGAAGAGCTGCTGCTGACTTGGGCAGGAGGGGCTCGAACGGCGCGGCTAGAGCCCGCCAGAGCCATGGTTGCAAGGGCGCTCACATCGTTGGACTTCACATCCGAGACGTATGAAGGATTGTTTCCCGCTGGGGGTCCGTGGGATTGTTGCAGGACGGAAACGGTGGAAGGAAGGTCATATTGCTGTTGAGGATGTCGTTGTTGTTGCCACTGCTGCGGAGTAACAAGAACTGGAAGCAGGAGAAGTGCGACACTGGAAGGAAGGGTCGACTGGGCGCCAGGCAGCCGCCACCGCATGCTGAAAAACTCCTATGATGTTAGGAAATGGATTTTAGGGAATTGTGGGGGGTTTTGTGTGGACGAGAGTGGGAGGATTAGAAAGGGTGTGGTGACACGGAGGGTGTCATGAGTCGAAGCTGGCCTCAAAGAGGTGGGAGAAGTGGATAAGAAAGAGAAATAAGAATGGGGATAGAGAAAAGAAGAAGAAGAAGAAGATGATGATGATGATAATGATGATGAAGAGAAAGAAAGGGAGATGAGATTCAAAGACAGGGAGAAGAGAGGGGGGGGGGGGTGGATTATTGAAATTGAAAAGAAGGAGGAGGAATTGAGTGGATGCATTGGATGACAGGGCGGGAAGGGGAGGGAGGGAGTCCAGGTGGAATACCCGCAGTGAATAGGTCGGTGGTTGTACTAAGTAAGTTAGCTGCCGCCTGGTGGGCACGTGATGCATAACTGCTTGTTTGTTACATGCTGACGCGTTTGCGCCATTTGCATTGCCTCCCAGCCCCGACCGGCCCGTCAGCCCTAGAACGGCAGAGTGTGGATTGGAATAATTGGAATGGATGGAATGGGTGGAATGGATGGGAATTGTGGAGGTGATTAGCCCGCCCGCTCCACGGACGGTCCGGAAGATTGATACTCGTTTGGGCCTAGAGTCTCTGTCTGATATCAAATCCGATTAAGGGGGCCAAAAGGAACCTGGTCTAGTGCGGGCTATCACGCCAACTACCCAGTACTAGGTACACACTACACAGAACACAAGAGGCGCAGTGTTGAGGAGTGAAAAAAATTCCGTGCTTACCTTTCTACATGATTCTATGCAGAATTGAGTCAATATAATCGAGATAATGACAATCTGAGAGACGTAAGACATTCTGTCCATAGCCACCATTACAGTGTCGCTCCTCATCCAAGTTTTTCTTCAGGAGGTGAATCGTTTTGATTGCTTTGTCTCAGTGGTGCCATCCGGTGCACTCCACACTGCAATCAATTCTGGGTCTTAAAAGAACAACATATCGCGCTAACTAGCAAACGGTGCGGGCATTGACAATCATCTGCCGATAAGACGATGATCATCCAAGTAAGACTTGATCCTTCTCGGCACTTTCTACCATTTTAACCAGCGCATCAGCAATGCCGTACGAGAAGGCATAGCCACCACCCGCGAAGCCATAGGCAGACAAAACCACCCGATTTCCATGCCGCTCAGAATCCAAGCGGAAGCCCCCTCGTCGCGACGGTCGGATTCCGACAATATAGCTGAGAGCCTCCTCGGAGGGCGACTCCGGGACAATGTCCGGCGCGAGTCGATGCGCCCGCGCAATCTCATCTCGAGCGATCTCCATATCGACCTCGGGCGACCTGCAAAGAGTCAGCATCCTAGTTCCGCCGACCCAACTTCAAACCATGCTTACAGGCTGTCTGCTTGTTTCACGCCGCCAAGGACCACACCGTGCGACATTGGGCGGGGGATGACATAGGTGTATTCCTGCCCGTTCCGGAAGTACATGGTCCGGCAGTTGTCCGTCTTGTAGAAGACGTTTTGGCCTCTTTCAGGGAAGCACCGATCGTCCCGCACATCCTTGAGGGTCTGGCTTCCGATCCCGCTGGCATTGATGAAAATGCTGGACTCGGGAAACATATGATGCAGTTCCTCAAGAGACTCGACTCGCTTGCGGATGAACTGGCCTCCCAGCTCGGTGATTCTCTTACCCAGATAGGGCATGTGGATCGTCGGATCGGTCACAAGAGTCTCATAGCGCCAGCCACAGCTAAACTCGGAAGGATATTCTCCTGGTTGCAGGTCACGCCACTGGCGCGGGGTTAGCGAAACCAATTGCTGGGGCATGCTAAGCGATATCTATCCTACCTTGGAGAGCACAGTTTTGCCCCAAGCTGATGAGTTCTCGGAAGGAGGTTGTTCGAGGTATTCATATGAGTCGACGATGCAAACGCCCGAGTCAGGTTCTTCCTGAGCCATTCGAAGCAAATGGCGGTGAGTGACGGCTTGGATATATCGATATTCGGGACTGATGCCCCCTGCTGCGTGCCATGCTGCACCCGCCCAGGCGGATGCATACCATATGCTTTGATCGCCGGGGAGATATTCTGCCACCAACACCACCCGGAAACCATTTTGCAAGAGCAGTCTCGCCGTGGCACAACCGATGATTCCAGCACCCAGGATGATTACAGGACGCTGCGGGAAGGGGACATCCGAGCCACTCGAGGAATCATGGAGTTGACCCATCTTGCCCAAGGATGTGAGGATCTTGTGCACTACCATAAGTTCGTGGAGGTTTGCCTGTCCGACCCGGCCGACATCAGCTTCGTCGGAAGTTGAGAAAGAGGCGAAGACAAGGAAGACAAGCAAGATAAGCAAGTGGGGTGTTGAAGGGAGGGGGACCTTTGTCAAGACGGATCCAAGGTACAGTACAACTCTATAAGAAAGGATCTCGCACCGCTTAACCACACGTGGCGAGGAGCTGTGGCGGAGCTAGCTCATGCTGAACAGATCCAAAGGAAACTCAGAAGAGGGTTGGACAGCATATATAATCATTCGGGGAGTGTCTTTGCCGAGCAGACCCGCAAGATTATGATAACATGGCCTCATGAGAAAAGACAGTATCTCTGGTTGCGGCGGTGGGCATTCGGATCGAAGCGCCCAGATGGAGGAGTGCGGCAGGCGGTTCCACCCGCCCGTCGGGTCCAGCCGCTGCTGGCAAGCATACTTTTCTCCCGATCCTGCTAACAGTCGTTCCTCCTTCGCCTACTCATGTCGATGGCTAAGACTGCGCTATGCGATAGTCAATCGAGGCCTCGTCAGCAATCAAGGCATCGACAACGCTGATAGGGCATGTTGCTACAGATAGCATGCCATGCCCGCAACAGGAGGATTGCACACGCGGCCACTCCCGACAAGTGGGGGAGCTCCGATTCCACCGATTGTTCCATCTCTAGCACAGTGACTTTGGAAATAGTTCATCATGCGTATAGCAGTTTGTTCTTCGCAAAAGACCGGAGAAAGGCAGATTTAGCGAAGTGGTATTGTACAGAAATAGATCTGAAACGCGTTCATGACGCTGCAACATGAAACTGCATTCGTGGCTCGCGTTTTGGAATATCTTGCAACTTGAGTTTCCTGAACGTTTTAGCAGAAACAAGTCTGCTTCGTCAGCTTCAAGAAGCTTCTCCGGTGCGGGGATGTGAAAGTGGATTGCAGTGGGAAGAGAAGACCTGAGATTGTTGATGGTGAAGATGGCTGATGGCCTGGCGTGATATTGCATTGTTTGCATCTGCCGGCTAGTGTGGTGGTGCAGCGGGACTTACCAGCTCCGGGTATTTCTGCCACCGCCTAAATTGAACAGTTTTCCAGATCGTTTTTTCAGGACTGTTCATATGGAAAATCAGCCCGGACCACTGCGAGGTTCGCTAGGTTCTGCCGACTGGGGCGGTAGTGGAGGCGGTCTAACAAGCCATTCTGCCCCTCTACAGTCACGTGCTCCTTCAGCATCGCATGGAGAAAGCAGTAAGTTACGTAACGCCACGGCCGGAAATCGGAGTTGTAGTCCAACCTACTCCAAAAATCTGTTTCACTCAACTGCAGCATGGGATCAATTAATGTTCGAATTCCTCGTACCACATGCAAGCTAGGTTCGCAGAACCTCGTCCCTGGACAGCACGTTATCAACCCGACTGGGTTGAAATAAGCCGAGAATCAGGCCTGGGTACAGTACTGTCCGAAGTCAAATGATCACTCACTTCCTTCACGGTATAACAGGTTTGCTGGGCCTTCTCCAATTGGGGCGAACTTGCCCACCACCACTTTGCTTGTGACCCCAACAAGAATAAGAATAAAGTGGGTTGGGGGCCTGGCCTTTTCGATGCAGTTTAAAAAAGTAACTTTGAGCTTCACTCCAAAAACACAAACCTGCCTGAAGGGGAAGGCCCCGCATTCTTATTTTTTGTTGCCCCTCCCCGCGAGCCTTACTTTTTTTCTCCCCATCTTCCTCTCTCCACGACAGCTCGGGCTTGAAAACAACAACACTATCAGATAATAAAAAATAATGCGATCGGCATCAGAGCTGACCAACATGGTCTCTTTGAACGGAGCGCTGCCTGAACTGGCCGAGCAGCAGCCCGAGGATTCCATCCCCGAGTCGCGCGTCCTCATCATCATGACCGGAGGTACCATCTGTATGCGACAGTCCCCGTCTGGTTTCGTACCTGCCCGAGGGTTCCAGGAACAGTGTCTCGCCCGAGTCCCGACCTTCAATGATGGCTCGCACACAAGCATGATGGACGTGGTGGTTAACGCCGACAAAGAGGTGAAGGGCCACCCGAGTCTGCGCACCCCCGTCACCGCATACGGGCGGCGCGTGCGATACACCGTGTTCGAGTTCGAGGAGCTGCTGGACAGTAGTTCGATCGACGCGAAGGGTTGGGCCGAAATCGCCCGCACCGTCGAGCGCAACTACACGCGGTTCGACGGATTCGTCGTGCTGCACGGCACAGACAGTCTGGCGTATACGTGCTCGGCCCTCAGCTTCATGCTGCAGAACCTCGGAAAACCGGTCGTCCTCACGGGAGCCCAGGCTCCCATGCTCGAGTTGCAGAACGACGCCACGGACAACCTTCTCGGATCACTCGTTGTGGCGGGCCACTTCATGATCCCGGAAGTCTGTCTGTATTTCAACAATCGACTGTTCCGCGGCAACCGATCGTGCAAGGTGGCGGCCAGTGACTTCGCCGCCTTCAACTCTCCGAACTGCCCCCCGTTGGCGGTCACGACGTCGATGCGCACAAATATTGATTGGGAGCTGGTAAATCGACCCAAGAGCCTGGACCATTTCAGCATTCAGACCAACCTCGACACCACGCACGTCGCCTGTCTGCGGATCTTCCCAGGTATCAAGCCGGAGATGGTGGACGCTGTGCTGAAGCTAGATGGACTGCGTGGGTTGGTCCTGGAGACCTTTGGTGCTGGAAATGCACCCAGCGGACAGGATAATGCCATGACGAACGTGCTGGCTGCTGCCATTAAGAGAGGGATTGTCATTGTTAATGTCACTCAATGTGAGTCTCGCTTGGCCGTAATCGCCGTGATAACGACATCTGAATCTAACATGGACAACACAGGTCTCACGGGAAGTGTCAGTCCCGTTTATGCTCCGGGTATGAGCCTGTCACGCGCAGGTGTGGTCGCAGGCCTCGACCTGACTACGGAAGCGGCGTTGACGAAGCTGGCGTATCTCCTGGCCTTGCCCGACTCCACACCCGAATGGGTCGCGAAGAACATGTCCGTCTCTCTGCGCGGAGAACTGACCGAAGTATCGCAACCTGTGTTCCGTCACCCAGACGGTGCTCTTCCGGAGCGCGTTCAGTCTCTGACCGTGCTGGGCTACGCGATTGCCCAAGGGGATATTGAGCGGGTGAAGGAGATTGTGGTCAGGGAGCATCACTGGCTGCTCAATGATGCGGACTACTCAGGCAACACTCCGATCGTAAGTGGCTCCGTTTATCGTCTTTTGACTACCAGCCGGACAAGAAAGCTGACTCCCCTTGCAGCATCTGGCGGCCACCTCGCCATCTGTCGAGATTCTTCGATACCTTCTGCTCCAGGGTGGCTCAGTACACATCCGGAACCGCAACGGCCGCACGCCATTGTTCCTGGCAGCCAACGCCGGACTCTCGGAGCATGTGCTGCTACTCCGCAAATCGGGAGGACATTTGCATTCGGATGAACGGACGGCGGCGCAGCTGCTCGCGCGACGACGCCCGGCGGTGTGGGGTCTAGCCGGCATCGGACCGCGGGAGGTCAGCGATCGGGAGTTGGAGGAGATCGACGATGAGGGCACTTCGCTAGGACGCACGGCGGAGATTCTGATGGCCGGGTCGGCGCCTTGAACGTAGAGACACGATATACATTCCAGAGGTGTCATCTGGAGCTGATGCGGAGGGAAGGTCTGGATTTGACTTTACATGTGTTCACGCCTGATAAAGCAGTGAGGCGGGTGCGAATGGTGGCTTGTGGGTACTGGGGGTAGATTCCGAGTATGTCTTAATCCTCTGCAGTTTTCCATTACTAGAAGATCCTAGATCGTCTGTGTTTGTCCGATCGCCATGCAGTTATCACCAGAAGAAGACAGGCGAGACCTCAGTTTATACATTGCACAATACCCGATTGTGCCAGCACCAGCAATAATACTCTTCCTATTTCTCTCTACCAGAACCATACTCATTCTCAAGGTAGATGTTGCTATAATAGATAGCCAGCCTTTATCAGATGCCATGCTCCACATATTCAATCTCTTCATGGAGCCCCGGATTGACTTTAGCTGCGATCGTTCTCGTGCCCCTCCCACTGCCTGCAGTAGTAGTTCACTAAGCCAATCACCACTGATGAGTGCCACTCCACCGGCAAAGAGCATCCTACGATCTCGGAAACATTCTCCAGACATTCTCCCACCCCATGGCTTGTCCACCAACCAAACTCACCCAAGAACATCCCTCGACTCGACACACACCGCCAAGAAAAAAAATAATAATCAAGCACCGGTACCATAAAAGCACCGACATCATTAAATTTACCCACCCCCCCCAAGAAGAAGATCTATAAATCTATAACCCACAACGCCACAGATATGCAACATCATCATCGTCATACATACACAGCCCTAACGGCAAGCAAAGCCCACAGCCCGGTGCCGAACTCAAGGCTTGACCAAGACACCGCGGTAGCGCATCTTACCCTGGCGGAGGGTCTCCATGGCGTCCTCGATGCCCTCCTTGGTGAGCGGGAAGGTCATGACGGTGGGGACGATGTTCTTGCGGGCGGCGAAGTCGAGCAGGGAGCGGATGCTGTTGCGGGAGGCGACGAGGGAGCCCTGGATGCGGACGCCGCGCCAGACGAGGTCGAGCATGGGGACGCGGGCGGGCTCGAAGGCGACGGTCAGCGGGTAGATGCTGCCGTGGGTGGCCATGAGGGGGATGAGCCTGTCGGAACAGTCAGTCAGTGGGACAGCTCGTTCGAAGAAATGTGTTGGGGGGCAGGCAGGCAGGCAGGCAGGCAACATACGAAGGATAATCCACGGATCCGCTCCCGCACAGCAGCAGGTGGTTGACGGGCTTGAAGCCCTCGGGGACGGGGCCGCCGGACCGGAAGACGTGGTACTCGGAGGCGCCGAACTCCATCGCCTCCTGGCGCTTGCCCTCGGAGCTGGAGAGCACGACCACGTGGCAGCCCATGGCGGCGGCCAGCTTGATGGCGATGTGGCCCAACCCACCAATGCCCATGACGGCGACGCGGTCGGTGGCCTTGATGCCGTACTCGGACAGGACGGTCCAGACGGTGGCGCCGGCGCACATCAGCGGCGCGGCGTTGATGGAATCATACCCCTCCGGGATCGGGTAGACGCACTTGGCGTCCCAGATGGCGCCGTAGCTGAAGGTGCCATTGTGGAGGTCGTGGAAGCCGTATTGCTTCTGGTTGCGGCAGTACTGGTCCCATCCTGTTGCACCTCTGGTTAGCATCGTGATATAGGGCACGGAGGGTAAGCATGCGGGAGCATACCAGTCACGCAGTTATCGCAGTTGGCGCAGACGCTGTGCGTATATCCGAAGCCAACCCGCGCGCCAACCTTCACGTCGGTGACACCAGGCCCAACAGCTTTGACGATACCCACACCCTCGTGGCCCAGCACTTGGTCGGCCTTGAGGTAGTGCTCGTCCGTGCCGCAGAGACCGGAGTGGGTGGTCTCGATGAAGACCTCGCCGTGACCGAGCTCGCTGGTCGTCTGGGCGGGCACAATCTTGCCCTCGGCGGAGCCGCGGAAGACGTCGTAGGTGAAAGAGGTCATCTTGCAGGATATGAATCAAAAATACAACCAAATCTGGCTATGAGAGTGTGTCATCCCCAGAGGAGAAAAAGTGGCAGTCGGATTTATATAGAAGAATGGTTATCGGGAAGAGGTGGGTCCAGCGGGCAACCTGGGCATCAAATCGGGAGCCTCGGTTTCGCAGGGGTTGCAAAAGGGTGGGGCAAATTTCATCAGCAACTGGTTTCTTGTCTTTGATAAAGATTTTTTTTTTCTGATACAGTCAACTGTCCGTCCTCGGCGGAAAAACCAGTCGGGAGAAGTCTCCGAGAATGTGTCCGTCGGTGGGATTTGGATAAACTCTCCGCCATATGAACCCTCATAATTCCTGGTTATGGCTCTTCCGGAAACATTATTCCATGATCGATCGCGGAGAGTTTTGGATGTTGAGTACATTTGTTGATGTCTTGTGGAGTGCGCACTTATCTACAGTACATACTCCGGAGTACTGCACTACGTCAGAGATATGGAGGACAAGCACTATGTTAGTGAACTTAAGCTAAAGAATAGTGGCAGCCACGTTTTAACTGTAAGCAGCACTCAAGCTAAGCCACATCACATTTTTTTCCTTTCTTATTTTTTCTTATCTGTCTTGGCAGTCAACGGCTTGTTGTGCCGCTCACCCGGCCCGACCTCCTCATTGAGGGTTACAGGCCGAACAAATCCCGGGGTCGGTATCCCGCCGGAGGGCAAATTCTCGTTCCTCCCTCAGAAAACCTCTCTCTCGAACCCCGTCACGGGTCAGATCTTGAGAAGAATAACGGCTCATCATATGATTGGCGTCACCGCGGGATCTTAAGCCTAAAACTAGCGTGCAGGACTGTGGATCACTTCCACTGATCCTGCCGCTGGGAGTCTTCCAGAATCTTGGATGCTTCTGTTTCCAAGGCAACTTATGCGCTTGCCATGTTTCATGTTACCGGGGCAGAAGGTAGGCAGGCGGAGATCGATTTGCACAGGAGTAGATGTTTGCAAGGATGCATCAACATTTCGAGCCAATGACATAACGCAGCCGGGTGTGATATACATTATAAGAGACTTTCACCCACCGTGGCTTTATTTTAATTCAAGCTAAACCTGTGGCAAACGGAATGCAACACGAACGTGATGTACTGTCTATGCATTGGAGTATCCCCTTAAAGTCCCGTAACGAATTTTCATACAGTCTTTTCCAACTTCTGGATCCTCCATAGCCGTTTGAGTATCCTCAATAGCCGCGTAGGTGGCCTGTCTCTCTTTGCGAACACCTTCCATGCCGTAACAACACAGCTGTAAGGACTAGGCAGTGCAAGTATCCCTACAGGGAAAACAGAATCATGTGCGCGCATGAATAGGATCAATAGGTCCGCAGCTGGCCTTGTTCAGGCTTTAAATTTTGCAGGACTGCGGGTAATGTTGGCCAAACGGCTATCGTTTTGAATGAAACCTATTGTTCTTCATTACAACAGCACCCTTCCATGCTTAACATTTTCGAGAGCCCTGCCTATATGTTATTACATCCTTTCCTCGCTCCCGTTTCTCATCAACACACGTTCCGCCCTCCTGCTTCCTTTCTACTGTATGGGTTATTACTCTTGTTTCTTACGCTTTTAGCGTGTGGTACCCGACTACTCGATTGTAGACATCTCATACATATCTTGATGAAGTCAGCGTGTAATCTCTCCAGCGGGAGTATCATCACCTATATGTCTAAGAACACATCCTATTGGCTGGAGTTCAATCTCCCCTTGAGATTTAGGACAGTCGTGGTTAGCAAAGCTATAGGTCCAGCCAAAACAGAAGCTATATGTAGTCTCAGAGAACGATAAATCTGCTCAATAAACTTCCATTAAAGCTCTCTTCATACGGTAGCAAATTAGCGAAACTTCCCCCCCCCCCCCCTTTTTGGTGGCGATATATTTACCCATGCAAAGCGTTCCCCAAGCTTTCATTGCAAATCACGCCTATCATGCGAGAAAGCAAATGCATATCCCTAAGTGCTCTCACAGAAACATCGGTACTGTAGCGATAACATTGCCTGTCCGACTAGCGGGGAAAGAAGCATGAATATACCCAGCGCGGAGGCGGGGATCCGCAGGACAGGCACAGCGCGGTACGAACCACCCGTATTCAATAAGGAGGCACAGTCATCTGCACCGGCTGAAACAAAAACTTCTGCGCTGGGCTGCCATCGGCCGGGGCGGGTTTGATGGTGGAGTCCGCAGCGGTCCAAACAAGTCCATCCGCAGGGTTGCAGACCCTATATGCCCCCTCACCAGCGTCCTCAAATGTGAAGGTTGTCGGCTGCTGAGCAACAGACGTGCACGACGTGTCATCACAGCTGATATACGAATTGATATTGGTGAAGGCGTTCTTGATGGTGGCGCCGCCGTCGACGGGGTTGATGGCCCATACGTTGAGGTAGTCGTTGGCTTGGTAGAAGCGGAGATCCCCGGTCGCATGCAGGGTGTCGGTGGTGCCTGCGGGCTGGATTTGGTAGTACGTTACGAGGGTGGCTGAGGCTGAGTTTATGAGAGTTGTGATGAGGCTGACGGGGATTTTCATTGTGTATGTGAACCTTTAGATGGGTGGGCTGATGACCGTGTGGTAATAGAATGGCTTTTTTGTAGAGATCGTGCGGGTGTGAATTATAAAAGTCAGCTGTATTCAGGATGAACAAAGAAAATCATTGACGTATTTGTACTCAGACTGGAGTAGGACATACTAGCAGTGGCGAAGGACAACGCTCGAGTTCAGAGTAGGCGAAGTGACGTGAACGTACATGAGAATCACGAGCGTTCGGATACCAAGCAGAGAGAGGAAAAAGATGATCAGCTCTGCATGGTTGTGTAACATCACCTGCCCTGGTCTCACAATCACCAACGATCCATGTGAAAGAAAAGCATTGTTGTCTTGTTTTAGGCAAGGGATGTGATTTAGCATCAATGCCAAGAGGATATACAGCAGAAACCATGACATAATGTATGCTTGGTGCGAGATCATCACGCTTAGAGCAAGTTCACAGCACTACACCAATTGAAGGACATCTACTCCCTTTTGTCTGTTCCTCTGTTGAGGCCAGCAAATTTCTGAGCGTGTCTCTGTCACCCTCAAGCCCTAACCCAAGAGACCATCAGGAAATCACAATATTTCTCTTACTCTCAAACACCAGGCAGTCATTCCGGAAGAAGTGCTTTATGAACCGCATCGCAAAAGAACGGACCGAGCAAAATAGATATTCGAAATCTGAAGTCTTATACGCGACTAGTGATACAACGAATCACACGAAAATCAGAGACACAATCCGCCAGAAATCACTATCAGCAGTCACTTAAGGTCAGGTCCTCCTTATCCCTCCCGGTGCAAGTGGAAGAACCCTCAAAGTCTGGGTCCCGGAGACTATCCTCGTAGTCTGGATCCATCGAGCTATCCTCATACATCCGCGCCTCCCTGAAGATATTCCACAGAATTGATGTGATGGCGAAGTCCCTGGTTGAAGAAAAGAATTCCCAACGTTCGGTCGTGCGTTGGATCTGTAAACTGTCAGCGCGGGGAGAATACTCTGGTGCAGACCCTTCGACTCCGACCTCCTACCTTTCTTGTGGTGTCCAGACGGAGGAATGTCAAGGTACGGCTGTTCTCATCGTGGACAAGGCCGTAGACCACGGCAAGCATGTCGCAGGCCTGCCAACGGGATTCTTGAACCATGACTAGACAGTTGAGCACGTCAGGAAGGGCTTTTTCTTTTGTCCTCTCACCACGGAAAGACCTAGCGGTCTGATTTAGGGAACCACGTACGCATGTAAGCTATAGCCCGCGTCTCTGCCTGCTTTTCCGGCTTGTCGGGATCGGCCTCGACCACCACCAGATGGATGCGAGCGATTTCCGGGTCGCGGTACCAGAGGGTGTAGTCCGCCCGGCCAGCAAGAGTCATGCTCTTGTGTTGCGCAAAGGTATGCAGCAGGTCCGTGTTGTGCGCGAGATTCATCATGCCGGTCTTGACCCCCAGGACGGTGTTCACTGCGTGGGCAATCTGTAGAAGAATCCAACCGAGCGGGCTGTATTGATCGATGTTTGAGTGATCATAGGCGTATTTATTCATGATTTCAGAGACTTCGAGCTTGAAATCGGCTGTTATATTCATCAGTAACCCCCATATCTCTTAGCTGGACACGGGCCGCTCCTGGGAGAAATTATCAAATGCGATTCCTTTGGGGACTTACCTACCTGGCAATGGATGAACGTCAGTTGGAAAGGCTAGCCAGTCATAATCATCCTCGCGAACCACAATCCCGAAGCTGCGTTGCAGGTCGCGATCGGTGAGAGCAAGAAGAGAGATACATCCCGACTGTTCACGGTCTCGCTGTTCTTCCATCCGCCGAATCTGGTCATCGAGGCCGAGCACCTCTCTGTGCTGCGTCTCAACGCATCCCAACACTTTCTTGAGACTCTGTAAGTGTGTGGTTGCACTTTGAATTTCTGAAGCGATCCTTTCATCGATAGCGCTGCGTCTCCCGATCAGGTCCTGCTGGTTCCGAGTCGCAGACACGACGGATTGTTGCTCCATACTCTCGCGGGACAGAGTCGGGACAAGAAAAAGTCAGTAGTACTTGCGTCCTGCTATGTCGTCAGTATCGAACGTGGGTGGAAAGGACGGTATACTCTAGGTGTATTTCTTATTGCGTCGGAGAAGAACACACTCAGTTATCGGCACACTCCAGGAAAACGACTAAAACAGACGTGCCGGAGGAGAGAAAATGGACTCTATATGTGAGGTGCAGCAGTTAGGGAAATACGGTCCGCATGTTGTCATCATGATAGCTTACGGACTCAAGGGGCCTGCGGGCTTCGCCGTGATGATGTAGGGCTTACCGAGCCAGAGCAATGCCACACAGCCATCCATTTGTCTTTCCATCCCACTCCTCCGAAAACTCGTCGTTCCTCCAACCATAAGCTACTATTCCGATTCACACCACATTCATCAGTTCCTGACTCGTCAGACACATTCTACATCCGTCATGCCGTGGAGCATCCTGTAACAGCATGGCTGAATCTTTGGGACGAGAGATTCTGCGAAGACGTGGGAGACTTCAACGGGGCCCAGGAAGCCCAGGCCCGACTGTATTTCCAGCGTGAAGCGGGGCAGCTCGGCCACGTGGAAGCGCTGGTGCGCAACGACGTCGACTTGAACTTTGCGATCCAGCGCGAGGCGGCTCTCCAAAGCGAGCTCAAGACCCTCTCCGTATGGCTAGTGATCTCCGGCGCCGCGGACGTCACCACCGCGGAGGAAATCTACTCTCGCATCCAGACCGTCGAAACCCAGCTGTCGGCGCTGGAAGAGACGATCTGGCACTTGGAGCGCAGGACCCACGTGGTCCTGAGTCGGTTCCCTGAGGGCCCGCTCGCACTGGCACATGGCCCCGCTACTCAAGGAGGACTGCACCGGCCGCGACTGGTGCTGCGCGTGCCAGTGCGGATGCTGCACCAAGCCGAGAAGCACGGCCCGTGCGAAGCAGGGTCACTGTACGTCCGCTTGCGCATGTTGTGAGCGTGCTCGCGAGTGTGCGGTGGGACGAGAGGTGAACCGGGAGCCGACTCGCATCGCCTTTGCCGGCTTGGGCAACCGCCGAGATCATATGCAGCGCCTCATGCTGGCCTATTGCTTCGGGCTGCGTGGGGCACAGCGTTACAACAATGTAAGATGCAAGTATTGGTTCCTTTGAGGGTGAAGGGAGAAAGAAATTGTTCTGTATTGCTTTGGGTGAAACGAGCTTCGAGAACAGTGGGAGATGATTTGTGGCCTTGCGTTGGGCACGTCCTTGTTCTGGCTATGGCGGCCATTACTATTGCTGGTTGATAGACATTTTTAATGTTCAGATTCATGTGGTGGTGTGTTTAAGGGTAAGGGGCTGCTATTGACTTCCCGCTGAATCGCTCTATCTGCTCCCTTCGCCGACCTTATCCTTGGGGAGTACTACTCTTTTCATCTCATGTTTGATCGACAGGGAGAACTCAAGGATTTGCTGAGAATGAATTACCCTCGGGAGATCCATATGCGGTCAGGGTTACATGTGCTCACGTGCTTTATAGTTGATGGCTCAGTAGGCAGTTTGAAAACACATCATCATCATCATCATCATCATCTTCTTCTTCTTCTTCTTCAATGCGATCCTCTTTGTTCGCGCCAATGTACAATGATGACAGAGATAGAGTTCTAGCAATCTGTAGTTCATGTAACAGTGACCTTATTCAACACTAAGTCGAGGAGAGATGAATAAATGAGACGTTGATCCCAAACTGAAGACTGGGAACAGGGTACGAGAATCAGCCGGTGGGATGGGTGATTATGTGATTGTATATACGAACGGAACAGACGCTGGAGCGCCGGCCTAAGAAACAGGATACTGGAATGAATTATCTACTGCCCAAAGAGTCACACTGTCTAATCGGTGCGACCACAGCGAACAACCTCCTACCAGCTTCGAGATAACACCTTGTTCAAGCAGCCACCAGTTGAAGATAATACGACACGATATCCACGACCTGCTCTTCGAACGAGCGGAACTTGTTCCCCAACACCGTCTCCGACGTGCTCGTGTCCAAAGAAATGGGAATCGACTGAATCTGCCCGTTGTTCGGCAGCAGGGCCGACTCGACCTCGTCTCTGAACCTGCGCGCGGTGATCTCAAGACTGTGCTGCCAATCGGTACCCTGCACGCCTCCCGAGGAGAGGATGAAGCCCTGATTCCCCGGGACGGTGGGATCGAGGCAGCGGACGTGCGCGTCGGCGACATCATCCACATGGACCGCAGAGTTGGGGGTGCATCTGTCCTTGGCCCCGTAGGCCACCGGCCCCAGCACCTCCTGGTTGGATCCGCGCATCAGATCGGCCGGTGTGGGGGCAAGTTCATCCCGTCCGATCACGAACCCGGGGAACAGATGGATCACGTCGAAAGACGGTCGGGTCGTCGCCAACCACTGCTCTGCCTCGTTCAATGCGGCCACTTTACTTGCCGCATAGGCTTCGAAGGCGGAGCTGTACTCGTACCCCGCGGGGTGAGTGGGCACGCGACTGTTGGCGTCGAACACCCTCCCGACGCCGCCACCAGAGACCACGAACGACCACGGCACGATCGCCGCGCCGGACGAGGTGATCACAACTCGTCGGACGGTGCCGGCCTTGTGTGCGGCCGTCAACAGCCCCAGGGTGCCGCGGACCGCCGGGTCGATGAAGTGCTCGACCAGGCGGGCACTGCTGGCAGTGTCTTGATCGAGGTTATTCAGCTGGGTTTGTTGCGGGATCGGCGAGGCCACGTGGATGGCATACTGCGCGCCTTGAATCGCCTGGTCGTAGGCTCCCTCAGCGGTCAGATCCGGCACCTGCACGAACGACAGCCGGTCGTCGCCGGGCTGAAGAGCCTGGATGGAGGGCGTGGCCAGGATCTGCCGGGCCTTGTCGGGGCTCCGCACCGCAGCCCGCACGCGGTAGCCGGCTTCGAGTGCCCGCACAAGCACGCGAAACCCGACGTGGCCGCTGCCTCCGGTGATGAAAACGAGTTCTCCGGCCATTATAGTCCTCATGTGGTGTGCATTGAGTCGGGTGGCATGTTCCCGGCATCTCAGATGTGTCTCTCCTGGCGTGCATTGCGGGGATTTATAGGCAAGGCGGACCGGTCTTCGTTATTGAATCTGTCGTCTGTATCGATATTTTCCTGTACCATAGATACTGGATCTCGAATACGATCACCCCCGAACACGGTCATTATTTTTGATAAGCGGCCAGATTCCCTGAACCAGGGGTGCGCGCGTTCGTAAAATTGGGGTTAATCTTGCGGAACGAGTTTGGGACAGGCCGGAGATGGGAGTTAATACGAGGCACGGGATGTCACCACGAAACATAGGCAGCTTTTATTCAAGTAAGGCACTTTTCTTTGTCTTGTCATCCTCTCCGAGAGTGCGTCCGGCAGCACGGCTTGAATCCTAATTTGTCGATGTCCCCGTCACCACTCCCGGCGGGTGGAAACTGAAGACATCTCACCGTCGATTGCACATCAGTGCTATATCCCAACAAACTCGGTACCTCTCAATGTTCTACCAGTACCGCCGCAACACAAGAAATCAGCTGAAGCTTTGACTGGGAGTGTCTTCAACTCTCCGATGTAGCCTCTTGGTAGGTTGAGAGAGTATCATGGGCTTCCACGCCCCAGTCAGGATGACAAGTTGTCAGGGACTCTTCGTAGTCGATTCGGTGAACGATCTGCGGGAATTTTTCTGCGTGGAGTTTGAACAAGCCCCTTCTGATTCGCCTGATGCAACTAGGGGCTTAATTGACCATTTTCGATTCGAGCCGTTAGTGGCTTTGAACCATTCACTTGGGGGGGCCTATAGCTGAGAAACATACTATAGATCATCTATGGCTGGGTGACGGTATTGCAAAATGCAAAATATGGTATCATAGCCATCATAGCTAAAAGGATCTCCCCTGGCAGGTCAGACCGGTTACCCCGCAAATGACCTGCCCCTCGTTGACAACAAATATCTGTTCTTTGTGTCCCATGTCCTCAATAGACCAAAAGCCAAACGAAGTGCCTTCTGAACTCATACTTCCTGCCTGATTCAACTCTCAAATTCCAACTTTACTAGTTATACAAATATAAGATTATTGGGCTAGAACTGTGAAACTATACTTCCATAGATTCTCTTTTTCACTTTAGTATATTAGAATCCCACTTAAAACAATTGTAATACCTTGGCTAGGAAGTTTGGTGCAAGAAGAATTACTAATTCCACAAGACAAAAACCTTTGACTTGGTGAGTATTCTCTTAGTTAGATGGAACTCAAGTAAAGGGGCAGGTATACAGACAATTTGAATCAACATAAACATATTAGAACCATTCGTGACATTTATCTTTATTGCAGAGGAAAAGCAGAGTTAGGCCAAGTGCCACTGGCCTTTCAAAACTTCTTTCCTTCTCGTTGATCATTTCCTTCTTGTCAATCATATCACTATTGTTCAGTACTCCGCCTGTCAAAAAGTACTTATCACCGGCTTTGGGTCGCATAGTTTAATACAGGCAATCTAGGTTGCACCGACCACAGCGGTGGAATACCACCAAGAATCTATGCTTTAGATAGATACTTATATCTTTACTACACCTGACTCGGGGGCCAGTCGTGCCTTCACTAATGTAGAAAGGTAAAACAAAAGAGATTCGAGAACGTGACTAAGTAGTTTACAGGGACGATTCACTCCACCCGCACCTCCACCTCCATCACCTTCTGGATCTGCAGCTGACATCCTCCCCCCTCGCAGCCGGGGATCTCCCCCTGCTGCTCCCCCATCCGGCCCTTAGGCGGGGAGGACGCCATCACTGCTGCCCCGTGAGGAGCAGCGGGCCCGTCACCATGTCGCCCTCCGCTCCCTCTTCTCTCGTTACTCTCCAGCGAACTACTGTCCCCGCTACTGTGCTCGATGGTAGTCGTCACCATCACCGCATTATCCCACGGCCTCTCCTGATAGTCCCGAGGGTGGTGGTTGCGATGGCCCAGCTCCAGGAACTCCCCGGCCTGGTCGTCCGTCTCGGAGGGCAGCATGCGGCTCTGGTTGCGCTGCGTGCGGCGGACCCCGCTCATCAGCCCGTACGAGCGCGAATGGTTGTTCAGCGTCTGGCTGCCCGAGACGCCCGCGGTGCGCTTGCGGCGGCGGGTCCGGTAGCTGGAGGAGAGGGTGGAGGCGAAGGCGTGGAAGTAGGGGCCGTAGGTTGGGATGCAGGCGATGATTACCTGGTCGTTCCGTTAGTCAATAGTACCTTTTTGGGGGACGAAGCGTAGGCGGGTGAGGGTTCCGGTAGGTACTAGGCAGGGCATGGTAGGAACCGGGTTCGGGCGAGCATACTCCCAGACTGATCTCCACGTCCGACCACAGGACAATCGGCTGGCTGTCCGTGTAGGTCTTGAGGTTCTTGATGGTGAAGATGCGGATGATTTGGATGATGGTGATGAAGAAGCCGAGGGCGAAGATACCGATTAGGGCTACCTGGTGTGTTGATCGGAGAGTCAGCGTCGGGCGACCGACAGGGTTGCACGTGGGACGGGGAACTCATGGACCTTCTGTGTATGGCGGAGTTGTAAGGTCCAGAGGACAGGGAGGGGGAGAGCGATGATCACGATATCGAAGCCGAGGCTTGTTCCTGTATTGTGGGGAGCTGGTTATGGACCTGTTCTGGGGAGAGGGACGTGACGTTCTGTACCGGCCAAGGCTTTTGTATCTGTCAGTTTCCTAATCCTCATTGTGTTAAAGTTATGGGTCTGGCCTACCGTAGTATGAAGCTACCGTGTCAATGCATGTTCCAGGAATACTCGAGTCCCATTGCTTTGCGACCTAATCCCTTGTCAGAGAATAATTACCAGACAGATAGGAAGGTGTTTGGTGTGGCACTGACCGGCTGACAGGCCAGAGTCAAGAGGAGTGTAAAAACCAGCTGGTTGCATGTCACCGCGCCGGTGACGGCGATGATGACCCATCGGTATGCGGCCACAAAGCCTCCAATCCGCAGGTAGGAGGTCAAGAGCGAGACTTTGAAGAAGAGGAGCGCAAGGATGTATAATGGACCGCCAGCGTATTGGATCTGGGCCAGTCAGTCTGTCACTATTACGAATTGCCACCTGGTCACGGCAGGTAGAAAGTACCAACCTTACTGAACATCACCACATTGGCATCCGGAAAAGATGCTGCGTCCAGTCCAAGACCATACCGTGTCTCTAAGCAGTGAAATTGACTGTCAGTTCTCATCAAGCAAGCTTTACATCCGGGTGAAGAAGAAACACGTACGAGCCACCGCAACCCCGGCATAGCCTAACCCCAACAACGCACTGCAAATCGCCGCATAGTCATCGAGCCAGAGGTCGCGTTTGGTGTGCAACCGGATGTGAAGCCGTAGCAGCACGGCCAGCAGAGCACTGATGCTGAAGGTCAAGCAGATCGCGATGACCCGGGCAACGTGGCTGTGGGGATCCGGGTGGGCGAGGTTATGGACCCAGGGCATGGCATTCCTGTTAATGGGGCAGACTGGGGTGGTGAAGAACTCAACGACCAGGATCTTGTAGATAGTGCAATGCACATCGATCTCACCAGAGAAACATCATGCAAGGTGGGAAGACCCGAACCCTGGGGAACAATCACCTTATTTTTTTTTCTTCTCTTTTTTTTCTTGGGTTCAAGTTGCTTGAAGATTTCTCGGTTCCTTCAGCCTAGCAATCGGCACAATCGGACTCCCCCCTCCCTGTCTAAGGAATCAATTAATATGCACGAAGTCAAATCCAAGACATCGGCTGCATTGGCAGCGCACTATTTCCGAGGCGATTTACGCCATCGTGCATTCGAGTGAGACTAAGGCAGTACTAACGCCGCGACTAACGTGCGCCGTTGTGGGGCGCCAGCACGGGGGAACCGGACCGCGCATCGCTGCAGCGGGGGCACTGTCCAGTCGGTCAATAAACGGTCAATAAACGTGGAGACTAACTGCTTAAGCGAGATGGTTCGAGATTGCATGTAGATTAACTGTTTGGCTTTAACCAGGATAGTTGGGATAGTCTAGGCAACCAGCCGAGTTTTCCGACGATGAAGAAAAATTGACAAGAAGGCAATGGCCTGATGGCAATCATACTCCTAGCCCTAAGTCAAGCATACCCAATCTGCTGCATAGGTTATTATCGGAGTAGATGTAGGAACAGGTAAGGGGGTGTCCCACTTGGTGTCATGTTCGACAGCCAAGCCTCGGGAATGTCGGCATATAAATTGGCCTTGTCCTCCCCCCCTGTCGCTCACTGGAAGATCGTCTCCAAGCAGAGCCAGGTCATCTACCAATCGTCATGCCCTCCGCCACTTTCTGGACCAGCTTGCTGGCCCTCACGGCCACCGCTACGGCGAGCCCCCGCAGTCCCAGCAGCACCAGCAATTCCACCAGCTGCCGCTGCTTCCCTGGCGATGCTTGCTGGCCTTCCACCAGTGAATGGGCCAAGTTAAACCAGACAGTGGACGGCCGTCTGATCAAGACCATCCCCCTCGGCAAGCCCTGCCACGCGCCCAACTACGATGCCGCCGTGTGCGACGTCCTCAAGGAGGAATGGACGGAGCCTGAGCTCCAGTAAGCCACTGCCACTTTGACTTCACCCCCTTGCGTCCCCTCATCAGCTCCCCCTTACTGATCCGTGCGACGCGACCCACAGTTACCAATCCAGCAGCTCGATCATGGCCCCATGGTTCACCAACGGCACCTGCGACCCGTTCCACCCGGTCTCCAAGCCGTGCACGATGGGCAACTACATCGACTACGCGGTGAACGTGTCGACGCCGGCCCATATCTCGGCGACGTTGAAGTTCGCCCACGAGCACAACATCCGCCTGGTGATCCGCAACACGGGCCACGACTACAACGGCAAGTCCACCGGTGCCGGCGGGCTGGGCGTGTGGACGCACAACCTGAAGTCGCGGACGCTGGTGGACTACAACTCGACCCACTACACCGGACCGGCTGTGCGGCTGGGGTCGGGTGTTCAGGGCTTCGAGGCGTATGAGTTTGCCGATGAGCACGGCTACCAGGTCGTGGGCGGCGAGTGCTCGTCCGTGGGCATCGCGGGCGGCTACTCGCAGGGTGGCGGCCACTCAGCGCTGTCCTCCAAGTACGGCATGGCGGCGGACCAGGTGCTGGCCTGGGAGGTGGTCACGGGCGCCGGGGAGCTCGTGACGGCCACGCGCGACAACGAGTACAAGGACCTGTACTGGGCGCTGAGCGGCGGCGGCGGCGGCACGTACGGCGTGGTCGTGGCCATGACCTCCAAGCTGCACGCCTCGACCCCGACCTCGGGCCTGAACCTGACCTTCACCAACGAGGGGATCTCCCAGGACACCTTCTTCGAGGCGGTGACCCTCTACCACACGCTGCTGCCCAGCATCGTCGACGCCGGCGTCATGAGCATCTGGTACTTCACCAACACGACCTTCTACATCTCCCCGCTGACGGGACCGGGCGTCCCCGTCGCCACGCTCCGGGCGCTGGTCGAACCCTTCGAAACCGGCCTCACCAACCTGGGAATCCAGTACACGCTGACCGCGAAGGAGTTCGACACCTACCTGGAGCAGTTCAACACGATGGAAGCGGAGATCGCGGTGGGCAAGGCGCAGTACGGCGGGTGGCTGATCCCGCGCGACGTGGTCGTGCACAACACAACCGCACTCACCGAGGCCTACCGCGCCATCGTCGAGGACGGGGCCACCTTCATCGGGGTCGGGCTGAACGTCAACCGCAGCGTGGCCGGCGACGTCGACAACGCGGTCCTGCCCGCCTGGCGCGAGGCCCTGATCGACACCACCCTGACCACCCCCTGGGAGTGGGACGCGCGCGCCGCCATGGTCGCCGAGCAGGACAAGATGACCAAGGACTACATCCCGCGCCTGCAGGCCCTGGCCCCCAACTCCGGCGCCTACATGAACGAGGGCAACTTCCAGCAGCCCGACTGGCAGAAGGCCTTCTACGGCGTCAACTATGACCGTCTGCTGCAGATCAAGGACAAGTACGACCCCTACGGCTTGTTCTACGCGCGCACCGCCGTCGGTGCGGACGCCTGGACGGAGTCCGCGGATGGGCGGTTGTGTCGGGCTTAGTGCTTTTGTATTTATATAGGGCTTGATGAGAAGTCGCGTGGCGAGTGTATTTCTAGATAGATTAATAGAACCAAGACCTTTTTTGTGTTCAACCGCGGGCCACAATCAACGACGTACTACACTTTAACTAAAATCCTTACACCGATGGAGCTACAAGCCACAGAGCATGATTCAGCGAGAGGGGGGTGGTCAGTCTCATGACTACTAACTGTAGACAGCCGTGGCTTCAACCTGAACGGAACCATTACAGCTGTCTATCGACTCATTCAGGGATCAACAACACTATTATTACAATAGCATGAGACAGGATACATGGCACTTATAACTCAGAAGATACACTACATAAACCGAGCATCAACTACGACTAGCACATACGACCAAAGGGTGTGGAAGAAGGGCTTCCCCTCCGCTCAGCCGCCCTCAAGCCACACTGATAAACGTGGCCAGAAGATCAATGAGCCCCGAGCGTGTTGCTGTTTTATGGGTGAGCATAGGCAAGATGGGTGAGAATTCGGTGAGAATTCGGTGAGAATTCGGTGAGCATATCACCTACCGGCGTGAGTGGGGGTGAGAAAGAGTGAGCTACAGAACGCTAAGTTAAATAGACTGCAGTTATTACTTCTTCATCTTTCATATCAATAGAAAGGGCTTCTATTTTTCTTTTTTCGTTCTCTAGTCCCCGACTTCACTTTTCATGACGTGACCATGACTGTGTCTATGGAAACGTGGCCAAGCCAAGCAGGGTAGCCGGATATAATCGTCTCAAAAAACCCGACAACAGCGGCTTCCTGTCTCCCTGCTTCGCGAATCCACTGACAGACCAGCTTTGTAGAGTCCGCCTCATGTAGGAAACAGGGTGCGATCTGTGCGGCGGCGAGCCAATTCTTAGATCGTCGATTTGTCGCTGTGGTTGGCTCAACTGGTATTATGAATCATGGTGGCTTAATCGGCGCGAATCCGGACGAAAGGAATTGTTGCAGAATCCTTGATAAGCATTGCTGCAAAAGATCTAGATAATTTCTTTCTGCATGGGCAGAAATCGCTGTTAAAGGCCTAGTGGTGGCTCTTGTTGCCTCATCGATCAAGCACTACTAAGTTCCAGCCATGTAGCCGCGCTTGTCCCAACCAGGGTCCCCTTACCACCAAAGATACCTTCAATTAAGCTATCCTTCTGCCAGTAAGTGCAGAATTGTGGACGGCGGGTTAGGGTTTTGTTGGCTTTGTTAAGCTCGGCCAGGACTCAACTGCGGCCTTGCTAAGTAAACACAACCAATGCAACACCGCACAAGACTCGGCACGCATAATCTTCAATTTATTTAGCTGTGAGATTGATTTAGCTACTGCTTAGTATAGTTTTAGTAGCATAACATGCATTCTGGTTCTATGAAAAGTACACTTCTCAGGTGGGTATTCTGTCCGCATGACTTTTAGTTAGTGTACCTTGCAACTATGAACGTGACATTATAACTTTGAGATAATCACAGATTGATGCACTATAAGTGTCTATAACATCCAGTCTTATTCATTTTGATGCTTCGAATTTGTTGCTAGTTCAATCAAAATGCATTGCTCTCCAAGCATGAAGTGTGGTTTTTGAGCCACCTTATTGTGGGCTGCAAGGGCTACCACACGGCAAGCCCTCCTCTCTTACTTCTTACCCTTTTACACACGATTTGGATCTATCCTACTTTATAAAGTGCCACATAGATCATTAATAACGCTTCAAGGGCGCCATAGATGTGTATAAGTACTAGGAATAGCCTCGAAAGTTGCCGCATGCCTTCAACATGCCGCTGGTAAGCAGAAAGACCACCTTAAGTCTCCGCAAACTTTGACCTCAATCTCAATCTGGCCCCATACACATAAAGTGCGGATACCCCTACGACCCCTCCACAAGAAAGACCACCCAATAGTGAAACACCTCCAGCAATCCCAAGCCGGTCGAAGAGCGGCCGAGCATAGATTACCGCGCCAGCAGCCCAAGCCGATCGGAAGAAGTCATTGGCCGCGAAAAGGCTTGCCGCATACCGGGGATAAGACAGCGGAAGATACGTGAAAATCCCTGTTCGGTCTTAGTAGGACGCGCCGAATGACGGGCATATTGCGATAGTGTACCTACCTTGGAAGAGGATAAAGCCACCTGTGCTGAACAGTGCGACGCCAGCCATGGAAACAACCCAGTGAATACTTTGCCGGCTTGACCAGGCAAATAGGAATAGCCCTATTGGTTGTAGAAAAGAGGCGAATATCGCCGGGATGAGACACTGCTCTGGGGGACTAAGTCCGTTCTTCTTGACTCGAGGTTCCTTCATCCGGCGTTAGTCCTTGTCGCTTGGGATCGATGTACCTTCAGCTGAGATCAGAAAATGAGAAAGGGGAGTTACCCAATGCCAGTAGACGTAAATCAAATATATTAAAGTCCCGGCTAAACACGCAACAACGATCGATAAAAAGGCGGTACCCGTCAGGCCGAGATCGAATCCATACATATCTGTATAGACAAGCGGGAAAGCCTCAAAGAAGCTGTAGTAGACACCGTAGCTATATGAGCTATAGAGATTGGTGAAAAACACGGCGGGGTCTAATATCGTGATTTGTAGGGGCCGCATCAAAGCGTGCGCGACAATATGGCGTGGGGATAGACTAGCTTCGTCGATTTCGGACTGAGAGACATATCGCTGGTCTTTGAACACCTTGCGGACTCGTTGGGCCCGACGTAACAGAATTGTGGAGGCAGATGTCTCTGGGAAGGCGACAAACATGACCACAAATGTAAGGAGAGCCATCCATAAGATCTCCCATAAGGACAAGCGCCAATCGCCGCGGGCAGCAACTGCAAAGCCAGAGATGATAGGACCTAATGCCGGCGCGCAGAATGTAGCGCCTACCCACGCCGTGTAACCATAAGGCAGTTTCGACCACGAGTACATATCCTGGAGTGTCGCGCCCCCCGTGGCGAGGCATGGGGAACCCAAAAAGCCTGTTAGAAATCGCAGGACAAGGAAAGCAGGAAAGCTCCGGGTGAGAGCAGTCGGCACGGCCATCAGGACATAGAGAAATAAAGTGATCATGTAGGGCGCGTTCTTTCCAATTCGAGGGATCTCAGATATTGGCGAAAAGATGAGAGGACCAACGCCGTACCCAAGTATATAGAGCGAGAGGCCCAGGGTGGAGAGTGTATGGTCAAGATTGTACTCCTCCATCACGCCGTCCACGCTTGGTGTGTAAATGGCAGAGGCGCAATACACTGTAAACGTATACAGCCATAGCACGGCTGTCACGATGGACTTTTTGAAGGAACTCCAGTTCTGAGGATTTTCGACATCCCTCTCATCGTACCAATCCACAAGGAATATGTTCTTTCCATCCGACCGCCGCCCTTCATTGACAGGGCCACCTTGAGGTGTAAGCGCTTGCGAGTTTGGCCGTTCGTACTTGCTTCCAGGACCTGGCACCAGCCCTTGATGCTCACTTTGGGATCTAGGTACATGTACCAGACCACTGAATGCGGAGACTTTCTCCTCGGTACACGGATGCGCGAAGCCCGCTCGCTCTTCGGGATACAAGAGGCATCGGTTGCCAGTAGCAAAACGGACAAGCTGTCCCAGCGAGCTATCGCGAAGCAGATCCATCCCACACCTAAGCCAAGGGAATCGCGCGCGGAAGAATAATCACCGAAAGGCTTGCGGAATGGATGCACTTTAAGTAAATTTGAGACCTCCAGAATTCTTCCATGGACGCCACTGGACTTCGTTGTAGATGCGGGTGAGATTCGGACAAGCCGCCCAAGCCCCAAGATGGGCCACTTGAAGTCTTCTTCAAGAGACTACTATGTACCATGTAGTTGTCCCACTTCCTGGAAGGCAATGGTTCCGTCGGGCGAGACTCGGGCGAGTTTCAAACCGGTTACGTAATCACAAATGCCGCCTCGTTGGTACATAAGGTAACTACCTAGTAGTTATCGTGCATGAACCATCTTCAAACCGTCCAACGGGTCAGTCTCGGGTGAGTACTCCGTACCTAGTTTATACCTACATATCTGCGGCCATGGCGACGCGTCCCGAGAGGATCCGCAGAACACAAAGAGCTCCGAAAAGCTGTTATTTCTGCGCCCGACGCAAGACCAAATGCGACAAATCGATTCCTTGCCGGCCCTGCCGATCGCGAGGACAGGCTAATGAATGCTTTGTTGAAACAGTAGAGGTGAAAGGGCAGGTAGTGACGTAGGTTTCCTTCCGACGTAGACTTGGAAGTTAAGTTAGTTGCACGCTGACGACTCAATTCAGATCTGATCAAACGCCAACTACCCAGCCCAGCTACTCAGAATTATTAGACGAAAATGTCCGTCTCCGATCGCTTGCACTGCGGGGATCATCTAAGATCGCTCGTCCCATTTCCTCATTGGCTTTGATAGACCAGGAAGAGCAGGAGCTCTATCTTTGCCTCCGAACCCATTATCGGCCTGCGGGCATTTCAAGTGCGTCGGAGGTCATCTACCCATCAGATGAATGTTGTCGTATTCTCTTCTCCCAGGCTGCAAAGTGGGCCTGGCTTCACTCGGCCGTCTCTCCCGCCACTCTCGAGCAACAAGGGCTTCGAGATAAACCAAACCAATTATGCAGAGAATCGCCAACTACCTCGGACGCGTCGTGGTTAGCTCTGTATTTCAGCCATCTTACTGTTCGCAGTCCTGACCTGGTTCCGCATGGGGTTCTGTGCTAATGATTCTCTGACAGATAGGGATCGCATATGCAGATGAGATATCTCTTGGGGAATGTGGTATCTCTAAAGGTTTGTGGATCTTCTCTGCTCTAGATGAACCCGCCTTACTTTTTTTTTCCATGACAGAGAGGGTTGCTTTCTTACGAGAAAATTGGTACGACGCTGCTTTGTATTTCCTCCACCAAGCGGACTTTCTCCGTCTATTGGATGTCCGAAACATCCAGACAATCTCAATTCTCGGCACCGTGTTCTCAAACTTTGGTGACCTGAATCTATATTACAACCTGCTGGGATGTGCAGTCCGGATTGGCGAAAGCCTCGGGATCAACAATGACTACACCCATCATTCAGGGGTTCTTCCGGATCTTGAATCTCAGCGGTCTCTATGGTGGTCTCTGGTCATTCTGGACTGGCTAAACATTCCATTAGGCCAACCTTGCATTCGTGAAAACGATTTCCTGGTCGAGATGCCTTTCATCTCTGAAACACAGTCCGATTGGGACTCCACCAACTACCAAGCCAACATGTGCAAAGTGGCTCTGGTGCTGTATAGGTTCCAAACAGCCATCTGCGCCTCAATGGACTGGGAAACTGTCGAAAACGCGGTCATCGTGGCTGATGAGAAGCTCGTAAATCTGAAGACAGAACTGAGCTCGTGTACTGAGTCAGGGGGCCTCGAGAACACATACGTGGGTACAGATACGTCAGACGCATCCGATTGTATTGGCTCTATCCAGCGACGAAGTCTGCTGCTGATACTGTTCTACTACCGCATCCTGATCAACCGCACACTTATCCACCAGACACCATCGACGAGAGCGAAGAAAGTTTCGTTGTCAAGATGCTCCGAGTCCGCTCATAATATACTCAAATTGTGCACAGATTTGGGTACTAAGGGCCATTTGATGGCTTCGTGGTACGGGCGTCTGGATTCCATTCCTCTTATTCCATTTCATCTGACTGTGTGTAGGTCAATGTTGTTACCTCTATACTCGGCAGCGAATGTTTTGGCCGTATACGGGTCTCGCTGTCGTTGTGAACCGGGCCATGATCACATGGCGGATGTTACCACTGCCGTTCAGATATTTGACTCGTTGTCGCACAAAAGTGCTTTTGGTGAGTATGCTGCTAGAAGGTTGAAGGAGATCATCGACAATGCAGCTTCGGGGTAGTTAAGGTCAATTTATGCCTTTTCAACATTATGATTCCAGTTATCAACATTCAACGTAAGTGCGTTGACTAGCACATACGACCACAGGGTGTGGAAAATAGGGCTTCCCGTCCGCTCAGCCGTACTCAAGCCACACGCCGGGAGGTTAGTAGTTGGGTGGGTGACCACCAGCGAACCCCTTCTGTTGTATGTTTCTTTTTTCCCTACTTACTATACTCGACCTCTCTCGGTTTAACATGCATACATGCATGCAGGGCTATCGAAACGCTCTTTTGTTTGAAGGCGGCTCAAATTGCTTGCCACTTCCTAACACGCGATGCAACGGGCCCTGGCATTATCGAACACCAGTTTCCGTAGTCCATCTTGGTCTTAGGGGGAAAAGTCGAATCGTAGGTATCTAAAATTGCTCATAGATATCATGATTGTAGGGAACGACGAAAGACGGATAGCTGTACTGTCTGTAGAAAGTAAATGAGAAGAAGAAGGAAAACAAAACAGGCTTCTCTGTTGTATGCACAGTTTGAAAAGTCCGACCGGAAGAAAGTGAGTTTTGCTGTACTAGAAGATGGCATCTGCCCCGACGCCAGTATGTGATAAAGATGCATGAAAAAAAGGGAAAAAACCTCCCGAACCGCAACCACCGCTTAGAGACCCGATTGGGAAAGAATTGTAGTCTGCTCTTTCTAGTGGGAGACAAGAATGAAATCCGAACCCTAACTTGGTTCGGAATATTGAAGAACGCCCCGTCATGACGTCTTAATGTAACACACCATAATCAATATATGCCCGACATGATCTCACAGAGCCATGCCTTGCAAGCTAAAAGGAAACAGAAAGGAAGGGGAAAAAAAAGAAGAAAGGATTCAACACTTTATACATCATTTTCAACCCGGGTGCGGTCTGTCGTTTAGTAGTATCGTAAAATCATAGGCCGTGCACGGGCACACACAGTCCCCTCGCATCAAGTCGTGAACATCAGCCTCAAGCGACTGGACCGCTTCGTCTTCTCCTTGGGCTTCTTGGCCTCCGATTTGGACGAGGTGTGATGCGACGAAGGCGCTTTCGAGCCGACATACGACTCCGGGGGCCGGTGGTCGGCGCGCGATCTGCCGCTGCTGCCGGCGTGGTGGTGCGACCGCGACCGCCGCGACCGCCGCGAGGAGGCCATCGAGCGCTCCTCGTCGTCGTCGAACTTGAAGCGCGGGTCGCGCGTCATCCGCGCCGTCGTGACATCAATGCCCGACATCATGGCGGCGGTCGGGGTGATGAACTCGCCATCCACCGAAGTGCCGGCGCTCTCGGCCTCGGCGTCGGCCACCCCGCGGCGCCACATCTCGACGCTACTCAGGCAGTCCGTGTTGAGCTCCATCATGTCCTCCATGCTGGGGTCGTCCATTACCCCGTCGCGGGGGTACTGCTGTGGGTATGGTGGTTGCTGTGGGGCTGCTTCGATCACCGGAGTTTTCGATGCTGATTGGATCTGCTTGATGATCTTGTAGCCGCCGAACATGACGATCGTCACTCCCAGCCCCACCCCGGCCGCGATGAGGAACTGCGGGCTCGCGAGGAGCGCGAACACGCTGGGTGCGGCGGCTTTGAGCGCCCCGAGCGCCGAGGGGGCCAGCTTGGTGACCAGATTGCTGATCTCGGCCAGCGTGAGCGCGACAGCCGCCATGGAGTCCGGGTTCTTCTGCAGGTGGGCGATGGTCGCAGTGGCCGTGTGCTGCATGCAGTCGGCTTCCTCGAGGAGCCACTGCGCGCGGGTGACAAGACCGTTCAATTCGGGGTCCTCGATGCGTTGGAGTTGGCCATGTTGGTGTGGGACCAGTTCGCCCTGGCGGGGCTGCTGCTGCTGCTGCTGTTCCAGTGCGGAAGGGTGAAACTCGCCGTAGGCCAGATCCATATCCACATGGGAGGGGTGGTCGGACCGGGAGCGGACCGGAACCGGCCGTTCCATCTCCCGCACGCCCACATCGTGGTGTGTGTGTCGTCGCACCATTTCTCGGGGCTGGTTGTAGTAGTCGTCGGCTTCGTAGTCTTCCTCGTACAGGGACCCCCCGCGAGGGTGATGGCTGCGACTGCGGCCCGAGTAGTGTCGCGAATGACTCCGCCGTGATGATGCAACGGACGGCGCCGCCTCGTACTCATAGTGTTGGTCACCACCGTCAATGTGGTAGTTCTGTAACGCCTTCAGGGCTTCCCTCTCCGCGATCTTGGCGTTCCGCTCGGACTGCACTTGGGCTTTGCGTTCCCGATAGGCATTCTTGGCTTGGCTGAATACCCCGAAGAGGTGTTTACTCTGTGACCCCGCAGGGGAAGAGGTCAGTCCCTGATCGTGATTGATTGTAGAGAAGCAAGCGCATACGTACCGTGCTAACCACCTTCCCGGACTTATCAATCACCGCGATGGTCTCGCCCAACGGCGCCATGGTTGGGAGGGTGCTTCAACTCCGGGACTTTTGTGTCAAGTTGAATGGGTTTCCAGTACGACTGGATTGAGTCGATGAAGAAGCAACTCCCAGTTCGACATTCAATTCTGGTCCAAATCTCCAACTTTTAAGGATGGGGGGAAATTCCGGCAAAAAGGGGCGGGGGAATGGACGTCAGACGAGCGGTGTAGCGCAAGACTAGTTGATAGTGTCTTGATAGTTGGGATCCTCAGTGGGGGGGGGGGGGGGAATTTCTTTGGCCCCGATCTTGGCTTGGATTGTGGGTACTTTATCACTGAGGGCACTGAGTTGGGTTAGGACGTTAGGGTGAGGTAGGAGTGGTGTCGGGTTTGGTTATATGGTAGCAGGAATAGTTGCTAGGAAGTGGTGAACGGCGAGGTATACCTCCGATGGCAAAATATCAACAAAGACAGCTGAATCTGCACAGGCCAGTCCAGCTGGTGTGAGGGGGGATGGGATGATGATCACGAGCAACGGCAAAGCCCTCGCAGACCCGATAAGCGGCGGCAAGCGGCGGGATCGAAATGCAGTCTAAGGCGCTAGGAGGTAGGACGGCAAAGGAGTTATTTCGCGACCGATAGGGACCGATAGGCAGAGCAAAGCAGAGATACTCAAGGCAACCATATAGGAGAATCGAACAGGATTACAGAGAAGTGAATCCGAGGGGGCTGGGACGGAATTTAAAATCATAGGACGCAATGACCCCAAGCGGCGCCTAGGGGATGGGCATAAAGCAACGAACGGGAGCAGCGATCACCGCATCCCTCCACCCGGCGGTTGGGTGTCGATGAAGCCAAGAGCAAGGCAGCAGGCGGGTTGCAAAATAGGCTTGAGTGGCTGCATGGATCGCTGGGGGGAGAGTGTTGTCAGTGTTGTCACTGCCTAAGGTTGACTGACGTGTGTGTGGATGGAGAAAATCAGGGCCATGTCATCCGGAGTGTCAGTGCTGTGGCTCCATCCGAGGTTAATTGTACCGGTACCTGACGTGGAGGGGAGTTTGCTGTCTGGTCGAAGTACCACGTTGTACAGGAGTATTCAAAGTGTGCTGACGTCTGGACATGGTGGATGGATTGTGACCGATGGGTGAGATCAATGGATTATGGATTCAACAAGTGTATATTGAACAACCTGCTTCTCTACTCAACTCCACTGTTACTGCTTTCTCGATGCTGAGAAATTCCCTGTTCCATGATGGACGCTGGGAAGTGATGCGACCGGACTAGGGAGGGCTAAGAGCGCTAGACAGGGACTAGAAGGAAGAATTTCGTCGCCTTGCGAACCCCTCTTCTAGCTTCCTGCCTGAGGGCCAAGTCAGAATGGCGGTGATGCACTGGCCGCCCATTGGCCCGCTCATCTCCGCCACAGTGGCTGAGATTACTACTATGATGTGGCGGTGTCAGCTTCTGCACGGTTGGCCTTTCGGCATCGCCGCACCTGCGCTTCTATACAGTGGTAGATCCTGGCAGGCTACTATACCAATTGCCTACCGAGGTGCGAGGACGTGGAGTGTAATTTGAATCAACGCTGGGAAGTGACTGAGCGCAGAATGATATCTATCTGTACTGCCGCTAACTTGGTATAGACAAAAAGCAAAAGTTAGAGGAGGGGACTCGGGAAAGAGAGCAGACACCGTCGCCGGGTTGCGCAAGAATGAAAAGGAACGTATCGCGCGGAAGAATTTCTGACCCACCGGAAACTGGAAGGCATTTCACCGCCTCCCTAAGATAAGTACATTTACTGCCATTACTGCCTGAGGCCTATAATGTCGATGAGGCGGCGCAGTCCCGACCACCGGGGGTCTTCACACCAAGCCTCTCTTCACTTTCACTGCAATCGGTGCTCTTATCCTACTTCTACATAGTCGTGGTGACGAGATGGTGGTATTATGACGAATGGCTGCGCTGGACCCGAAGTTATTGTAGAAGCCGTGTCGCCATAGGTCTCTACTCCTGGAAGATATATATTGATCCTGTACGCAGTGAATTGGCAGGTCAACTTAAAAGACAAGACAAAAGACAATTTCCAAACGTATACGGAACGAGTAAGTAACTGAGCACACACAAGGTATATCAACATAATGCTGAAATAAGTATTGATATCCTCCTAGCTGTAGCAGAAAGATAGTACAGTACAACAGCCAGAGCGCACCGCGGGAGCCGGCGACACTCGCCCGGGGACATACAGGACAGCCCCGGCGTCGCAAGAATCAGAAGGAAGAAAGACACTTTGAAACTGGTTTTTTCCTTACCGCCTTCCCATGCCAGACTTACTGCCACCCACCTGTTTCTTGGGGGCCTTGGGCAGCAACGATCACTCGCATGTACTCGTCGCTATTGTTAACCCACCCCTTATCAGGGGTTGGTCGCCTCCACCTTACGAATAATCCTATCTTAAGAATAACGAAAAACACATACTAATTCTACTTTTCTAATCACATATAACGTTGTTAATTTAAAGAATTAGGCTTTACTATTCTAAAGTAAGATAGAAGTAACAATATATAAGAGATTAATTTTTTAAAAAACAGATACTTTCTAACTATATCTTCTATAATAATTAGAAAACTTAAAATACCTGATATTTTAGGTATCTTTTTAACTATTTCTCTTAATATATAATATTTTGAAAAAAAGAAAAGATAGATATATAATTTTAGATATAAAAAATGTAATACTTTAATCTTAAAGTCTAATTTTTTAAATTAACAAAGTTATACGTGATTAAAAAGGTAGAATTAGTATGTGTTTTTGTTATTCTTGAGGTGGGATTATTCGTGAGGTGAAGGCGACCCTCCACTGCAGGTGGAGGGGCGCCGCAGCGACGAGTAGTAGGTAGTAACAATGTCAACAAGCCTGGGAAAGTTCCCACTACTGTACGATCACCTGGAACTGTTCATATACGGAGTACTCAGCAGCTCTTGGGTTTGCAACGAACCCTCCCCCCTCACTTCTTAATCTCCATGTGATGCTCCCGCCCTCCTCCCAGGGAGGCGATCATGGGCGATCAGCCCGCCCACTCAGATCCCCGACCAGCGAAGGGAACCGATGTCCGACCGGAAATATTGCGATCAGATAAGAAAGATGTCAGAAGGAGCGCGTCATTACTATTTATATAACTCGAATCCAAGACACCATCCTCAACCCAGTTCGGGACCACACGACTGATCACACAGTAATGAAAGTGATACCATTAAATATATCGACACTACACAATTTTAAAGCACATATTAACTTACCACATATAGTGAAAACCCACGTCCTCTAATCCCGATACTCATCCCCCTGCCCAGCCTGCCCACTCCCGTCGGCCTGGGCCTCGGGCTTCTTCACAAACTTCAGGTCCGACAACCCGTAGAGCGCAATCGACCCCATGCCCAGGAAAGCGCTCAACACCGTGAACACCATGGAGACGATACCACGGGTGGTGAAGCCGTCCGGAATCCAACCCGGCTGCTTGTTCTGGCCCTTGAGATCGAGGTAATCCTCCGTGTTGGCGGCCGCGTTGCCGACATAGGGAACCCCCGAGGCGTTGCAGGCGGCGTAATGGTCCTCGGGGATGGTCAGCCTCTCCTGGAGGAGGAGGGGCGCCTCGACGAAGGTCATGGCCAGGCCCTGCATCAGATGCCAGTCGATGTGGCAGTGGAAGAACCAGACGCCGGGGTTGTCGGCGCGGAAGCGCAGCACGACGTAGCCCTCGGGCGGGACGACGACGACGTCGCGGCGGGGCGGGTAGGCCGGGTAGGCGGAGTGGTTGTTGGCGTCGAACGGCTGCGGGATGCCGGCGTCGGCGAACTCGAAGAAGTCCGGGCCGTAGGACGGGTACCGGTCGATGACCTGGAAGTTGTGCCCGTGCAGGTGGAAGGGGTGCGAGCCCGTGTCGTTGTTGTTCAGGATGATCTCGACGATGTCGTTGTGGTCCAGCACGTAGGTGTGCGTGTAGTCGCCGTAGACGGTGGGGTCGGTGGCCAGCTCGCCCGCGGACATGACGGTGTACAGCGTGGGCACTTTGGGGGCGGTGTAGCTGATCTCGTTGAGGAAGGCGTAGCCCTCGCCGTTGTTGAGGTTGTCCATGACCACCGCCACGTTGATCGAGACGGTCGGGTTCTCCAGTAGCGCCATGTGGTCGTGGGGCACGAGCGTCGCGTCGTCGAAGGGGTTGAGGTCCGACGACTCGGCGACGGTGATGTTGGCTTGCGGGTGTGTGGCGGAGGAGTCGTATTCGAGCCAATTGGTGTTGTTGAGCTGCAGGTCCGGCGTGATGGTGTCCAGCAGCGTGGAATCCACCACCGTGACGATGGCGTAGTTCTTGGTGGCCGTGTCCTTGGTGGTGAGCAGCACGCTGTATCGCTGTCCCACGCCAAGGTAGAGCATGTCCGCTTCCGTGGGTTCCGTGTAGACGCCATCGATCTCCACAATCTTGAAGGTATGGTCCTCAATGTAGAAATACTGGGCGGTGAAGGCTGCAAGATTGACCAGTCGGAGCAGATATGTTGTGTTGGGCTTCACGGACAGGCTCAGATCCTGGGTATCGTTGAAGAGCCAGGAGTTCGGGATGGGCTCGGCGCCGGTCGGGTTGTACAGCGACATGAACTCGGGCTTGATGTCCTCGGCCAGCTCATGGTACCAGTCGCTCAAGGTCACCGTGAACTCCTCGTCGTACTCATCGGCGAAGTAAGAGTTGTTGTCGTGGATGATCAGTGCCTGTCGGTAACCATCCGGGTAGCAGTAATCGGTATGGCAGTGGTACCAGTATGTCCCGTTCTGGTTGACGGTGAAGTTGTAGGTGATGCTGGACCCGGGGGCGACAGGACACTGGGTGACCATCGAGGGCCCGTCCATATTATTGGTGCCGTTCTGGTACATTCCGTGGAAGTGAATACTGGTGCTCTTGTCACCGAGTCCGTTGTACATATTCACAACGAGTTGATCGCCCTTATCGACCTCGATGACAGGCAAGGGCCACTGCCCGTTGATACCCACCACCTTTCGATCAGCCAGTCCATCGGGATTGGCTGTCACCCAGGTGACATTGAAGTCGTAGACAACTTCTTTCGCCAGCAGAGGCTTGCTGAACACCAGCACCAGCAAATAGCAAAGATAGGGTAACATCTCTACTAGAGGGAAGGAGAAGACCGCGGGAAAAGAAGGCAGGGAGGATGACAGACTCCTGGGAGAAGAGAGCAACACGATCTATGGTGGTTCCGGTGTACTTGCTTTATACGGGGGCGCGCGCCGCGGGAATTTTATTTCTCGCTTGGCGCATCAACTAGTGCTAACAAGGATGGAGGAAGGTGGGTGGACGGTAAGTTTGTTTTCGATACGAACTGCCCCCCATCCCGACCATATCAGATGGTGGTGGGTCTTGGAATGATTGGCCAAGGGATGATAAGATTGGGTTCGGTGCTTGACGGGTCTTGGGCAGTGGATCCCCCCGAACCGGAACAGGGTCAACCTTGCGAGGCAAAGGCGTCGAATGATCAGATAAGATGTCTCTCCGAAATACGGTTGAGGAACTAGGGTGGGAAAAATTGGGAAAACTTGGGCCGACTCTCGCCAGAAATTGCCGCTGCGAGCAAGCAAGGGAGGGGCAACCGACAGGGGGTGGGCATTCCACGAAGCCGTTATATAGTCCCCGTCGGAGTCCTGCGTTTGCATTTGCGTTCTCAGGGTTCCCAAACCTAGACTCAAGTTCTTTTCGTGCGAACTTTCTTCGCCCGCAGTCGCCCATCATGGTCAATGTCTTTGCTGTCCAGGTCTTCTTCATCGTTTTCCGCGAGTGTCTCGAAGCGGTGATTATTGTTTCGGTGCTCCTCGCCTTCCTCAAGCAGAGTCTGGGCCAGCCACACCAGGACCAGGGGATCTACAAACGGCTGGTGCGGCAAGTATGGACGGGCTCGATAACCGGCATAGTCTGCTGCTTGATTATCGGTGGCGCGTTCATCGGTGTCTTCTACGGGTTGGGCCATGATATCTGGTCCAACGCCGAAGATCTCTGGGAAGGTATTTTCTACCTGATCGCAACCGTTATTGTAACCGTCATGGGACTGGCTCTGCTACGCATCAACAAGACCAAAGAGCAGTGGCGCATCAAAATCGCTAAGGCGCTCGTTGAGAAGAGCAAGCACCATCGAAAGTCCAAGTGGCTCGGGGACTGGGCCCGCCGCTACGCCATGTTCCTCCTTCCGTTCATCACTACTATGCGTGAGGGTGTCGAAGCTGTTGTCTTCGTCGGTGGTGTCTCGCTCGGCTACCCGGCTACTGCCTTCCCTTTGCCCGTCTTCACCGGCATGCTGGCCGGGTTGACCTGTGGTTACCTCATTTACCGCGGTGGTAATGTGATGTCCATCCAGCTCTTCCTCATTGCTTCGACCTGTGTGCTGTATCTGATTGCAGCGGGAATGTTCTCCAAGTCGATCTGGGATTTGCAGTACTATGAGTATCAGAAGGGGGTGGGATCCGACGTTGCCGAAGAGGGCAGCGGAGCGGGCTCGTACAACATCCTCCAGACGGTCTGGCACGTCAACTGCTGCAACGCGGAGACCGACAACGGATGGGACGTCTTCAACGCGATTCTCGGGTGGGAGAACACCGGCACGTACGGTTCCATCATCTCCTACAACGTCTACTGGATCTTCATCATGCTGTGCGTGGCCTACATGCTGTGGGAGGAGCGCTCGGGCAAGCGGTCCCTGCGCGAGCGCATCCTGATCGGGTTGGTCAAGGTGCCGGGTCTCAAGTGGTACGCCAAGCCCAAGCTTGCGGCCCTGCAGGAGAACGGAGAGGATATTGTGCGCCAGGTGCACAGTGGGCTGTTCAATGAGGAGGCCGTGGTGGAGCAGCAGATGGTGGAGATGAAGTGAGCAGGGGTGTGCGGCAAGAGTAGGGTCGGGGAGAGGGATAAAAAAAAGTGAAGATCAACTTCGATGGCGGACCGGACATCATGTCCGTTGTTGTGGTTGATCGACTGGTTCTGTGTTTTGTTGTTTCCTGCTGTCAGAAAATTCATCCATGTCACATTACGCTCGGCTACCTGCTTTTCATCAAATAATCCTAATTGAATGAGTCATACTTTGCGAGAACAGACCTGAGTCGACTTGACGTCCGAGCTATGTGTACGAGATAGCCACCCATAGGCTTCTTGTCTGTCGTTTGAAAATTGCAGTCTGTACAGCCTGCAGTAGTAGTGGGTCGCCAAGATGAGCTTCAGTGCGGATGTGGGCATTCTTGGCAGCTTTTTTTTTCTTCTTCTGTTCTCGCAAGCTCCTACCCTTTCCGCTCGGACGGGACTCGATCCTCCACTTCATCATCGGCAGTACTTCCGAGCTCGACACTTTACCTTGAGTCAGGCGTCCTTGAGCATGCTTTTGTCGGCGGTTCATTCCTGAACAGGCCTAACAGCCAAGACCTCAAGCATCTACGGCGAAATGTGATTCTTGGATCCCCGTCCGTGCCAAGGAAATCCGCGACCTGCATCCAAAGACTAATCTCCGTCTCGGTTGTATGAGTGAACAGGAACCGTACTAGCCTGTGCAGAGTTTTCTAATGTCTTTGCTGGTAGTTCGACCAGAAGGCCAAGATTTACCGGGCCATACTTGCCTACGCACTTTTATCCACTATACAGGTAATCGTTGGCCTCGCTTCCTTGCCGAGTAACCTCACTCGACTTGCATTCATCTTGTCGCCCGACCCGATGCAGTAATAGCCGAAGACGAGATCCTTCTGGCCATCGGGCAATTTCCGCAGTATTAGTTTCTCGACGCATCGCCAGGATGCCGCCCGTTCTAGGAGCCTTTTCCTCTTGGATTCCAATCAATATGTCTAGATGGGATCGTACGTCGGAAGTTCGGGCATCGGAAGTTCGGCCGTCCGAAAGTGGCAAGCTGTCGTGCTTCTGATTGATACAGCATTGATTATCAATCTTATAAATCGTGGCAATCTAATCTGACCATCTGATTTGGGCATTTTAGGTCCTTACGGCAGTGTCCACGTGTGACTGTCAGAGTCTTCCTGCCCACCGACCCTCGCAGACAAAACCGACGGTGGGGCCCGGATGCCATGTCGCCTTCGAGGTGGGTCTGCACGAAACAGCATGCTTGGGCGCATGCCATGGTTGCTCGGCGGTGGTAGCGTGATAGAGTAGACTTGCAGTCAAATCAAACTTACCCTGTAATTGCGATTCTCTTGTGTTGTTGTTGTTGTTGTTGTTGTTGTACAGCATGCAAATGCCAAGGTGAGCCTCGTGTGCAGTGGTGTGGGGGGATTCGCAAACTCCTACCGTTTCGGCCTCGGATCGGGCCTGGAGTCCCACTTTCATGGTCGGGAATTGTTCCGAGCACCGAGTTGAGTTGAGGAGGATGGTTTTGAGAAGGGTCCGCATCTTTTGTGGTCCAATACCTTCGGTCCAGCAGGTTGGCATATACCTTCTAGGTAATCAGAACTGAGTCAGTGGTATTCTGCCGTCCTACTAACTGGTCGCATGCCAGTCAACAACTTGCATCTTGCCAAGAGTTAAGCCCTCGTAATATGCATCTCGCCAGATACATGCACACCAAAAGCAGTTCCGTGCTGGGGGCAGTCGGTTGTGCTCAAGACGAGATTAGTGAAGTGGTTTAGACCTAGTGGATATTGTTTTGATTATATCACTCAAGTTGCATCAGGCGGGTGCAGCCAGGCTGATTCTTGAAGAAAATGACACAAGCAGCAAAATTCTGCAACCATTATGAATAAGACAGCCAGGAGACAAAAATGCATGGGATACAGGACTAAAAAAACAAAAACATACAACAGAAGGGATTCGCTGGTGGTCACCCACCCAACTACTAACCTCCCGGCGTGTGGCTTAAGTACGGCTGAGCGGACGGGAAGCCCTGTTTTCCACACCCTGTGGTCGTATGTGCTGGTCAACAGACTTAGGCAAAGCTATCAATCCAATTAATCATGTACGGCCTATCTCATGAGGACACTCGAAAAGATGGACTCTGGATGCACAGGGTCCATTCGCAATTTGAAATGCGACACCCCCTTCGATGAACCACTAAGCTCCCACATGAGTATACAAAGCCCAAGCCAATGGGTTCTGCCAGTACTGGCTTCTGATCCGCAGTGTCGCATCGCGAACCGCCTCCGCCACCGCGCGGTTGGGATCAGTGGCCGTGGCACGTCGCGCAAGCAGCGCCTCGTAGAAGTATGTGGCCATGTGCACACAAACCTCGTCCTCTGCCGGCCACAGAGACCCAATAACGTGCGAGAAGCCCGCAATCAGGAAACCGCTGGTAATGTGCAGCCCCTCGTCCAGCAGCCTCCTGTCGCGGATCTCGGCCGTGGAGCAGGCGGACAGATAGGCAATCCACGCCCGCGACATTGTGTGGGTGTCCAGAAGCTTGGAGACGGTGAGCTTGTCCACAACCATACCGGAATCACTACTTTTTTGCAGGAGCAGATGGCTGTTGGCTGGGTCGCCGGGGTCGGAATACCCGTGGCAGGCGAAGTGCACGAGCTCGGAGTTCTGCAGCGCAGAGAGGACATTGCCGGTGGAGGGACCTGCGAGTTCGGTTATATCCATGGCTTGAGCAATGGTGTCCTTGATGGCCTGAGATTCACGACGGACGCCATGTAGCGCACCGTGGCCCGGGGTATCCGGCATCGTGGCGATCAGGAGGGAAGGCTTATTATTGTCCTTCAGCGGCCGCCGGGAGGTCTGGGTGGCCCTTTCCCGGGCATTGCGTAGAGCCTTGATGGTAGGCGTGTAGGATGATATCACATGGTCAAGGCAATTCTCACTCGCGTCGGTGGCTTCTGTACTGCTGTAATCTCCGGCAGCGTGGAAGGGGAGCCCACTCGCAGCGCCCACTCCCATCCACCAGACCCGAGTTTTCTCCTCCCCAGTGGAGATATCATTGTGCGAAGCAAGTGTTCCAAGAATAGGCTTGACGCAGGTGTACCAAAGCCAAGATAGGAGTTCGTTGTCATGCGCCTCCGCTGGTAGGTCGCTCTCTAGATCTCTGGCTCTTGGCTTCAGCGCGCACCGCGTCAGATGCTGGCGGAACTGCGGCACTGCGTGGCTGATCATATTGTCCAGTCTCACCCGCCCAATTCCAGTCGAGGCTATCAGCAACGCATCGCAGGACACGCAGCTTGCATTCACAATGATGATCGGTCCTTCCCGGGCGCTTTCGCCAATCTGTGGGGATGTCAGGGGTTGGAGGAATGTTTCAAAGCCTGCTCTCTCGCGGATTCGATCCTCGCATTTCTGCAGACGCTGGAAGTGAGCTCGACGATCATTGATCTGCTGGTCTTTGCCTCCATCCTCTAGCTCATCCACCTCCATGCCATACAAAGCCTGATGACGCAGCCTTTCATACTCCTGAGCCAGATCTGGGTACGCTCGCTGCAAGTCGCACAGATTGCTCTGGATGTCAAATAGATCTCCGAGGAGGATGCCCCGGCCTAGCTCGACTTTCACAAGCGCTTCGTTGGTAAAGCCCAGGTTGAGGAATGCGGCACACGCATCGCTGGCAAGGCCGGACAGGGCTCGGAGGTTGTATATCTTGTCATCATGCTTTAAATCGCGACTACTGACCAAGGGCACCAGTGGAAATACCGTTGCTGCAACTACACAAGCTTGCTCCCAATATCCCGCATGACTTGCCCGGTGTATGAAAGCCCTCGCACTCAGGACACGATCCATCGGCAACGCATCGTCGGATAAACAGCATTGCAAGAAATATCGCATTGAGCGTCTGTAGGTAGCGTTGTCTCGGGTCCTAGAGGCTTTAGCCAACCAGAGCTCACCCAAATAACGGTGTGCCGAGATTTTCATTGAACCAGGCTCATGCATGAAGTCCAATGAACTTTCCAATGACTCGATCGCTTTTTCAATGTCAGCGAGCTCTTGGGTGCATTGGTAAAGGGCCCAATATTGTAGACCGAGTGTCCACAGCATGTCCCGTTTCCAGATGCCACTGATGCGGTCAAATGAGCTGGTCCGGATGCTTTCTATGTCCTTGATCGACGTTCTCACCAGTTCGATTCGGTCAGCCCCATTCGGCCACAGGCTCATCCACGCAGCACGTTGTATAATACAGCCAACTTGGAAGGTGCTCCCTGGCACAGTGGCATCTATTGCTCTCTTCATCAGCGTCAGAGCTGTGGTGAGGTCGTCATGACAGCCCTGGCGTATCCACCTCGCCATTAGATAGGTGGCCAGCTGCACGTCTCTTCCTGCGCTCACAATCGGCACTTTATCCTCGAGCATATCTGACTGGTGCTGTTCTGCCCTAGAGATTGCGAGCTCCAGATCTTCCGTATGCCCTGTCTGGTTATATCGTTGGAAATATTGTTGAGAAAGTGTCCAGACAAGTTCCTGATATTTCTTGTTGTCTCGAGGGGTGCGAGCAAGGGCATGCTCCGTGACCTCGATGGCGATGTCGATTCCTTTCCCTATGGCCAAGTCATCAACAGTACGTGCTTTATGCCGCTCTTGCAGGTCTGATATTATGGCTCTGTCCGGGGAGTTTTCCGCGGTGGCATCATGGAGTTCCTGTATGATCTTCGACGCTTTTTGAAGATCGTTCGGGTTACCTGTGTTTGCGTGTCGCCACTCGTAGGCAGTAGCGAAGAGTTTCAGATGGTCGAGTCGCCCAGGCCACTCAGAAGAGCTAGCCATGACCTTCTCAAGCTCGATAATTGCTTGGTCGAGGTCCATGCTACGCTCGGTCCGGCTGTATCGTAGCAGCAACGTTAGAACAAGGTGCGCTCGGTATTCAGACTTTTGAGGCTCTAGTAGAGTAGCAAGCTGAAGGTAAGCGAGCGCTTTGCCAACATCCCCCATCTGAGGACTCATGGCGCAGCGAATCATGTACATGAGTCCAGTCACCCAAAGAAGTCTGGGTCTACTGGGATCGTCATAAGCTGTTTCGAACAGGATCCACTCCACCATTGGTAGCCAATTGTATGGCATGCCAGCTGCCCTGCTTGGCTTGCAGTTACTCAGTAGCGTTCTCTGTGGGGCGGCTGTTTCCTTTGGAATATGCTGATTTGGAGATATGTGGCTGGAATCTTCGGCGATGGTTGAAGGTGGACTACCAAGAAGTCTGCGTTGAAAGCTCTCAAACACAGCCCGCATTCCCGTTTGTGTCTGGTCGATCGTCCCATGCTGTGTCGAGGTACCAGAGGGACGAGTAGCCTGGGTGCTCTCAGGCTCTTCAAGCATAGACTGATCGTCAACTTGGGCGCGATTGATCCCCGAATGCTCGGTCGGAATGTCAACGGGTAAACTCCTGTCATCCTGTTTAATACCACCAAGTCATCTAGTTAGTTTGTGGATTCCAGTGGTAGTATAGCACATAAGCTTGAAGATCGTACATACAGATTCAGGCCTGACCCCCTGATGCCCTCCAGAAGTCGCTATCATTATTTGAGCTTCTTTGACACAGTTAACCCATCCCGGAAACTGTCATCTCGTAAGAATTTGGACTTTTGATAGAACATGACGGAAAGCCATACCTGAGCTCTTGCCCATATGACCAACCGATCGCCTTCATCGAGAAGGTCAAGAAGGCGTTCTGCAGCTTCATCGTCACAACCTCGTTTCCAGGTAAGACCTCGGTGCTGCCATTGGAATTGGATCGTATTCTTGATTATTGTCATGCTGACCTCAGAGCTCGATTTAGTGAGCTCTTTTGGAATATCCTTCAAATATAGTCCTTTCTCCTGCATCATCTCCCCAAAGTCCTCTGGCGATGATTTGACATAGGTCTGGTCTGATAAATCATGGAATTCAGGAGAGACTTGTTCTCCAGAAGAGCCCAGTATAGACACTTCGAACCATGACCAGAGCCCATTTCTAGCGTTGCCCCATCCTTGATCATGACTGGTGATACTGAATCGAACGGTGGAGACGTTGCTTGGGAGCGGGCGAGAGACGGCGTATAGAGCAGTCCATTTGTGCGGTGGGGTCGGGCGCTGAGACGGGGGGATGCACACCACTTCTTTCCTTTCCCCCCAAAGCTGGAGACTTTCAGTCTCAGACGTGGAACTCATTTTGGATCTTTAGGGTGCTAGTAGCGAATGCAGTGAGAGTTGATTTCGTTCAACCCTGGCCGGAGACGGAGGCAGGACGGGCGAGTTTGGGTGCACGATTGACGAAGTTCCATGCGCAAGGCTGACATGATAGGATTGACATCCGTGGTTGTAATCAGGGTGCCTGGTCTGATCACGGGGAGACGCCCTGTAGTGGGCTCACAAATGAAAGACCAGCAATTGTAACGTGGCTGAGACCCAGAATGAGTGGGTGGCGTTGAGGACTGCCACGTAACCCCTGCATGTTTGCTTTTCTGCGGGGCAATCTAGAATTCTCAGCCTGTGGCAGTACAGCAGTGCACACTGTGAGTTCAAGATAAAGTCTGTCGCCGCTTATCACTTGTGACTTGGGAATTGCTCGTCACATTGCTCGATTGTGCTTGGTCGACCTCTATCATTCTTGAGGCTTTCTTTCGTGGCACGATGGCACCAGCAAAAAGAGCCCTAACTATCACCAGCCCCTGGGGAGACCTTCGAGGCACTCAAAATGACGGAGACTGCATGCAATTAGTGCTCTCAACGTACGGATTCCAGATCACTCACTGTCACGGTGCTCATGCCACCCGAACCGGCATTCTAGAGGCATGGAAGCAGCTCATCTCGGAGACGGGGGATGGGGACTCCGTTGCCATCTACTACTCAGGACATGGGGGTTTCGTGGAATCGGCACCCAGCACTGAAAATGCAAGGGAGTGGCGTTATCAGTTTCTCGTCCCTGTGGACTTCGACGATGTCAGTCCAGGTGGCTTTAATGGAATCCTTGACGTGGAACTCTCGCAACTGCTCCGCGCGACCACCGCGCGCACCCGAAACGTGACCGTCATTCTCGACTGCTGTTTCTCGGGACGAATGGTTCGAGCACCCGGGTATGGAGACGCAGCAAGACCCAAGCAGGTGCCTTCCGTACGCTATGAGAATGTTGTCGACTTCCTGACTCACTACGTCGAGCGTGCCACGGAGAAGATGGGAGAACCCACCAGCATTGGGGATGACAACCCGGATGCGGTCCGTATAGTCGCAGCAGCTCCTTCCGAAACAGCCTGGGAAGTTCAAGGCGAAGATGGAAGGTGGACGGGGTCTTTTACCTCGGCGCTTGGTCGAGTTCTGAACGAGGCACACGATCATCATCTGTCTTGGCGAACGAGCATCCTACGAGTCCAGGAACTGGTCCAGGCACAGTTCCCCACCCAGCATCCGCGGGTGGAGGGTCCACATACGCGCATGCACTTTTCACTTGACCAGGTCAATTCAGAAGCCATTCACCTGAAGATTGAGAATGGTCTACCCGTGCTGCAGGCCGGTCGTGTTGCTCATGTCTCGGAAGGGGACATGTATGCCGTGACTGAGCTGAATGTGGAGCGGTTTACGGAGGCTCAGCAGATAGCTGTGTGTGAGGTTATCAACGTTCAGGCTTTCCAAGCCTTGGTACAAATGCACTATCCCAGTTCGACTCGGAGACAAGAAGTTCCCCCTGAGGGAGCTCTAGCCTTTTTGCAAAAGAGTGCGCAATATCGATGGCCTATTTCGGTACCACCCTCTTTGTTGGAGTCACTTAGTGACAAGGTTCAGAAGTCACGCTTTCTTCGGCTTGGCGGCGAGAATGAACCCGGCACACCTCTGGTATCAATTTATCACAGGGATAGCTTTATCGGCATCGAATCCAAGCAAGGAATATCTCTTACAACTCGCTACCTCAATTCGGAGAATCCCACACAGATGGACTGTGCCTACCGGGCAGTTGTAGCAGAGGCTGATCGTTTCGCCTGTGCTCAGCGTCTTCTGGGTCTGCGCAACGATAGTCCTGGTGACCTGCTGAATCATCAAGTAGACGTCAAAGTCGGGCTGGTTGAGAATCATCAGCCTACAAGAAGATTCGCCGGAGCAGGGTGCGATGAGCTATACGAAGGCCAGAGGATCTACATAGCTCTTCGGAATCACGGCATGACTACGACCTATGTCACCGTACTCCACATCAATGCCCAAGGAAAGATATCCTTGATATCTCGATCCAGTCCGTTCGGGATTGAGCTTCCTTCTGGACGTTGTCACTGGATTCGCAAAACACCATTTGGTGTTCTCGAAGGTCTGAAGATCTCCTGGCCGGCTGACGTACCTCGAGCTTCTCCTATCGATGAGCACCTGCTCTTTTTTATCACCAGCACTCCTGTTGATCTGCGGCCAATCACTGATTCTCAACTCGGCCCTCAACGAACTGCTACCTCAAACTTCGAACGCATCATATATAGGCTGTGTCGAGGCGAGCGGAGAGATCTGATGGAGGACGACGAGCCCAGCCAAACTGCCTACGATATTAATCACTTCCCGCTGACTGTGCTTGCACAGAATGGATCACCATCTCTCCGCACTACCTCTCAGGAGGTTCAGCATCAATCAGCTCACAGTACAAGCCAGACCTCTCTCAATGGGAGACCATCAATGCTTAGTGATGAACAAGAACTCCCAGCTCTGCCGCCACATCTCTATCCGGAGTCAAAGGTGAGTTTTCCTCCGCTCACTTGCACTGGCGTAGCCTAACAGCAAGACCGCCAGGGCATCTTCGGCCAAGCTCTTCGATCCATCAAGGGAGTCCCCGCTTGCGTATGGGTGATCAATGAGCACACCGAACCCATCACCGTGGTGGTCTCTCCATACCGGCCATCGCGTCTATGGACCGAGGCCGGCTTGAACGTCTCAACAACCGGCGTTGGCATTGATATATCCACCGCAGTAAGTCTTTATTCTCTGATCGTTCAGCTTTTGATCAAGTATGCCGGTACTCATTGATTATCCCATGCATGAAGACATTCACGCCCCCGGCAACGCGGAAGACGCTGCCCGCCGCAGCCCCGGGTCAGCAGAAACCCCCCACAGCCGTGTTCCCGCTCTGGACCCGCCGGGATGGGTTCGGGGTCATCACCGTGTTGGTGGGTGCGACGACACCAACGTTGTATATCGAAAACGATCGCATCCCGATCGGGGCGACGGCTTGCTTCCGGAATGAGCCGGACCTGCACATTAGAGAGTACTCGACGCAGTAGGGATTGTTGTGAATCATGATGATCGCTCCAGTGTCGGTTGGCAATCTTAGTGGCCCATAAAACTAGTAGTGCTAATTGTCATTGAAGAAGGCATAGAAGGATCCGAGCCTAGAAGGTTCATATGCTGGTTGCCCGGGGATGTGAAGATGGTGTATCTTAGGATATCTGGGAGGAGGTATCTAAACACGACCGAGGTGAGGGGTCCAGCGCTTGCTGTATATCTCAAGAAAGGTGCTCCCACACTTGGACAAAACTAGTTACTGCTTATGGATGCGTCAGGTAACGCATGAACTGATGCTGATTCTGTTGACCTTTCGTGGAACGAATGTATGTCTCATTATAGATTTACATCCATCTGGGTTACATGAACATTACCTGGATGCCAAAGATAGCTGCTACGATACTCTAAGTAACTATGGTGAAGAATTAGAGGAATTATGTTATCCTATTCACTGGAAACATCTTAGGATTGTTATCCTGTTTTCTGTCTTCAATTTGCACCAAAGGTTTTGTTTATCTGGGCAGAATTAGCATTCCATCCATTCATCCAATAACTATCAACCTCGGCCGCTAGAAGAAGATCGTTCTTTCTTGATCAGAGTACAGGGGCCGGTACAATCCCGATGCACCGAGAAAACCGTTGTCTGTGGGATTTAGATCTTCGGACTGGCTGATCAACAGGGAAATTGCATTCCTCAATGCTTTCTTGATGTTCGAAATTGGCCTGTCCGGTGCGATGTACCCCCATGAAGCTCGCAAGTGGGATTGTGTATCTATCTTATTCTATCCGGAAGAGTACCTCAAACATCCCTTGTATAGCTGAGAGTCTAGGCAAATTTTGGTCACTTTCTTCCAATAGACCAAAATGCAGCATCCTTGTCACGCTAGAAATCGGTGAGGATCCGGGCCGTAACGAACGGTTCCAGTTCTTATCACCGCAGTTGAATAGAGACTCAGAGGTTCATGGTTCGTTGGTTATGCGGCCGTCGGCTCACTGATCCACCCAAAGAACACGGCGGTATGTACAGAACAGTATTATACGGTACAGAGACTGGCCGCACAAAGATTCCGTTAGTCTGGCTGACATGGAAGCCCAAACAGCGATCTAGATTAGACAGGCTCCTTTTTTTGTTTCTTTTTTTTTTTCTTTTTGCGGTTTTTTTTTTTTTTTTTTTTTTTTTTTTTTTTTTTTTTTTTTTTTTTTTTTTTTTTTTCCCCCCCCTACTTGTGTCGCTTGGCAAACATTATGATCTCTCAATTTGTGACGGTGTACAACTGCAAAACAGGCCTCCACCTCGTCAGTCAGTCCCCAGCACTCATCGATAAGCGAAGTTCCTCTGTTGCTATTCCGGGCTAGATCTTTCGTCCCCAAGGATCTCGAATGAGTCACGGCTTACCCCGAACATACGACACAGCAGCCACAGATAAATAGTTTCGCTTAGTGCAGTCGGGCGTAACGCCACGAATCCACTTTCTAGCCGAATCTGTGGCGCAGCGACAGGAGGCTTGGTCTATCTATGGCTAGGAGTGATTTGGATCGGATTGGGCTTTCTCATCGATGTCCATTTTGAGTTGATAAGAACATGGGGATAGATCAGTCCTATCTCTATGTAGGTGGCCCGACTACCCACTACCTTAGCTAGACAGTAGGCAACTTGCAACTTACCAAAACCTACTACCACGGATTCCTTGCCATATGTGTACTGCCAGGGCCCCTGAGCAAGTGAGCCAATCAGGAGAGGTGGAACTTCCTCCCCGTCATTTGGCTTTTCACCGAGCGTTACCTAGTAGCTATCAAGTGCAAACGGGTGCGAAGGACAGGGAGGGATTCTCGATTCTTGTTCTGGCCCGCATATAGTCAGGTTTTGTCTCAGCCACAACTATCGAACATTTGCTCAGCCTTTTTCAACGGCTCCCACCACCATCATGGATCTCGACGCCACATTCTCAAACGGGAAACGCTTCATTGATAGTAGGTTTTGAGATGGGGCGCCGTGACGTGCAGAAAGGAGCTCATTGAGGCTGAATTGCGGGGCAGGAAATAAATCGAGTGGGAAAAAGGGCCTCTGCAATGATGGTTCAATGCCTACCACCGGAGAAATATGTGTCAAATATGTGTCAAATATGTGTCAAATATGTGTCAAACGATGGGTCAGCCAGCGTAGGCGCGCTTCTGCGATCTCTACATAAGAGGAAGAGATCTGTCTGCAAACTTCCTCCTCCGTGGATGTGTGGTAGTTAATTCAATCCTGGCAAACCAAGATGACGACCACGGACCTACCTGCTACATCTTCTCCCATGGCACATGGCGATAACGAACAGCCTACCTCGCCAGAGCTCACAGGTATCTACCTATCTTCCTGAATCAAGCCACTCACATCAATCAATCTCCCGCCGTGGCTAATATTGAGCCACAGGGGACGCCGCGTCGGCAAAAACATCAGTAGACGAACCCAGCGATGTGTGGAACCTCTACCGTGCCGAACAGGACGGGGTATGGACGACTGAAAAGCCGAAAGACCTGTCCCTCACCGTCGAACCGGCCGACTCCGACTCCTCTTGCTGGTATGCTATGGCGGTGCGCTGGACTAAGGAGGAAGGTGAACGGCTGCAGGTCCACTCGATCACTCTCCGCAACGAGGCGGTCAAGAAAGCCCTAGGCCCCGTTTTCGCGGATTACCCCGGGATCACCATGACTCTGGACCACGTCGACTTCTCGTCCCCCTTTGTCCCGTTCGTCCGGCGATGGGACCAATTCTGCCAGGCTCGTGAAAGCGAGCAAGATCCTGCCGTTCAACCCTATCTGAACATCCTCCATCGCACTTTAACAAGGGAGGTGGGCGATATCTTGGCGCGCCGCGCCGATTGCCTGAAAAACGGCGTCATCACCCACGACCTCCTCTGGACCCTCTTCAGCCCGCATACGATTCTGCTCTCGACGCAGGAAGGATGGCCGCGCGCGTACAAGTCCGTCGACTCCTGGACTCATGGCCCCGACGGTCCCCTGGACATCAAGGCGGGCTATGTCGACTACAACGGCGAGGAGTACTATATGCGGTATCAGAACTTCAGCATTTGTCCCTTCCAAGGGACAATGGCCATCGACAAGCTGTCGCTATTTCCCTTGGAGAACCACGCTGACCCTGAGGCCATGCGGAGTCGCCTCGTCACGCGGGGCCAAAATTTGGAGACGTACAAGGGGTGTTACTACAGACAATTCAAAGGCCCCGGACGGATTGTAATTGACGCGGTCGGGTATCACAAGCACAGCGGGATGTCGTTTCACAGTGGAAACGAGGAGAGGATCGAAGAACAACCCCTGAATAACGAGCAACGGCTGCTGGCCACGCCAATCTTGAAGGGTTACTCGCTGCGGAAGAAGACCTGGCGACCCTTCCTGATTGACTATGTCGAGGATGTCGTCTGGAATGACCGCGCATTCGAGTCGTTGGTCTTACCTTGCGGGCAGCAAGATCTTAAACGGCTTATTCTGGCAGTTGCCAAGGCACAGTCCCTGGATCTGTTCGATGACGTGGTCCGCGGCAAAGGCCAGGGCGTCAACATCCTACTCAGCGGTCCCCCAGGGGTAGGCAAGACCTTGACGGCAGAAAGCATCGCGGAAGTCATGAAGGCCCCCCTTTATATCCTCAGTGCGGGCGACCTTGGCATCAGCGCCGAGAAGGTGGAATCCACCTTGGAGGAAGTTCTGGAGATCGTTCCCCGGTGGGGAGCGGCTCTTCTCATTGACGAGGCCGATGTGTTCCTGGAAGCGCGAACGACCTCAGACCTCGCACGGAATGAGCTGGTATCAATCTTCCTGCGAAAGCTCGAATACTATGAGGTACGCAAGTCCATCAATGCCTCTTCCCCTTCCACTGGCGCGCCGCTCTCTGGCTACGCCCTTGCCAATTGTTAATTTATATTCTCACAGGGCCTCCTCTTCCTCACAAGCAACCGGGCTGAAAACATCGATCCTGCCTTTGACTCGCGAATCCACATCTCCCTGCACTATCCGGACTTGGACTCCGTCTCCCGCCGACAGATCTGGGTGCAGTTCCTGGATCAGAGTACGGGATTCATGGAGACACATTTTGACAGCCTAGCAGAGATCAAGCTCAATGGGCGGCAGATCAAGAATATCCTCAAAACCGCCCATCTGCTGGCGCGAGACCAGGAACGAGAGCTGCGCTATGAGGATCTTGAGACGGTGATCAGTCTGCGGTCACTCAGCCGGGGTCTTGTATGATAGCGCTCCATTGTAGAATCCGAATAATGAGTTATGATTTGAAGCCTAGGCCTAGAAGATTAGGTGCGATGACGAGGAGAGTGGCTCAAGGGTGTAGAAAGGTTGGAACATCGCAGGGATCGTAAAAATATATATCTCCATTGACAGCGACAGTCATAATTTGCTACTGGCGCGAAAGCTGCGAACTTTGAGGTCCAAGGCTATACTGGACATATACTCATAATCCTGGGTGGTTTACCTTTATTTAAGGCCCCGGAAACCTCTCGAAACAGATGAATATAGACCAACGTCAATTAGGGGTATTTGAGGCAATATCTAATGGCAAAATAACATCTAGGTACTGGTGGTATGCCAGAAGACCTGATATAAATTTTCAAATCTGCCGGGTACATCTTAACTTATCATCATAATCACATGTAATCACACAGGTGTTAATATTCCACTCAACGGCAAAAGAGGCCGAGATAACTTAGACCAGTGAAAAACAAATGCTAGCGCCCTATGCTTATGTTCCGAAGGCACCAAGTCATGTTGATACTGGTGGGCTGGAGATGGGCAGATAGATAAACGGAGCTGGATACCCGCCGATGAGTGATCTTTCCCGGCAATCTCACAGCCCCCTGCGTGGGGGAGCTGAAGTGGGGGAAATTCTACGCGATCCGAACAGTTAGCTGAAGCGGCCCGTTGGGAAAGTGAAAATAAGAATAAAAATAAGAAGGTGGAGACGAGCCACAACTACGCCATTCTAGCGATTCATTCCAGCCGTCTCCTCGGCCCGAAGCTATAAATACCGAACATGCTCTCTAGAACAAATCAATGAATTTTGTTCCAGCTTGTCAGAGTTATAACCTACTGCAACGCCAGCAACTGCTGCCCCTTTCATCGCTTCCAAAAAAAAATAAACGAGAGACGAATTCTCTCTTCTGTCACCATGTTCTTCACCCGCAGTGGCCTGAAGAATTCTATAGGGATATCGTCGATTGTGCAGTGTTCTGACAAAGCATTGTACTGGTTTGATGGGAAAGCGTTGACTCCAGAGGACTTTATGTCAGAACATAACCTCTAACTTCGGCATGAAGGTTACATCAGTACCTGGGCATGCTATTACCATTTTTTTCAGGCCAAAAATCATTCTTTCGACGAGGTAGTCTATGACTTACATGCACATCGCTCAAGTTGATCTGATGAAGTGAATTAGATCCAAGATGCAGTCGGCTCCCGCAACATCTGGCGATTTTCAAGCGACGAGATTGAGCATTACGGAGTCTTCCTTCAAACCGAGGGAGTTCCACGGTAGGAAATAGTCCTGCTGACTGGGGAAGAAATATGGCGGTGCGATCACCCAGGGGTGATTTTCTGATGATTATGAGCAGAATCCTTGGGCACATTTTACTGCGAGGAAAGCATGTTTTCGAACCATGTATACTCAACTTCAGAAAGATTCTTTCCTGTATGATATCAAAAGAGATGTGTCAGGGGACAAAGAGAGTATCAAGTAGCCTTTATCCAAGAATGGGACCAATATTCGGGTCACCAAGTAGAGCAAACACTATGGGTAACATCAAATCTTCTACCTACTTTGCCCATGTCCAAAATACAGCACCTTGGAGCAAATTCCGCGATCTGTCTTGCTTCGACGACGACGCACTAAACATTAGATAACACCCCGAGCTAAGGACACACCACATGCCCCGTCTGCACCTGATGGTCCCAGTACGCAAGCCAGCTATCCCATAAAAACCCCGTATCAAGCCCGGTGTTGTCGTCATCCTCTTCGTAAGGACAAAAAAAGCGGCCAATTCCACTTGCCACACCGAATAGTTCCTCACAAACAGGACACTTGACTGCCGTATCGTTTTCGTCTTCCGATTTGTCTGCCGTATCCATGTTTTGACAGCGCTGGAACCCCACAAAATGCTGGTGCATAATGGAAAACCGTAGAATATCATAGAGCGGCTTCAGTCTATCGTCATCTTTGTCCAAGAGGCCAATCATGGCTAGTAGTGCACTCTCAGCACGGGACATCATTAGGCCCCATGCATCCTCCTTGGGGACCATGTGCGTGCGAAAGTATTGTATCATCAGTATCGTGTCTATCCAGTCCTGCAGAAGATTCTCAGAGAGCCCATCGCCTTGCGAAAACCCAGTGATAATATCTCGTATCTTATTTGGAGTGGTGGGGCAATAGTGTCGACTAAGCTTCTCCCTTACCGTGTCAAAAAGACGGAATGTGCCGTTTGGCATCTGATCCGTCACGGCGTCTTCCCAGGTGATCGAATCCCGGTCAATGCTCATTTCAACATAAGGCACAGCGCTGAAAATTTCCTGTGGTTGTGATCCTCTTAGCGTGTCTAAATTATCGACTGGGACAGCAATCACGGCCTCTGCCACTGAAATAGGATCATGATGACCCTTGTTCCCATCCTCCGAGCTGGAGTTATTGGTGCCAAGAGTGGAATATACACTCTGAGAAGCGACTTCTCCAGGAGAATCTGGAATGTCGCGCTTCATGTGGCGCTCCATATCGCGCTCCATATCGCGCTCCATGTTGCGCTTTCTGCCCCTATGTCTTGTCCAGGACTGTTGTTCAACTGGGATAGGCTCGTAAGTTGGACCATCTTGGAAGGCTGCATGGGGCGAAATCGTTGTGTCTCCTCGGCTGTGATCGCCTAAATCGGACCTAGCTTTCTCTCTTCTTTGCCTCTTTGGTGCAGGTGATAACGACGCATCACGCTTTTCATGATACAGCATAGCCTGATCGATAGTGGTGGAAGATGGGAGTATGTGTAGCAGATTAGTTACGGTCTCAGACTCATGATCTTTATTGCGGTCGGGAATGGTGATGAAGCTTGTCCATTTGCTGGTAACTGAATAGATCTGACCCAAGTGCTCTGCATTTGCTCGCGCTAACTCGATATCCCCGGAGTGATGTCTGGTCAATGCCTCAAGACTTGACAAGCAGGCCTTTGCGGCAAGTTGATGAACAAAACACCCACTGCTGCCCGTCATCTGCACGGGCAATGTGCACGATCGGGGTTTCACGGCGAGGTTGGCAGACGTCAAGGTAATCGCCTGAGGCAGCGGATCATTTTTCGAGTCTATGAGGAAGAAGATGGACTGATAATAGAACGGATGCAAAGCTGGAGTGGGGAAAGGCGCTTGTATATATGGTGTTGAGGATCTGGGTTCCATTGACGATGGATTCGTTTTCCCGAGTTGAATGCAAGCGAGACTCTGCCGCTCAAATGAAAGCCCTAGGTCAATCTCGCAATTCCAACTGTCGGGCTCTAAAGCTGCACGGACAAGATGATTCAAACGGTTCTCCCACCTTGGTTGCGCGACAACATCCACTACATCGCCGAAGCCGCCACCCAGCTCAGCCACACATTCGATCAACCGGTGAGACACTTGATCCCCGATGCCTAGCGCGAAGAAGCGAACCTTTTCCTCAAGCCTCTTCCGGATAAACAAGAGGTATTCTGCGACCGGGACGGGATCCAACTCCCCGTCTGTGATGATGATGATTTGAGCAGACGACCTTTGACGATTCAAACGCTTTATTGCCGCCTTAAGTGCTCGCACTAAATCTGTGCCACCAAGGTCGGGGTAGGAACTGGTATAAGCTCGAGCCAACTCGATTGCCTCTGCTGAGTGAGGCCTGGACTCCTCCCACAGCCCCACAGTTGTGGTCCCAAACTTAATGACGTTGAAGGAGCAGGTTTCGGGGATACCCGACAAAGCTAAGGACATGGCTGCGCGCATTGTCTGGAGTTTGGAGCCGGGGTGTGACTGAGAGCTCTGGCACCGGGGTGCCCAGTGCATTGACGCGGAATAGTCAAGAACGAATATGATCTCGCCTGTGAAGCTCCTCGGTCGAACAGCGGTGCCAAAGAGGTCGGACGGGCGAAGGCTGACTTGCATTGCTGCGTAGCCGTTGGAGTCCGGGGGCGAGATTAGGGCTCGGGACTGGACCCGATATCCCGTTCGCACTGGGAGCACAAGGACCAGATCGCCCTCTAAGCCTGCCTCGCGACTATGATATTTCCACACGTCCTGTTGCTGGGATGCCGATGGCGACTCATCGACGAAGCGAAGCTGGGAAGCGTCTGAAACATGAATTACACGTTTCATGGGTTCTCTCCCTCGATACTCGATTTTATGATGTGATTCCGCACTCCAGCCTTCACTGCCAGTCATGCCACCGGTAACAACTCTGATCATTAATTGGAGCTCGGTCATTCTCAGCGGCTGCGACGGGAACGACACTCCGTATCGAGGTGCTATGGAGGTGGGAATAATGATCGCGATGCCCTCTGATTTGCGCTCGGTCATCAAGACAACCTTCAATTCATGCACGTAAGTCAGCTTGATCTTGACGTCCGTCAAAGGCGGAATGTTTCCCAGCGACGTCACAAAGATCTCCGAGCTCTGCTCCTCCAGCAATGCTGCTGTCTCTCGCTTGTTCTGTACCGCCTCGTGGTAGACCTGTCTTGCCTTCTCCTTGGGCTTGACTACCCCTCGTAAGCATTGCTCGTCGCCGATCGTACACTCGAATGCTGTCACGGTTGCGCCCTCGTAGAGTGGAAAAGTATGCTTGGCTTCGCGGATCGTCGTGTCGGACGGATTGCGGAAGGTCTGGGTCAACTCGCTGCATGCCAGGGTACCGTCCACCGTTACCTCAATGTCGACGCTCAGCATCGGCAGACACAATGTAGTCATTGCCTCGTGATGGTCTGCTCCCACTAATGCGCTGTCTTCCAAGTCCTTCCTCGGCACATGAGGTTCATCGAAAGTATTAAAAAAGGCTGAAAATGTGTGGATGCCATCACCGAAGGCCTTTCCCGACCTATCAACATGGCCGTTTTCATGTCTGTCATGTACAATGTGGCGTTTGACGTGAGGGGCACGTTGGCTCGTCTTAGGTGGTTGATCCAGTATTGGATCATGTATACTTGGCTGGATGTCTCGCGGTGCTGATGCCAGGTCCAGAGGTGCCGAAAAAATAATTCCTGAAGGAATACGTTGTCGGGGAAAATGGCGACTCATTGCAGTTTCGAGACAGTATATGATTCTCCCTGTCAAAAGGAAAGAGTCTGCAGGTTGAAGAAGCAGTTAGAGCATAGCGCTCTTAAATTTGACCGCTGATTTTATTATGCCTAATGACCGACTTCTAAGAGGGTGCGGGGCAATCAAGTTTGCTTTGGTTTATGCAGCTGCAGGGGTCAGCACCATATCGCACCAATCTCTGCGCAGATATTAGCTCGCCACGCACACAAGTGCTTACGGCTAGAGGCCTTGCGCACTGCCAGCTGAAATGAAAAGGGATTTGAGGGCCAACCCCGCCTCTCCGGTCTGTTCACCCCCGACTCGCAAAAGGATGAAAAAACAGTTGCATCTCTTCCACCGCATCGATGAGTCAAAATAGTGCCTGCAAGGATGTCAACCAAGGCTTTGGCAACCTTGCAACACAAGTTGGTCACTTTGCCCAGCAATCCTCTCCCTCAGAAGCCGCGGCCCTAGAATCAACATTTGCTGTGCATGAGATTGAACTGGAAGACTTGATCCGTGACTCGCAAGCGAAACCTGCACTAGTTTGTTCCCGTGTGCGCCTCTCCACTCGGCTTGATGAAATTTCATACCAACTTCAACTGAGCTGCTGTTGCGCAGAGAAGCATGACCACGATGAACTGCAATACCGAGGTCGGCGTTCTTCCCATGGTTGGTATTGCAGAGCCAGTGCCGTAACTAATGTGCAATCACCATCATAGCTACAATTGCTTCAGGGTACCTGTGCGAGGAGATAAGAACCAATTCAGCCCGCACGTGGAAGGAGCTTCTCCAGAAAATGAAGACAGAGGTTAGAGTCATTCTGTGCCTGACGGCGACATCAGTTGAATGTTAGTCATGGCAAGAGTCCTGCAACATCAACACGTATTGTGGATCTGACACTTTCCAGCCGCTTCCCTTGTGGAGGTAATGTCCCTCGGGTTGATGGACCATTATCTTCGTTTAGGTTCATTTTCCGGGGCTGGGTTGGCTAACGCGACGGCCGCCGGAAATGTGCCATGGCGACCGGGCATCGGTCCTGGCATCTGTATATCGTTCTCGTAAGCATACTGGAATGTATGTTCGCAGCACACAATCCACTAAATGTTTTCTCTGCTTCTAGCCAACCTATTCCTGTGAACACCTTCACAACAACCTATCATAATGGCTCCGAAAACACTGTACGCTTACCAAAAGCGACGAAGGTATTTCTGCGGCACGGTCATCCCGAGGCCGTTACCACCGTGCAACAACGCTCGCCGCTTCTCTCAGGCACATCCTTTGAAATCTGGGTAAGCCTTCAGAGCATTTGGCACTCGGAATCGTCGCAATTTATCTGCTCAGGTGGGATACATAGCCCTCTCAATACCTGCAACTGAGATGTGCCTAAACATCTGACGGTCGGCGTCTTTTCCAGTGGCCCCGGAAACACGAGTCATAGCCGAACGTCACCCTCAGGGCCAACTTCAGGTGTCGCTTCACAATGTATCCTTCCGTGGAAAGCTGGCCGAGTCCGTCCGCTTCAGCTTCTATCGAGGGGAAGGTCAGCAGTGTCCAGCAATACATACGGCACAATTCGTGAAGCTCGATAGCTAACCCATTTCCACATCAGATGCAACGCGTTTTGCGATATGTATTCGCAAGATACGGCAGAAAATTAGCGAGATCTCCACTTTAGGTTTATATCAGACGGAGGCCGTGGGACATACAACCTCAGTTCGAGCCGGATTGCTGGGAGACAATAAAACACATGCGCCAGAATTTACAGCGACAGGCGACGTTGCTGCAATTACGCAGGACCTCGTACCAAATCCGTCTAGTTTGCAAGCTTCCACACCCCAAGACCAACCACTCGCCACCATGCCTTTGCCGCTTGATGGCGACGATTTGCGTTTCCGATCCGCAGCCCAAATGCCTCCAGACCCGCCGCAGCCACATACTCAAGGACAGGGTGCAGAGTCAGGTGGCGTCTTTGTGAAAAGGTGAGCTTGAGACTTTCGGAACACGATAGCAGCAAGCTGCTCGAAGTAATGTGCTGATAGTCTGAAAGCATTCGTCAAAGCACGCATATGTCGGATAGATGGTTCGATGAGCTCGACGACTTGATCAGTGTTATGAAAGCACCCAAGAAGGTAAAGGGAGATTATCGAGCTGTCAAGGTGGCGGTAATCGATACCGGTCTTCAACCAGCATTTGGTGTCCGGATGAACGTGATCGAATGGAAGGACTTCGTCGGCAGCAGCTCAAAAATGTGTGATAACACATGGCATGGCACCACTTCTGCCACACTCCTGATCAACGCATGTGAGAGCGCCGAGTTATACATAGCAAGGGTGTTTGACTCGAACAACGCCGACCATGAGCACGGGCCGCGCCTCATGGCTCAGGTTCGTCTTCTCCTTTTTCCCTATTTCCAAGCATCCCAATGCTTTTCGAGCTCTGATCTCACGCTCTGATTTCATCAACAACCAGGCTATCGAATGGGCAATCGACCCCACGCGCCGAGTGGACATCATCAGCATCTCCGCGGGTTTTGCTCAACATTCCACCGTACTTCAAAGAGCAATTGATCAAGCCAGCAATGTAGGGGTGCTCATCTTCGCCGCCGCGTCGAACTGGGGCAATCGCGGCCGCGTCGCCTTCCCAGCCCGCCACAACCTCAGAACCATGTGCATATTCTCGACCAACCCAGATGACCAGGCCTCGTCCTTTAATCCGGAGCCTCGCGAGCACGCAGATAACTTTGCCATCTTGGGCGAGGACCTGGCGCACCCCGCTGACCCGATGATACGCGAGAGCGGAACCTCCATGGCCACTGCCATTGCCGCCGGGTTGGCGGCTCGGATTATTGACTTTAGCCGGCATGCGGACAACACGACCATCGAGCGCGTGGGTGATGTGGGCTCCCTTGCGGGTATGACGGCTATCTTCCGGTTTATCTCCAAGAGAGCTGGTTCTTTCCAATGCGTTTCGCCGTTACGGCTCTTGCCGGAACGACATAAATATAACGAGCCCGAGAGGAACCGCGCGTATGTGCGAGAGAGTCTTCATCGTGCTATGGAGAGTGCGGACTAGATTGAAGCTTCAGATTGCAGCAGATGACAGTATTCTGTTCCACCACTCGTCTTTGTAACATTGAGCTCGAGGTATATATGCAGATGACAAACTTCTATAATAAGGAAAAGGATGATGTTTCTACGCATCGTCTAAAACCACCATTAGGGCCTCATCAGCCTCGTCACCAGTGACAATCTCAAAGCGACTCAGTCCCTCTCCCATAAGGACTTTCTCAACATCCAGATCCTCGTCTTCTTCTTTCTCCACTCCAAACGTAGCCCCTGTAGTGTATGGATCCAGCGACCAGTCTCTCGCAAGCCACCCCTTATGGATCTTTGCCAATCGCACCGCCCACACGAAGTCCGACTGATGCGCCCCTTTGATCGTACTGGTGTCCTCACGCGCAAGATCGAGAGTAGCAGTCACGGTCGCGAGTCCCGTAACGTCCCTGCCCAATAAAAAGAGCCCGTGTTAGCATCTCCTCTCACTCAGAAATAGCAAACATGTACGACCCAGTGATGGAGAGTGAGAAAGGCATGGGAGAGAACATTAGGAACTTACACATCCGGTCCCCCACCCCAACTTCTGCCCTCCTCCTCACTCACCTCCCTCTTTCCCCCTCCTTCTCCTCCGTGGCTGCTTGCGCACCTCGCAATCTTTAGCCCGGTCACCATAAACAAAGTCCACGCCCTCAATCTCTTCCCATTCACCACCTTTCCCCGAAACTCCTCCCCCTCCTCAAGCGCATCCAAGCAATCCTGGATGTAGCCCCTTGTCGGCGTCACAATGTACGTATCCAACTGCGCATACTCTTCATGCCTCGCCACAGTTTGCTTAAATGCGAGATTGAATTTCAGCCCCGGGGTAGCGGTCCCGGTGACAGCGCCGGCGATCGGCGCCGCCAGCTTAAGCGCAGTGGATCTGTCGTCGTGGGCGGTGGTCTGCCAGACGAAGTTCGTGGTGGTGGTGCGATAGACTTGCATGCGGATCGGGAAAGGGAGGAGGTTGTGGGCGTTGATGGGGTTGTCAAGGTGCTGGAGGGAGGGGATGATGTGGCCCAGGGTTATCGAAGGTGCATTTCCGGGGCTGGACGCGGTCATGTTGCCCCCGAAGTGGTGGCCGGAGAGTAGGGCTTTTTCCGGGGGTGCGGGGTAGTCGGTTTGGCGGAGGGTGAACCATACTTTATCCATTTTCGGGCGTAGGATACTATGTAAAAGTAGCAGATCAAAGAAACAAGGTAGGGACAAGGCACAAAGACGGGAGCAAGAATGTTGAAGAGGAAAGTGAGACCGGAAGGAAGAAGGGTGGCCCTTTCTATATGGAGAGAGGCCAAACTTACGCGCTGTCTCCTGCACGAGGGGGTTTGACCTTGTGGCGCGCGCTTATAAGTACAGTATCCCTGTACGGGAAGCCCTAATGACACGGAGGACTTCTCATTTTTTTCCCACCTTTTTATATCACGGCCTCTCTTTGTGGGAGATATTTCATGGGTAAAGGTTATTAATATCTAATTTTAAAAACGTGTGCGGAAAGATGCATTGAAAGTCAAGAGAGAGGAGTTCGGGGTGGGATTCGGAGAGAAATTCATTTTTTTTCTTTGCTTTATTTTTTCTTTGAAGCAACCAATCAGGCATTGTGTAAACACATTTACAGGGGTGACGTGGTCATGCATCCAGTAAAGCAAGCGCGATGTATAGTAGTAGTAGTGGCTCCGTAGGGCGGCTACGGCATCCACCCATCTCCCTAGTGCTTATCGGATTCAGGGCAAGGCTGGCATGACAACCTCCCCCTACCCACCATGATTTCAATGGATGATTGGATACACTCAGTTCCGTACCCAGAGTCGGCGCCTCGATTAAGGTCTGCTGTCTCAAGTTCGGATGGAGCATGATTGATCTTAACCCCATCTCCGCTTGTATTCAGCACAAGTCTCATCTTCGAATCCTTTCTCATGAAACACCCCATACCGTGGTGGCAGACCGTATCGTAGCTGCTTTTGTGTTGTAGATATACTGCAAGCCCCTATTTATTCATTGCGTCATGTCGAACGCGGTTGGTTGTCATGTCTTGCATGTTTGGCCCTCCTGATTAGATACCAGCCGAGCCTCCTCTTGGTTCTGAATATCCTGATCCCGTAATCCCGGTCAGCCCTCTCCTCGTACACAACTGAAAGTATAAACCCACCTCGATAGCCGGCACAGCCGAGTGCCAGGCGGCAACCAACATCCCCTGGAGCGCCACATCACTCCGGACCTCCTGCACGGTCTTCTGCACACTTGCGCCCCGTAACCGCGAGGCTTTCTCTACGCCATGCATGCCGAAATCGATATCGATGTGGTGTCTCATGAGCTCGGGATACCTGATGAAAGCGATCAAGCTCTGACGGCAGCATGTTCGATAATACCCGATGCTGCCCAGGAGAAAACCCATGCAGGAGCCGACCAGGAACCCGACTGCGCCGGCCGTGAAGGCGTAACCCAGCACTGTCGCCCCAAACAGGCCGATGATGACCGCTGTCGAGCTCCCGGCCAGCAGGCACTGGAACATGAACAATCCTCGACCACTCGGTTTGGTCAGCCCGCCCACAGCTCGCAGGGCTTGGCCCAGGGAGCTGACGGTCTGCGCTGGAGTCTCGCCCTGAAACTTGCGATGAGAGGCGGTTCCAGTACGGGGGTGAGATTGTGAGGGAAGTGCTCACCTGCATCCTTGTGATGATCTTTGACCAATGGAAACTTGTAGGAATCGCGTATATTGGGGCGTGGGAAAGAGAGATCCAAGGAATGAATGCACTGTTTACTGTAGGTCACGTGAAATCGTCTGGCTTTACCGCATGCGGCGCAAGGGGTATCATGGAAGCGTGATTGGACTAGTTAAGTGGAGCAGCAGATAGGGCACGTGTCTGTATGTACTGCTTTGTCTCTGTAATTAGTATATATACTTTATCTTACATGAAGACCGGGGGCGCTTTGTTCTGTACAGCGACCACACCATGCATTCCACCTCAGCTGGAAGTTTTGCTCGGTCCCGGAAAATTATTCCAGGAACTTGGCCAGATTGCTCTCTACCCACTGCTGCAAGCGCTGTGGAGGATGCTGAGCATACCTCTGAATGTTTTCGCGTGCTATAAGCGCTTCGGGACTTTCCAGGTACCATCCAGCGCGATCGATCACGTTATGAAGGTGCCACTGGATCATAGCGGGCGGCATGCCGGCGGCCTCCATCTGCGCGGCAGCCTCTCCCCGAGTAATGCTAGTGACTTGGACTTCCTTGCCCAGCGCGTGGCCCACAGTTCTTACCGCTTCCCTCAACGTCATCGTCTCGGGCCCTAGGAGCCGCACGATGCGTTCTTGGGCGCCATTGACCAGGATCGTCCCCGTGACATGGCCAATATCCTCCGATGAGATAAAGTCGAAAGTGGCATCGGGGTTGGGCAGTCTGACCTGTCCCCGTAGGATGGCCTGCTTCTCGTGAAGAAGGTGACTGGCGCAGAACGCAGGCCGCACCGTCACGTAGCCGGAGCTCCCATAGATCTCCTCCAGCGCGATTTCTACTTGGGCATGCTCCCAGGGGACGATGTCGGAGGGGTCCACCTCATGAATGTCGGTCAGGATAATGAAACTGCTTAGGAAGACGACAAATTCTACCCCGGATTCTTTGAGTGCTCGGAGCGCGACCCTCATGAAGTCCACCCCGTCGAAGATTCCATATATAAAAGCAGCTTGCGCGCCAGCCTGGCGAACCGCAGCTCTGAGGGTATCGGGCTGTGTCAGATCGGCTTGGTATTTTGGAAAGGAAGGTGGTCGAGCTTAGGAATTGGCTTTGCGGGATTTCGTGTCGCCAGCGACACGGTAGCGCCGTGGTGATGGGCTTGCAAGGCAGCGGCAGATCCCACATCGCCGGTAGCACCGAAGATGATCACGTTGTTGTACCTGGGCATTGTAACCGATGATTTAGAATAATAATGATGAAGGCAATTTTTGATGGCGGTTCCTATAAAATAAATCAAGACGAATGATAGATAAGATTATGTTTGTTCGTTGTGATGCTAACTAACCTTGCTACTTGTATGTGTTTGGTCGACGGATTGTCAATCCAGCCCTAAATCCGGTCGGGTTTTGGAACTTTCTTGCGTCCGTGACCCGAGCTGGACCGCGTAAGTTTCAAGTTTGCCGTGAGACGGACTTGCTTCCTGATAGTTAAGCGTCAGTGTATTATTCCTTGAGTGATTTCTCTTTCTGGGCGATTATCCAGCATGATGCCTACTTTGTCTCTATTTCATGCCACTGGTATCATTTCTTCCTCCCTTGCGGCCGGTAAGTTAAGCCTACCCCTGACCTAACATCTGACCAGAATGCAACCAAGACTTACCAGATTTGTCTTGCCAGGCACTATCTTCACTTCCTCTTTCAACGGTGTCAGCACGGCCCAACTCGCCGTTCATGAATCCCCGCGTTTCGCTGCCCAGCAATGGGTTCATGTCCACCGGAAATGCCACAACCTAGGCACCCCGTTGGTCGTGCTATCAGCGGTCTGCTTTGGATTGGTGACCGCGCAAAGGCAGAGCCAACAGCTTCTGGCGGCCGCGACCGCGTGCATGGGCATCGTGCCTTACACGATTGTGGCCCTGAGAGGACCGGAAATGGTTCTTTTTGCGGCTGCCGACTCTGAGTGCCAGGCTAGGTCGGCAGCGTATTCGACCCGAGATATACAAACGGCGCTCACCAGATGGGGACACTGAATCTGGTGCGGACAATTTTTCCTCTGCTTGGAAGCTTCTTGGCTATCAGTATGTTTATATAGTAGTAGTTTATTGGATATCATAAGAACAACCCTTGTTGGAGTTACTTATAATTCGCCACACATACTAAGACATGATCTACAATTTATCCTACCAAAAAAGTCTCATAAACCTGTTTCATATTAGGCACTTGAGGTGCTTTGTGTAGAAGACTAAAGGTCATGAATGATGCTTCGTTCTTCTTTTCATTAATCTACGAGGGAGTGTTGAATGACGACTCTGATTAGTATAAATATTGGCTCTGGCCTTGGAACTTCAAGTTACATTTATGATTTGAGTCTGTCCACTGCCTTCATTTACAGGCTGGGTGGAAGGTACAGTACAGTACGAGACTCATCTCTGAACACATTTCGTTTTACGTACGGGACGGTTATCTGTAAGTAACGATGCCGTCATCTCACGCTGCTCGGACTTTGGCTCGGACTCTGGAAAAGTCAAGCGGCCATTGATGGCCAATCGTATGAACGGCCCATGATGTCGATGGCTATTTTTCTGTGACCAACTCTATAAAATGCTACATATTTCCAAAGAGATTTCAACTGCAACTATCTGACTGCTCTTTTTTCTAGGTTAGAACCCTGATTAAACATCATGGCAGCATTCCCCGTAGGCTACTGTCTCGCTCAGGCCATTGACTTCAGCGGAGCAGCATGGCTATCAGGTACGCACCGTACAGCAGATGACGCTCCAATTTTTGATATTTCTTATCCCACGGGATAGCACCCTTTACAAGAAGCACTACCGTCTAGGTAACATCGCAGCACTCAGTCTGATCGCTGTGCCCGCCGTGGTGGAAACCCAGAAGGAAACCCCGATACCCAGCAGTGTTGTCGTCAAGCTGTGGCGAGGGTTCTACGAGAAAGGCAAGACGCAGAATCCTCCGATCGCCGCCGCTACCGCCACGGCGTTTCTGTACCTCGCCTGGTCCGTCCGCGCCGGTGAACCCCTGTTCCGTTCCGCCGCCTACAACCGCGCCGGATTATACACTGCGGCAGCCGTGTTGACCCTCGGCATCGTGCCGTATACTATCCTCACCATGAGACCGACCAACAATGCCCTTCTCGCCCTGGCGCAGTCTCCAAAGGATCTGACCGCAGCAGACGAGACGCGAAGCCAAGATTTGCTCAAGAAATGGACCTCATTGAATAGCTTGCGTGGCTTGTTGCCTCTTTCAGGGGCGACGTTGGGCATGCTTGCGGCGTGGATTTAGAGGTAAGGTAATGACACGATGGATGTTGGAGTTTTCACCTTGGATTTGGATCCTACAAGGACAATTGCATAGTAGTTGGAGAAGAGCACAGGTTAAATGCTCTATGTTGCAACCGTGATTCAGATAACCGGTGAGCTACTGGATGGTAGGCAGCCATTGAGATCCTTGTATTGTTAAGCTTCCAGCCTTAGCTATGAACACAAGATTCGCATTTTCAATAACACAGGTACGTAAGAACCAGGGACTGATCTCAAGAGAGTTGCCGCAGAAATACGATAATGAGCACGGCTTATGTCTCCAAGACTGCGGACGTCCTCATGGCTTCGTAACTAGATAGGTTGAAGTAAAATACCCGGTTCACCGCCTTCTTTCTTCCTTATACTGCTTTCTATGCTGGAATGACCGGGAGTGGGTTAGCCAGTACCACGAGATAGAATCGGCAGATCTGAACTTATCAATCATGGCTTATTTACTGAGCCTAGGCACTCGAGATTATCATCATTGTTCGTTTTGTTCGTTTGCGTGAATGTCTCGTGTAATCACGGTGAGATGTTGGCTCAGCAGAGCTACCGTGGTCAGAGTCTTCAGAACTGGAATGGAAGCCAAGGGTCCAGACTCGGGACCCACCAGCCCTGCATCCTGCTTGAAAAATATATGCATGTGGATGACGGGTCACCAGCCAATCACAGCCAACAGGGGAACGGAACTTAAAATACAAGAAAATAAGTGCAGTGGGATGACAGATCTCAACCCAATCAAAGGCACTCGAGGTGGCATAAATCTAGTGGGTACCAAAGGTATCTACAGGTAGGTAGGGGTAGTTAGTATTGACCCCAACTCTGACCGAAGTCTGATATTATAGTCGAAAGCCGTGCGGACTATATATTCTACTGCATGCGAATCCGAAGCAGAGACGCGGGAGTGACTGTTAGGCAGATAGTGATTCTTTCATACAAGCGCATATTGCCAGGCAGACTTCCTGGATTTCACTAAATTCAACTTCGGAGGGTTTTTTTGGGCATCAGCTACTTTCACACCACCCACTCCCAACCTACTACTAATTGAGGCCCATTATGCCTACATTCCGGAGTCAAGACATCCCCGATCTCCACGACCAGGTCATAATCGTGACCGGAGGCAATGTAGGGCTCGGGTACGAGACCATCCGCCAGCTCAGCGAGCACCACCCGGCTAGGATTTATCTCGCCGCACGATCCCGCAGCAAGGCCGAGCAAGCCATTGCAGAGCTCACCAGAGCCAGTCCCAGCTCCACAAACATCATTCGTTTCCTCCAGCTCGATCTTGCCTCCTTTGACAGCGTCAAAGCCGCTGCTGCAGAATTCCTCCGTCAAGAGTCTCGCATCGACATCCTGATCAACAACGCCGGAATCATGATGACTCGGGAAGGTCTGACACAGGACGGCTACGAGATTCAATTCGGGACCAACGTCCTCGGTCCCGCGCTGTTCACGCAACTTCTCCTCCCGACTCTCCGTTCTACAACAAATCTGAACCGCCAGACCCGGATGGTGATGCTCTCGTCGGCCGCCCACGCTCGGGCGCCCAGTGACGTCTACAAATTCGACGAACTTCGCACAACTGCCCCTAGCCGACACACCACGGAGCGCTACACCACATCCAAGCTCGCCAACCTGCATTACGCGAGGGCTTTGGCGGAGAGAGAGACGGAGGTCAAGATCATTCCTGTGCACCCGGGCATGGTGGCGACGAACCTGCACCATGCTTCCACGGGGACTTTTCTCAAACCCTTCCTCTCTGCTGCGGTTTGCTTGGCGGCTACCCCGGTCGAGAAAGGCGCCCTCTCGCAGATCTTTGCCGCGGTCAGCCCTGAGGTAAAACATGGTCAGTACTATGGGCCGATCGGCAAGGCCGAAGCAGGTTCCAAACTCAGTCAGAACCATGATCTCCAGGAGGAATTGTTCAGATGGGTGCAAGGGGAGCTTGTTGGGCATGTTGACACTGTTTGGTAAAACTTGCGCCCTGCTGATCTCTGCTTGTATTGTTATGCCTTTTCCTTGTCCTTTTCAGTTTTACGACCTTTTTCTGTCTGTGTAATAATGACAGTAAATCGATAATCATGTACTGGGGTTTCGTTGTCACAGTAGGGATTCCAATCACCATGCTTTTACTATGTGACCCTGAGCGCAAAAGCAATACGTAGATACTGAAAATGGATGGAATACACTGCTCATGTTAAGCAGCTTGAGTTGAGGATGGTTGGTACCGTAAGACGAACTGAAACATATATAAATGCCTGAAGCCCATTGATCGCACCAGGTATCGTTGCATTTGAACTTTTCCAGCTATACTCAAAGAATAGCATAGATGGCTCTTAGAAGGGGGAACACCTACTCTTTCCCAGCTAATACCGTCAGAATACTAAATCTGTAGGGCACCATGCACATACTGTACTTCCCAGTGATTGGCTGTACAACCGTCATCCCGGATCTCGGAATCGGGGAACCCGAGCCCTCACCCGACACGGACGCTGCTCCGATTGGGTCCGAGTCCAGTCGGATTTAATGATCCAAGAGCTTAAAGTCCGGATGACGAATTGTCCGCCAATCATCGACCTCTCCTTCTATCAGTCATCGATTTGAGTCTTCAGCCGTTTCGCCCCTTCATCGCAGCAGTCTTTCTTTGCATCCATCTACAAACTTATGCTAATCTCCATACATTCAACTGCACGAATCACAGCCTGTATAATCCCAACAGTCGTGTCACACTCAATTGAACGCTAGTGCGCTCGCCTCAATGTTATCCTCGAAAGAGCGGACCCATCGCCTCGACGAGGATTGGTCCGGGATCACCGATCCTGCTCTTCGCAAGAAGTTGCAAAACAAGGTCAACCAGCGTGCTTTGCGTAGGTACCTTGAATATGCACCCACACGCACCCACAGCCACTCTACATTTCAACATTAGAACCCACAAAAACCCCGTTGTAGAGCGGAAGCCAATCGCAGCACAAACTAACGGCCTCAACAGGAGCGCGAAAACGCCAAGAGCGGCAAGAAGCCATGCGCGTGCAGCAGGCCAGAAAGCAGAGCCAGGCCGCTCTGCCTCGTTCATATGCCCTGATACTTCCACGACCAGAGCACTTCCAAGTCGAAGGCCAGATATTGAGTCCGCGACGATCGCACACCCAGCCCACCACACTCGTCGAGGCCGTAGCAATGATGACGCGCTTCAGCGCAGCTGCCTATGACCGATACTATGCCGCCAATCCTTGCCTAGACCAACTCTTTACGCTCTCCAAATTTAATGTGCTCCGTGCCTTTGTGGATAACATGGTAGCCCTGGGATTGAGCATTGACGCCATGGGAGATGACGTTATCTCCCCATTCAATATGGCTTCCCCCGGAAACCCCAGCCGACAGACCCTTCCGGCGAGTCTCTTCCCCACATCGACTCAATGCACCATCTCCCACCATCCCTGGCTGGACTGTTTCCCGTTCCCGCGGATGCGGGACAATCTGGTCCGGGCTGCGGACTCGTTCAATGATTGCGAGCTGTGTACCGATATCGTGGACCCCACCAACGGCGATATCGGCATGATGGTGTGGGGAGACCCCTGGCTACCGCAGAGTTGGGAGGTGTCGCAGTTATTTGTGACCAAGTGGTGGTGGGTGATCGAGGGGTGTCCGGAGATAATCGTGCATAGTAATTATTGGAGGGGTAGACGGGGGCTCCAGAGGCTCAAGGTGGGCACTACGTGAGAGCAGTGTTCGGTGAACAGTCTTCCCCGCAGCGGTCTCAAAAAGATTGTCACTCCATACTGTACTACAACTACGCACAGCTACAACTACGCTGCTTGAAGTGTGCTGGCACACCTGCGGACGTCCAGGGACAAAGCCACCATGTACAAAGGTCTAATGCATCCATTCACACTACGCCACTTATTACCAGATTGCATGCACAGGACGGTATCTCTACAGGAAAGGAAAATCGACTTCTCAATCCCTCTTCTGAGGGATCTTTACCTCCCACCAGATCCAACTCTCCTATCCACCACGCACCGCAGCAAACACATCAAGCGTATGCTTCCAAATCCGTTCCCTTACCCCTCCCGCCCGATACTGCCGCATAAGCTCACTGGGCTGATACGTCTCCCCGGTAGAATCCAGCCGATAGAACCCACTCCCAGCATCCCCATCCGACCCCTGCGCCACCTCACGCCCACCATTCTGCCCCAATCCCCGCGCCGGGAACCGTAAACCCGTCGCCGCAAACAAATGCCTCTCCCCACTCTCACCCAGCGGCGTCTCCCACGGCTTAGCCAGCACCATCACCGCCGCGAGCGCACACTTCGTGACCGTGCCGAAATCCCGGTCGAGGCGCGTCCGCACCAGCCCCGGGAACGAGTGGACGAACGAGACCTGCGGATACGCGGCGGCAAGATGCTCCATCGCGACGGAGGTCATGGTCGTGGCGTGTTTCGCGCAGTTGCGCAGCGAGTAGTGGGTTTGGAGGGGGAGATCGTCCAGTTGTAGGGCTGCTTCGTGGCCGGCTTCGAGGACGGAAACGACGCGGGAGAGCGGGGGTCCGTTCCCGTCTGCGGTGGTGGCAGCACCGGCTTTCTGCAGCTGCGGGAGGAGGTTGGCGACGAAGCGCATGCGCGAGTAGTAGTGAAGGCTGAGTTTTTTATCGAGGCCTTCGGCGGTTTCTGTTACGGTAGACGGCCAAGAGGTTAGGGTGGAGTGGAGGTGAGGGTGGGATTTGCCCTATGGAGATGAGGGTTCGTACCGTCCCGGCCTTTCATCGTCCCGGTCCCTGGACTCAGGAATAGAATGTTGACTTTGTCTTCGTTTTGTTGGATGGTTCTGCATGCCTCGTCGACTTCGCGTAACAGGAAGACATCGGACTTGATGAACGTGATCTGCGCGTCTGGGTGCATTTGTTGCAATTCCTCGATGATCCGGCTGGCTCGGGCCTGGTCGCGGCCGACAAGGTACGCCCGTGAGGCATGGGTGCTGCGGATGAAGGCGCGGGCGGTCGATTCGCCTATTCCGCTGGTTCCGCCGACTGTATGCACCGTGTCCTGTTAGTGGATTATAGGCGAAGTGCATCACTGGTGACAAGGTAGGGGATTGATAGACTGTACAACTCACCAAACACACCGACCAGGCCGGACCCGTAAAGGCCAGTGATGGCGGAGTTGTTTTCTCGTACGGTAGCAATTGACACCATCGTTTCTGTTGAAGGACCTTAATCAGTCTGAGGAAAACATATGAGTGGAACAGGAGCTCTTAAATTACTACTCACGTGGGCAATAGGACTTGAATCAAAGCCACATGGTTTGCAGACCACCGCATTGCGTGGCTGACATGCTACAACATGATTGGACAGTTGAGCGTCATCCAGGGGCATCAAGCTAGCGCAATTAATACTGCAATGCGGTCCACTCTTATCTCCGATTCCGGTTCAGCAACACACATCAGTCTGGGTTTCACGTTAGTTCCAAAAAGCTGCGGCCTCTTGGTGCTGTGCAGTGCCATATATTGGACCGCAGTTCTACGGAGATAACATTGATTCCGTTCTTACTTCCGCTCCCTTGAGTTGATGGTAAATTTCACGAAGAAGTTTGTAGTGCGGTGAAACTGTGGTTCTCCCGATTTAATACGGAATTAAACCCCCAGTGAGTTGGTGAATATGCTAAAATTAGCCGTGTGCAAAACATCTCTCACGGCAGTTCAGTTGAAACCTCACAACGAGCGAACCGACAGCAGAGAAATATTGTCCCTCAACGTAAGTCTACAGTGTATAATCTTCTGTGTCCCGGGCGTGGTTCAGTAGACCTTTGCAGAACCCTGCCTCTTCGAACAGCCTGCCCTGTCCGCCCCGTGTTTCTTGACATAGGTCCATGACTCAAAATGCATCAGCGCCAGGGAATACGCCTGACCAGTCGCAACGCCTGTTTGCCATTCTTGTTGATCTGGAACGCACCGATAGGAAGTTCAAAGTTGGCATTGCCCAGGTCAACAATCGTCGCCGTCACGTGCACGCAATCTTGAATGTGCTCCAGCTCGCCAATGTACGCCGGAAACGTACATAGCGTTTGGCTTGTTGCTGGCCTCGTGCACGCCGAACGAATCTGGCTCGATCAAAGTCCCAGTGACCTGGCCGATCAGAAAGTGCTTGCAGGGGGTGCTGGTGATGCGGAACTCCCTGCCGGCGATGGTCGCGTGGACCGTTCCTCACGGCTTCAGCCCTACGACGGGGCCGCGGCCACTGGCAGGTTCTTCGCCCCGTCGACGGTGCTGAGCGCCCGGCGGCAGTCGAAGAGCTAGCGGTCTTTGGGTCGAGCTTGCCGAGATGATCCTCATGGCTGAGGGCCATGGCGTCGATGGGTGGCATGTCGTGGAGTTAAGAATCAAAAGCTAAATGCTCGCTGTCGGCATCCCACAGGGGCAGACCCTCACCAAGACACGACACCCGGCCTCTAATTGCGCGGGATGCCGGGCTTACGGCATCCCACCAAGCCGGTTCCCCATTACGCTGTGATTGTGGCGTTGTGAATAATCACCGACTCGGCATCCCACTCAGGCCGAGGTCGCCGATCCATCAGACACCGTTATAAATATCGGCTGACAGCCTGGTGAGTCGATACCACTGTGAACACACAATTACCTGGCACCACAGAATGATGTAAGTCAACCCCCCCAACCACTGTTCAAGCCTGCACCTGACACGTTTCCCCAAGGGAACGTATAAACCCCAATGAAACGCCTTACTTTGACCTCGGCTTCCATGCTCGCAAGGTGACAACCACCTCAAAGGAAGCGCAGACATGGTTCAACCGAGGTCTAGTATGGGCCTACTCTTTCAACGTCGGCGAAGCCGGCAAATGCTTCGAGCAAGCCGCGCAACACGATCCCAAGTGCGCCATGGCATACTGGGGAATCGCGTACGCCACCGGGCCCAACTACAACAAAGCGTACAGATTCTTCGACAAGGCGGACCTTTACTCTTCGATCGAGAAGGCCAACCGCGCTCTGACGCGTGCTTGGGAGCTAATGCCTGAAGCCACCCCAGTCGAGGAGGCATTGATCCGAGCTCTCCGGGCACGCTTTCCACCATCCGATCAGATCCCCGATGACTTCAGCTCCCAGGACCGCGCATACGCCGACGCCATGCGTCCGGTCTACCAGCGGTTCGGGACCGACGCAGACATCGCAGCCCTTTTCGCCGACGCACTGATGTGCATGACGCCGCGCGGGCTCTGGGATCTCGACACGGGCAACCCGACCGGCGAACACACCGTCGAAGCGCGGCGCGTCATCGAGGAGGGCATGCAGTCCCCCGAGGGCCGTCACCACCCGGCGCTTTGCCACCTGCACATCCACGTCATGGAGATGTCCCCGTACCCGGAGCTGGCGCTCCCCGCGGCCGACCGGCTGCGGTCCCTCGTCCCGGACGCCTCGCACATGCTGCACATGCCGACGCACATCGACGCCGCGGTCGGCGACTACCGCCGCGCCGTCGACTGCAACCACCTCGCCACACTGGCCGACGACAAGTATTTCAGTCCCGCAAGCCTCTCGTTGCTTCCCGGCGGCTCGCTCACCTACATCGCCTACCGCGTGCACTACATCTGCGCCAAGCTGTACGCGGCGATGATGTCGGGCCGGTTCGCGGACGCCATGTCCGCCGCCGAGAAGCTGGAAGCTGTGCTCGACGACCAGTTGCTGTCCATCGAGAGTCCGCCGGTGGCGGACTCGGTGGAAAGCTTCGTCGCGAGCAAGGCGCACGTGCTCATCCGCTTCGGGCGCTGGGAGGAGATCCTGACTCTTCCCCTCCCGGCGAACCGCGAGCTCTATTGCGCCTCGACCGCGGTCATCCTCTACGCACGCGGGCTGGCGTTCAGCGCCCTAAGCCGGATCCACGAAGCGGAGCTCGCGCAAAGGGAGTTCGAAGCCGCGCGTGCCAAAGTCCCGGAGTCCCGGCTGAGCAGCATCCCATGTAAACAGGTGGATGTTCTGAGCGTTGCCTCTGCCATGCTGACGGGGGAGCTGGAATACCGCAAGGGGAATCACGAGGGGGCGTTCGCGGCGCTTCGGGAAGCCATCCGCCGCGAGGATGCGTTGCCCTACTCCGACCCGCCGCCGTGGATGCAACCCGTGCGCCATGCCTTGGGCGGTCTGCTGTTGGAGCAGGATCGGGTGGCAGAAGCTGAGGTTTTGTTCCGCGAGGATCTCGGGTTTGCCAAGGACTATCCGCGGCGCAGAGCGAAGTTGAACAATGTGTGGGGGTTGCATGGACTGTATGAGTGCTTTAAGCGCCAGGGGAAAACTGACGAGGCGGTGTTTATCCAGTCGGCGCGGGATATTGCCGTCGCGACGGCCGATGTTCCGGTTAGGGCTTCGTGTTATTGTCGCGTGTCGGCTGTGGGGGAGAAGCAGAAGCAGTGTTGTCTGTAGGATTTGATCATTGGACATGCAGATGCTAATTCAATAAACCGAGACGGGCATGTAAGATGTGCATATATACTATTCCTAGCTAGCTATCTGGATGCTCCCCGTTGCGTAGCCTCTCAAGTGCTACTTTGCTACCAGCCAGGGTAAGGCATACTTCGAACCTGGCCAACCGCTCAGAGATTACCCTGTCCCGCGTTACTCGGCACCATCGTCTTGATCGCCGTGTACGCCGACGCGGTCGCGATATTCTTGCCTTCAAAGTTGACCAAGAAAGCGGTGTCGGACTGCGAGAAGGTGCCCGAGCTCCCGAACCCGTTGATCTGGCACGCGCGGCCAAGGTAGGTCGAGCAGACTGCGTTGGTCGTCGAGTCCGGGGATGTGAACAGCTGTCCCGACACCGGAGATTCGACGGGAGTGTCGATGTTCTGGAAGACGTTGCCTTCGGCCAGCACGTAGCCCCCACTGCCAATCTCGAACGAGTGGCCGTCGGAGTCGTACCAGTAGTTGTTGACCTAGTCACTCATTGTTAGTCGAGTTTCTGGTTCGCATGATACTTCATCTGGGGAAAGCTTCGCTTACGGCGTGCAGAAGGGTGTTGCCCTGGACCTTCGGGCTCCGGCCGCTGAAATGATAGATGTAATTCTTCTGGAGAGTGACCAGATCGGACGAGCCGTCAAAATATAAACCCCAGTATGCGTAGCCGTCACACGTTGCGCTGTAGCTGGTGACACCGTTGAAGTACGAGTTGGAGATGGTGACGCGGTTGTCGGCGCTGGTGCCGAGGACGACGTGCTGGCGGCCGATGCGGGCGGTCTATACGCTTGTTAGCTATGCTGGAAGAGAGAATGCCCGCATTAATAGGCCAAAGAGAGCTTGGTTGAAGGATAGACCAAGACGGGGCTGCGGGTGACGAACCGTGACATGGTCGATCCAGACCATATCGGCGTCGTCGAGGGTGATGGCATCACCACCCCAGACGTATTTCTCGTTGATATCTGTGATTGCGACATTCCTAACCCAGGTTAGAAGACACCTTCAGGCTTAGACTATTGAGACTGACTGGATGATGATGTTGCTGGCACCGCTGACCATGCGAAGACCCTTGCCCTTGATGATACCGGTGGATCCGACGCCGATAAGGGTCTTGTCCGATGCCACAGTGATACCCAACACACCAGCGTTGTCGCTATCACATGTCAGCATTCGAAAGTCTTGGATTGGACAGAGAATAGACACGTACTATGTCACGGAGACACTTGGGGCGTCGGGCTCATAGTTCGTACACCAGTCATTCTGGTTAATGGCGAGCTGGCAGCCTGATGCAGTCGACCAAGGTGCACATCCGGTGGCCGTAGTGGTACCCTCAGTGCCAGTGAAATCAAAGCTATGTCGGTTAACTCATGATTTTGTTGACAGACATCGGGATGGACGTATTCATCTGTCTGAGATGGCATCATCCCCAGCCCTCGCGGGCGGTGGACCGAGGGGCCAATCAGGTGCCATCACACCACGACATCATGAATCTCACTTAGGGGGAGGTGATTAGGGCTAGGGAGATGGCACTTACGTCTGCTGCAGAACAATCACTCGCGCCGAAGAGTCACCGAGGTACGAGACCAGCTCATCAGTCGTGGTAGGATAAACCGGAGTCGCACTACCACCACCAGTGACACCTTTTGCGAAGCCCTCTGCCGCACCGGAAACACTCACAGCTGTGGCGAGCTGGGCCGCAACGGCCAAAAGACTGAGAATCTTGCTCAATGCCATGTTGCAATTTATCGATACTGTCTGGCCGTGCTCTACCCTCAGCCCGCAGAGTATAACTCCTTTATATGTCTTTTCCAACCCCACCGGGCCCAATAGAGGGAATCTTTGGCTAGTAGCACCTAAAGCAACTACTAGCCATGAAGAGCAGTGGGGCCGGTGACAAGTGACTAGAGAATGGTGGATTAGTGAATATCCGTAAATTGGAAACCATGTGGTGAAGTTCCTCGGCGGTGATTGATGGAGGCGCGCCACAAAGTTTCCCGTCCTGTGCGGAGTACTTCCCGTGTGCTGAATCTGCCGGCTGGGGGCCAAGGTGTCAGTGCACCCACTAGGAAGCAAGAGAGCATGAAGAGAAGCGGGGCTAGTCCAAAGAGCCTAATCACTAGTGCCTTGTCAAATTGCATTAGAGTAAAATGTTTGGGCGGTGTTCCTTAAAGACTGATTGACGGAGAGGTTGTCCCATCATTTCCGCCGTTTGCGGAGATTTGTCCGTGGGGCTATAGTATCCTTCAGTATAAGGGGGGACGATGGGTTGACTGCCAAGTAGTCTGGGAAGATGTCACTCTTCACTCAGTGTGAAGCGATCAATGATATCCTGTTGCCACTAATGGATCTTGGTTGCGAATTTTATCGTGGGCTCCTGTGGTGACAAAATAGACCCAGTGTCATCACCTTCACTGGTTGCATTCTGAAATCAAGGAACCGGAAGACTAATGCATATAATACGGTTTACTAACTTTTGTATGGTCCGATATGATATGGCGACAGAGATAAGCACATCGAATAAAAACTTATGAGAATGCTTAATAGTGGCATTGGGTTTGTGAGTACCAGTCCAGTCACTTATAACTAGAGATAATGAAAGCAAAGTGATCTTATTCCCGCCGGTAGACCGTTAGGTATGTATCCACTTTTATCGATGTTTTTCTGCCTGTTATCTAGCCTGTCTGCTCAAGGAATTTCCTATTCGTGCCATCGAATACCGGAGGCGTAGTATTACTTCCAAAACGCAGATAAGACAAAGGAAGAGACTGCAGTGTCATTTTAGCCTCAGCTCTAAAAGGTGAGCTAAAAGGCTTCCTCAATCGACTCCACACTCGTCCCTACTACGGATGCTTGCAGTACCAGTAGGTCCATGTCATCCGTCGCTGTCGCTGCAGCCAATGGTCGTGCATTGAACCTGGGAGCCTTCATCCAGAGCCTATGTAATTGATGCAGTTTATTATTTCGAACATCCCCATCCATGCCGTGCTCAAGGTGAATCTGGAGATACAGCAAAGCCGATAGTGTATCTAGAGTTTGAGGTCAGAGAGGGGCGGATCGTAAAGGATAAACTCGTGATTAGAATTTACCCATCACTTGACCTGGGAAAGACATAGAGCACATTTTCACGGAGATTGTATGCTACAATCATGAATTTCCGTTGTGTAAATGGGCTCAAAGGGGAAAACGTCGCCAAGATAGCTTTCAAGACAATGAGGGAGGGTATGCATGGTCGTAGTCCCCGTTGCTTGGGACGAAACTCGGCATCATTTTGCTTTGAGCGCCGCGCTGACGAACAATGAGCATTGTAATGTAGTCGAGTACTACTCTAAAAGCACGTTTCTCCGGTGATTTCCATGTGATATATCTTTCTGCAGCCTCCAAAGCAATAGGTCCTGACATTAAATGTTGAATCTCGCTCTCCACGGCAGTAGACATGCCGCAACGTAAAGGTATAAAGTGCGAAACTGCACCCTGGTAAGAGAATCAGTGTGCCCACTCATTCTTTCCACCCTTCACTCATAGCCAATCTCTTTCGAGACTCTCTGATTATCGTAGCAAATCAGAACCATGGCACCCATCACTTGCCTTGACGCTATTGCCCTGGCATTGTGGGGGGCTGTAGACACGGATTGCAGCATCAGAAAAGTCAGCACGACACTTACGATCTCCGACATTCGCGGGAAACATTGGACAGTGCCGGTGATACACTCCATCAACAACACCGGCCACGCTGGCTACAGCACGGTCATCGTGCCCGGTTATGTGAACGTAAATGAAGATGACGTGATCTTGCGCCTGGGTCAGTGCCAGATGGACATGGGGTCAAGCTTCGGGAATGCGAAGCCTTCCTTTGGGGCGATTGACCGCGGCTCCAGCGATCCAGCAGTCCCCGATGCCCTGTGCCGGCTCCACCAGTCCACGTTCCGGTTCCGCTATCAACGTGCTCGGCTTGAGCCCGATGGACCAGAGGAGATCGTCGTCTCTGCGGAAAGGGTTCCAGGACCGATTATCGCTGAAGCAATACAGTTGATGGCTCGCATTAATGAAACTCGGATGGCGCAGCCGGGGCTGAATGGTCGACCAGCGCCCTGAAGGCTGTACATCTTACTTCCTCAGTGGTTCTCCGTATGTACGCAGGCAGGATTTGAATTATGCAATGTTAGGCATCATTGAATAAAATCACTTTTGTCATACTCGGTCAGTGTTTTCGTAAACGATAAATCAGCCCCGTAGCTGCAGGCTTGTTTCGCTATGCAACGAAGCCAGTGTCACCCATACGCTGCGAACCTGGGGTTATACTGACCTTCTCTGAAGTAAGACATGAGTCCAGAATTGGGAATGTTTTATTACTTCGCAATGCGATGCAAGACGCTCCGCACCTTGTCAGGCTCTGTTTGGAGCCTACAGCCATGTTGAGCTTAGATATGAACGTCAGCAACTTAAGTCATCAGCCACAACACACCACGATCAAATATCGACAAGTTTGTTAATCTGATATTCCTCTATCTTAAGACCAGACTTTCTTTGTAAAGAACACATTCATCTCACGAGATCTGCCCCAAAAGGCTCTTACCAAACAGACCCACTGGTACACGATAAGTAAGCATGAGAGCCACTTTCAAATTCTTTTTAGATTCGGTGTATGACGAATTCAGTTCATGCTATTCAATGCCACGCTGGCACATTGCTGCACTTCGCTCTGGGAGACAGCACTTTGCTGGACACTATCTGGGATGAATACTTCCTACGAGGAAAGAGCTTGTGCTATGCAATGCACTGAAGTAAGCTGTGCTGTCATTCAGAATCATCGTTTCACCGATACTGCATAGACAACTTATACACCCTCTCTAGTGCAGCTGTCATGTACTACAAACTATCCTTTCACATCGTAGGAGGTGTGATGGAGCGGGAATATCTCAAAAGGTGTAATCCACATGGTGTAATCCACATCGCACATGACCGAGCAGTACTGTACATGTACTTCGACAGCTGTGGCCGGTATTCTAAGCGGTCATCTCAATACCAGTAATTGCCGCATGCGGGTGGTTGCGGTACGGATGGTTCAACCAAGCAAGGAGGCTTGTCCAGTTGACCCGAAAATGGGCATGATCAGCCCCACTTGTTGGCGGGTATGCTTCCCCGCATCTGGTCCAATACATCCAATACCTCAAACATGAATAAGGTACTATCAAGCGTTGACATCTTTTGTTCGCGGACTGGTTATATTCTCTTTTAGTAAAGACTTTCGAGAGATTTGGTAAGATTGAGGTCAAGGGTGACACTCACCCTGTGGCTTATCGTCAGCTTATCGGGGTATGTACGATATCTTATCAGCAAGGGGCTCTCTCTCTCCTTGGCGGCCGTGCACGGCTTGTTCATGCAATGCAGATAAGCCTAATCCCCGAAACGAGGGGCAAGATGCATCTCTCCCCAAAAATTTCCTTATAAATAATGCAAAGCCCCCTCTCCTCGCCGCCACTGTCTATTTTCTTTGCACCTAATAGCCCCTCTCCCTACCTTATACACGACACTCACCCGCAACCACCAAAATGTACGACCCGAAAATCGGCGACCCTCTCTCCGCCCTCGACACCCCGTCGATGATTGTCGACCTGGACTTAATGGAATCCAACATCCACAAACTCTTCTCCACCCTCCTCCCGACAGGCCGCAACATCCGTCCGCACCTCAAAACCACCAAAAGCGCCGCCCTCGCCCGCAAACTCGTCGCCGCCGGCGCCAAGGGCTGCTGCGTGGCCAAAGTGTCCGAAGCGGAAGCGATCACCGCCGCCGGCTTCGACGACATCCTGATCACGTGCGAGATCATCGGGGCCCCGAAGGTGCAGCGGCTGGTGGAACTGGTGAAAAAGCACCCGGGGATCCGGATCGTGGTGGACAGCGCGGTTGGCGCGACGGCCATCGATGCGGCGCTCGGAAAAGCGGGTGTGACCACGGCTTTGGCGGTGCTCATAGACTTGGACGTTGGACTGCACCGCACGGGGGTGGCGGATACGGCTGCGGCGTTGGCGCTGGCGAGACACATTGCCGATAACCTCAAGAATCTGAGGTTGATCGGGGTGCAGGGGTATGAGGGCCACTTGCAGCATTTGCACAGTCGGGAGAAGCGGAAGATGGAGTGTCTGGCCTCGATGGCGATCTTGACTGGCACGGCGGAGGCGCTGCGCAAGGACGGACACCAGATTGAGGTGGTCACGACGGGGGGCACGGGCACCGCGGAGTTCTGTGCCTCTGTGTCTGGGGTGACGGAGCTGCAGCCGGGGTCGTTTATCTTCATGGATACGGATTACCGCAACGCGGTGGGCGGGTTCTATGCGAATAGTCTGACGATCTTGTCGACGGTGATCAGTCGGCAGGGGGAGCGGCAGATCACTATTGATGCTGGGTTGAAGTCGTTGACGACCGACAGTGGGCTGGCGGAGTGTAAGGATGCGAAGTACGCCCATCTGAATCTCGGGGATGAGCACGGGGCTTTGAGTTGGGAAGCAGGCACCACCGACTTGCAGATTGGTGATCGGGTGGAGATGGTCCCCAGCCATATTGATCCAACGATCAATCTGCATGACTTTTACTATGCGCATCGGAATGGGGTGATTGAGGAGATCTGGTCGGTGGACTCGAGGGGCAAGGTCCAGTAGATGGGAATTCTCTTCACGGGCTCTTCGCACCATTCCGAAGATCATAATGCAGCAACGAATGCCATCCAATGTGTGCACCCCTTTTACATTTCATATTCAATCAAAGGCTTCTGGCCTAGCTTGCGGCCGCGGCAGTGCTGAAGTAGTGTAACAGCCTACCTAACACGGTGTTGATCCTAACCTCTAGGGCAATGACGCCCTCAGCTTCGAACGACCGTCCCCCCAACGGGGATATCCCGGTTCGACTCGTCTACCTCGTATCATTACCCTTTAATCCAGGCCCTCCGCACCCTCAACTTTACCGGCAGCGGCGCTTTGACCCAAACCGCGTATGTCTCCTGATCCTCCCACCGACCGAGATTACCCTCCGCCTGCAGATCGAAACAATACAACAGTTTCCCCAGAATGAGTACAATCTCCATACGGGCCAGGCTCTGTCCGATACAATCCCGCGGGCCCTGGAGAAATGGCTGCGTCGCGCGTCGACGGTCCTTCTCGAATTTACCTTCCGGCCGCAGCCAGCGCTCGAGGTGGAAGCTCGTAGGGTCGGCGTAGTTGTGCGGGGAGATGTTGGCGGCCCATTGCATGTAGGCGACGACTGTCTAGGTTGCAACATGAGTTAGTCTTGGGGTTAATGGCTTATCGCTATGCAGATGGCTCTGAGTGGTAGGGAACGAATTAGGGCTACTTACCCACTCCGGGAAGAAGTCGCCCGCAATGGTATGGCCACCCTCGGCAACAAGACGGGTCAACCCGAGCGGCACGGGCGACGTGAGTCGGACACCCTCCTTGATGGCCGCGTCGAGGATAGGCAGCCTCAGCAGCGTCTGGACGTTCATTTGATCCGCCGACGCGAACGCACCGCGCACTTCGCTTGTCACGCGATCCAACACGGTCGGGTTCTGCAGCAGGTGGAACAGAATGCCCGTGATGGCCGTCTGCAGCGTATGACTTCCCGCGACGATAAGAGTAGCGGCGTTGACCACCATCTCGCCGACAGCTCGAGCCGGGATTGCTGCACGAGGTGGGCTAGGAAATCTGGTGTCTGCACGGTCGCGCCGGGCTTTGCGTCCTTGCCCTGCAGTTGCTGTAACCGCCGTTGCACTTTCTCGCGGGTCGTGGCTTGGTGCTGCGCCATCAGGGCGCCAGCGGACTTGGGCAGCCGCTTGACGAGATAGTTGAACAGCCAGGGGTAGAAGCGGCAGGAGGCGAGCTGGACTTTGGCCTTGAGCGAGAAGACGAGCTGGCCCACCCATGCGTGGTACCGCTGATGCTCGAGGCAGCCGAAGTCTTCGCCAAAGCTGAGAGCGCAGATGATGTCAAAGGTGCAGAAGCTGATCCACTTCTGGAGGTCGATTGTGGCGTCTTCAGTCTGGGATTGAAGCTGCGTGATCATCTTGTCAACATATTCAATTACGAGGGGCTCTTGAGACGTTAGGGCTTGGGTGCTGAACGCAGCCGCGTAGACCTTGCGAAGTCGCGTGTGGTCTACATCTGTGGCTTCGAGGATGCTGATCGGTTGGCCTGGTCGTGGCGGCGGCTGGCGGATGGGGTCTTTGGGGAGCGATTTGAACTCCCCGCCGGTGGGTCGACGCTGGTAGATGTCCTTGACGCTGTCGGAGTGGATGAAAGAGACCTCGTTGGGGGCCACGCGAACGGTTTCGCCATATACCTCGTGGAAGTGCTTGATTTTGTGTGCCAATTGGCCGTTTCGGAAGGCTAACATATACGGTACTCGGGTCAGTGCCCAGAGAAGAGGTCCATTGTAGCGAGAGAGAGGATGAAGGTATAGTCACCTGACGCCGAAAAGCACAGGAAGCTTGGTGGCTGGATTAGATAGGGCTCAAGTGACACCAAGCCAGTGTGGGTGAAAGAGTCCTTACCAGAAGTACGGAGATGAGAGTAGCAACAAAAGCCGAGGGAACTGCCATGATTAGAAAGCCTCACAGCCGTAAATGAGAGACACTGGGATACGAAGACAGGAAAAGAACAGTGATAGCGCATACGGTCCACATATTTATATGTTTAGTATGACCGTAGCGCGGGCGACGTAATCTCTATCCGGGTGCGCTGGATGATGTTTCCAAGTAGGTGAGATCTTGGTCTCAGCTGAGATGTCAAGGATAATAGCAAAGTTGGGCCACTCAGTCTGGCTTAAGCAGACAGGCCTTTGTGGTAAGAAGGAGTGTCATTCGGCTCGAGATGGCTCCAAGCTAGTGTCAGTGTTGGCTATATACGCATAAGCACTAGATGCGCTATTTTGCCGATCTATGCAACGGTGGCGCCCGGTCGACCCACCTTGTTTCTTTGTTTATTCTAACAGAGTTCAGAGCCTGGGCTTCGATGGCGACAATCTTGAGAGACCGATTCGAGCAAATAGAACCTGACCGCTTGTCAAGATCTTTCTAGTCAATGATCTTGTTGGCTGAGATAGCGCTGGCGGGTGGTACTGTATCGCAGTCACATCTTGTGAATTAGATAGCTCTGCCTGTCACACTTCACTAATGGCTGGAAATCCAGGGATCCACAGGTTCACAGACTGAGAAAAGAGTTCGTATAGGAGAATATGCTAGTGAGAGTCACAGGAGCTATTAAGAACAGAGCATATGGGATCCAGCCACGAATAAACGTAGCACCCTGCACATTGAATTGGGTACGGTGTTAGGTAGCCTAACGTCGCTGTGAGGTAACATGATGTCAATACCGACTCCATGGCACAAAAAACGCTATCTAAAGTCTTTCTTTATGCCCCCTTAGCAATGCGTCTCGTGTCTAAATGTGAAGTCCAAAGAAAACCAACACAACGGAAAGCGATAGACAATCAAGTAGGGTCACAAATAAGAGCCAGTTTTGACTCCGGCTTCCCGCCTGATGATCTAGCGAGTAAATCACAATGCCTTCCAATCCTTAACCCTTAGTCTTCCGTCTCTGTCCCCGTCCCTTGGTAAGCCAGACCACACCATACAAGAGCACGATATTCGAGCAGCAGAACCCCAGAAACGCCGCCCAGTTCCACCACCGCTGGCCGTACCCATACTCCAAGGTCGACAGATAGTCGTCTCCAACCGTGTACGGACAATACCCGCAGTCCGCGGTCGCATTGGGGTTAACCAGGTACCCCGGGTTGTGATCCAGATACAGCTGTCCCAGGCCACCGCCGCTGCTGGGACCCCCATACTGGCCACAGGACAGACCGGGCGGAGGCTGGAAGCGAACAAGCTCCGCGGAACCGCAGTCTACAGGGACATCATGCAGGACAACACCGACGGTAGCGCCGAAGAAGTAGCGCATGGGGTCGACCCAGAACAGCCAGGGACGGTAGAAGTCGTTCATGTAGGCGTGGGGGGTGAGGACGCCGGAGCAGACCATGAGGACGACCCAGACGAGGGAGTTGGCGTAGCCGGCCAGGGTGGGGTCGGGGAAGCAGGCGGCCAGCAGCTGGGAGTAGCCGACACTGAACAGGGCGAGGAGCAGCCAGGTGAAGTAGTAGAGGCCGGCGACGGCGGAGACGCCCGCAGGGAACCCCACCGTCCAGTACGTCCCCAGAAACACCAGCGTGTAGATCCCCAGCTGCCAGGGGATCTCGACGGCGACGAGCGCGGTCACTAGCGCCCGCCAGTCGTAGATGCCGTTCTGCTCGCGCGCGCTGAAGATCGCCCATTTGCGGAACCACATGTCCTGCAGGTCGGCGCTCGTCGTGGGGATGATCCACGATAGCAGCAGCACCGCGATCATCTGGTTCTGCAGGCCCTGCAGGCTGGATCCGGCTTTGAAGAAGCTGAAGGCGATGAAGAGGGAGACGAACAGGCTTTTCGCCGTCTTGCTGAACAGGTACATCCCGTCCCGCCAGACGGAGAGCCAGTGGCGCTGAGTTACGGTCACGGTTTGCGACCAGAGTGATAGGGCGTATGCTGCTTGGGAGGAAGAGGGGGTTCGAGGATAGGGTGGCTCGGTGGTGGTGGGAGTGGCGTTCAATCGAACGAGGGTCGCGTCGAGGGCGTTGCGTTCCGGAGACTCGCGCCAGATGGCGGGCCAGTCCTTCGAGCCCTCCCCCTTGGAGGTCACGGTCGACAGGATAAACTCCGCGGGGTTCGCCTGGCTATCGATCGTGGCGCCGTATCTTCCGAAATACTCGACGACTTGGGACGAGTTCTCGCCGGTCTCGCCAAAGTAAACGGTCTGGCCTCCCGGCGCCAGGAGCAGGACATGGTCGAACATCTCGAAGAGAACCCCGGACGGCTGGTGGATGGTGCAGACGATGGGGATCCCCTCGGCAGCGATCCGCTGCAGGAACTGCACGAGCGCAAAGGCCGCTTGACTGTCCAAGCCCGAGGTGGGCTCGTCGAGAAACAGGAGCGAGCTGGGGCGCGCCGCCAGCTCCACCCCGACTGTGACGCGCTTCCGTTCCTCAACGCTGAGCTGCCCGTCTCCGGGCTCGCCAATGAGCGCATCGGCAAGCGCTTCCAGGTCCAGCAAGTGGATGATGTGCTCCACGTAAGCCAACTTATCCTCCTCCGCGACATCGGCGGGCTGGCGCAGACGCGCGGAGAACTGCAGAGCTTCCCGCACCGTGGCATTGGGTTCGTGCACATCTTGCTGCATTACGAATCCGCAAGACCGGGCAAAGGACTGGTCCTGGGGCGCACCACCGAGGCGCATAGCCCCCGTGATCCGACCGGTGCTCTTGCGTTGGGCGAGGGTGTCCAGCAACGTTGTCTTCCCGGCGCCGGAAGCCCCCATTAGGGCTGTCAACTGCCCCGGGCGAGCATACCCGCTCACACCGCGGAGCAACTGTCTTTCCTTCCCGGCCACTGGAACGAAGTAGCTGACCTCCTGGAAGATGAATGTGCGGGCTGCCTCTCTCGAATGGCGGGTCTCGACCTTCTCCAGTGCATAGGATGCGGGGGATCCGGCGACCGACTGTGTGGCGGACGAGGACCCCGAGGAGGAGGTGGCCGAGGACTTGGGCTGGTTTTCCTCATCGCGTTGCTTGGACCGTTTGAAGATCCGACCGTGAGATCCTCCCGACTCGCGCGTCATGATGGTGAGTCCAATGCATCCCAATACCACATAGAGGAACCACATAACCAGGATGATGCCGAAGTTGCGCCACAGGTGGCTGCGCGTGTAGCCGAAGTGATCCGCCAGATACACTGAGCCAGAGACTGATTGATGTCCCATGGTACTCCCAGTGATACTGCAGGTCTGGTACTGCAACTGGGTGTAGTTCGACCCGGACGGAACCATGTCGCTGTCGGCACAAGTCAAGGTGATTCCATCCAACTCATTGGCCAGCAATGCTTCCAGCGCGTATGGCGACGGCGATGCGCGGCGCAGCCATGAACCCCATCGTCGCTGGGTAGGCCGGGTCGGACCGAACCCCGAATACAGGAGACCAACAGGGATCGCGCTGCCGGCCATCATCAGGGTCAACGAGATGTTGGGGACCCAGGCGCCGAGCATGCGGAACAGGCTTTGAACAGCCGCATAATGAGTGAAGACAAGCAGGACAAAGATCCAGAAAGTGGACGCTGTCTGTTGAAGGCCGATCTCGAAGTAATACAGACAGGCAAACAGGAGACACTGAATGAAGGCGATCGGAATATCGGCAAGGGTCTGGGCGATGACGAACGCGCTTGGATGGATAAACCCATATTGGACCTGTTTCAACAGGATGTTACGCGACTTGACCGTGGAGACGGCCTCCGTCAGGGCATTGAGATAGAAATAGATCAGGGAGAAGAACAAGGCGCTGCTCTTCTCGTACGTGCCGGTGACGTCCTTGGGAGCCATGTAGTACGCCGGACCGTTGATCACTGCGTTGAGGGCGACGAAGGCAACCAGGGTGAGAAACGTCCACTTGTCGCCCCACAGCAGCTGGTAGTACCGACGCATGGCAACCCAGATCTGCTTGGCCAGCGTGCTCGGGGCGATCGCCTGCTGCGGCACCCACGACGAACGGATTTGGTGCACATTTTCCCGGAAGGCTTGGACACGCTGGCCATCGCGGGCCATTCCCGCCTGATACCGGACGATATCCTCTTGCAACTGACAATACTCCGCGCTCTCCCGGAATGCAGCGGCGAGGCCATCGGGGTCGGTGGGCACCGGTCCCGCCGCATCCTTTCGAATTAGACGCTCTGCAGGGGAGGTGACGGCGGTCAGGAAATCCGGGGTGGTCTGACGATCGCGGCACTCGAAGCCCAGTCTCAGGAAGTAGTCTTTGGCTTGCTCGGCTCGGCCGCAGAAGATCAGCCGGCCGTCGTACAGGACGGTGACCCGATCGAAACGTTCATAGATGGTCTCAGACACTTGATACATGGATACGGCGTTACTCATCCCAGATTCTGCTGAGAGGGAGGTGATAAGCTGCACAAATTCCGTGGCGGAGGAACTGTCCAGGCCGCGGGTGGGATTGTCCCAGGCGGCAAAGGTAGGGTTGACCGATAGGGCTTCGATCAAAGTCACACGCTTGCGCTCTCCGCCAGAAACCCCTCTCACGAAGGCATCGCCCACGATCGTATTGGCAGTGTGAGACAGTCCGACAGCCTTCAATGAAGCCTCGGTCATTTCGTGGGCAAACTCGGAGTCCGACCGGGTTTCGTTTGCCGGCTTGCGCAGCTGAAAAGCAAAGCCCATGGTGTTTTTGACGGACAGAGTGGGAAAATGAAAGTCTTCCTCACTGGCGTAGACGGTTTCCGATCGGTAACGACGTGCCATCTCTTCTTTGGAGAGAGTAGCATACTGCAGCTGGCCTTGAACTTCAACGAACGAACCGTGGCTGTTGGCGAGGGTCTTCAGCAGGGTGGTGCACCCGGCGCCCGGCCGTCCCAGCACGAGCATCGACTCCCCAGGAAAGATCACCCCACTGACATCGCGAATGAGCTTTCTCGTTGGTGTAGATTGCTTGCCGGTCGCATGTGCGATGGCTTTGACGGGCCATTGCACAACCTTGGTCACCATCGCTGGCAGAGTCATGATTCCGTTGACCCCGCTGGCAACCCCCACGACCGTGAGGTCTTTGAATACCACGCCAAGCGCTCGACCATCCTTGCGATAGATAGGAGATGCCGCGGTGGGCTCGCCTCCGGTGACTGGTTTCTCCTTTTGGGCACATCAGTGACATGTGGCTTTTGGTCTTTTGGTTGAGGGAACCGCATTTCAAAACCAACACTTACCATAAATCGCTGAGGCGGGTCAGGCCTGATTCTTGTTTAACTGAGCTTGGTGAACGAGATAGCTCAATAACAAGACCGAAGATACGGATAGAATTAACAGGCTGCAATATAAATCAAGGTCCATGATGAGCTCAAGATCAATTTATAGAGGCTCTGTAATTCTACTGGGTTGAGGTTGGAGATACGGCAGACTCATAGCAACGATTACAAATATGGCATGGAAGCCTGCTACTGGCTACAATCTACTGGCTGCAGGCTACATGGAGGCGATGACATGTCATGGAGAGGTACAATTTTGATGACGAGCTCGGTAGACAAGTGAAGGTCGGTTGCTAATGAGCCGAAAATACTCGGATAGAAAGCATGGCTCCGATTTGGGGAGGGCTGCTACAAACCCCTGGAGTGGAGATCAATCGTGCCGAGATCTCTCGGGTATTACTCAAAAGGGCATTGATCCAGCCCATTGAACGTGGACCGTCTTGGAGGTGACCCCCCCGTCCATCCATTAGTCAGTACAGAAAGTCGGCGCGATTCGAACCTGTGGCATCTCCATTCAGCCAATAAGACATATAATTGATGCCCGAAATGCTGGTGGAGAGAAAATCATTCCCCTCGGCAATCTGTTCGAGTGAGGGCGTTCCCATGCCAGGAATATAGCTGAACGGTTCGTCGAGAGGATCCAACAATTCTCCGGTTGGTGCCGGGAGGTAAACCTCACTTTGAATACCATGCGATCAATATAAGTCTCTCGGGCGGGTTCGAGTAAAAGGCAGTCACTTACTTCAGCCAGGGGAAATTGTCCGCCATGTTCTCCTCCAGATTTGCCTCGCGGGTTGAGAGCGACAGGGCATCCTTGGCACTCTTCATGATGTCCATGCTCAGCGCTTTGCCGGTGATCGGTCCATTATGCTCCATCTGATCCAGGCACTGAATGCCACGTTCCACGGACTCGAAGATCATCCGCGCATGCTCCACGGTGACGGACGAATCCAACACATTATACAAGAGGGTCACGCAGGCGGAGACGATGTAGTTGGCCACGGATGCATCGTTGCGAATGCACGTTGCTCTCTCCATGATAGCACTACTTGCGATCGCAATGATCTCCTTGGCGGAATGAATCGACAAGTCGATGGATTCTTGCAGGTCCTCCTGCGTAGGCGAACCCGCCCCCGATGTCCCATCCGGGCTGTGGCAGAAGCTCGCGTACACCAGAGCAGGTCTACGGATCATCATTTTGATCAGGTGAAAAGCCATCCCCAGATGGGTACACTGGATCTCCTGCCACGCTTCGCCATTGGGTCGAAGGCGATCGGAGAATCGCAGATACGGAGGCAGGCTGTGTTCGATTTGTTGAAGGGCAGCGTCGCACTCCAGAATCGTAGCATCGACCCTACGACGGTCGTACAGCGCCTGGAGATTCGCCAGTGAGAAGATACCACTGGACACCTTTTCGATAAGCTGCCCGATCCGTGCCATTGACCTTAAATAGGCGCATTGCGTTGTCGGACCCTCCGAGTCACCCATATGGCCATCTTCCAGGAGCGTTCGGGGCACGTCCTCGGGAAACGCAGCGTCAATGTGGGTGTCGAGAAAACATGAGGGCCGACCGGTGAAGAAGGCACAGACCCGCTCGTAAAAGTAGACGACCCAGAATGTGATGCGCAGCCTATGCATGACCGGGGCCAGTCCGTTGACAACCTGGCTGCGGTTGAGACCTAAGGCCAACACGCTTCGAGCGGCATGACCTAGATAGAGATAGGCGTCGTTGGGCCTCATCCCATGCAATGCATACATAGCCTGTTTTCAATTCAAGTCAGTCGTTCATTGCCCTCGTCATCTGCTGATCCTTCCAATGTGGATCGAGACGTGTATGCGAAAGCCATGCCTACCTTAAGAAGTATCAAATGAATCCCCTTGATGCAAGGCTCCTGGAATAGCATGCTATAGTCGTTCGACTGCGCCCAGAAGTAGTCCGCCCACCGATCCAGCGTCTCCCCACTGTGACTGTCCTCGCGGGCCATTGTCCGAGCTCCCAGAGCGAGAACCATGTAGACCAGATCCCTGGAGCTGACTTCGCGTCCGGGAGCCGGGGGGGCCCACAGCTTCTCCCACAAGCGAATGATGATAGGTCGTTCGAGAATGGGTAAATGCGGGTGAATGACATCAAAGTAAGCGGCGATGAACCGGCGACCCAGCTCCTGCGATAGAAATGATTCAGTCGAGCCCCCCGACGAGCGAAGCCCGCCCGATCCGGCGGCGAACATGAACCGCTCCAGGCCCCATTCCCCGAGCCCGGTCGGCACTGCTGTCTTGGGCTGGTCCAAGAGCCGACCGTGGGACTGGCGCTTCATACGCTGGTGGATGCGCTGGATGAAGCAGAAATGTGAAGAGGGTCCTAATATTACACAGATCGTCAGACTTTCGGCGCCTAGTTTCTCGTCAAGCACACATGTGGGTTACTTTGAATGTGAACCCCGGGAAATACCATAGAATTGAAAGGAGCCTGTCCGGCTGTTGGTGACGCCTATTCCCGCGCGGAGTTCTAGTTGCTGCCGATACTCCTCGGGACTGTATCGAGCTGGATCTCCCCCATGACTGACGTTTGTAAGCCTCCGCCCGTCACTGTCGCTGCTGAGGATGAAGCTTGGGGTTGTGGCTTCTGCCACCGCGGGTGCCGGAGTGCTTTTTCGTGCCGTTGGTCTCTTTGGCGGCCGCCCTCGAACGCGTGGCTTCTCGCGATACTTGCAGGGCAGGCGGTGCTGCCAGCATCGGAGGCAAGGATTCTCTCCGTTGCATTTGACCTTCTTGGAGCGGCAAGACTCGCAGGCACGTTCGATACGCATGCCCTTGGACGGTTCTCGGTCTGTGGGGCAATTTAGCTGAACGTACGGGGGGTCCAAAGTGATCAACGGTATTACATGATTCTGAATCCGCCATTTGGGGGATGCTCGCAAAGACGAGCAGATTACATCGGCGAGGTTGTAACCGAGAAGGATGGATACTTTTGAGTTCATTATCAGTTACAAACATTACAGTCACGTGAAGCCATCTCAGGTATCCCAGGATCCGATTATTCGCCCAACGTGAAATCCGTTTACTGAACCACATGCCTAGCCCTTTCCTCTACTTCTCTGGCCTGCTGGTGCTTGACTATATCAGTACTTCGCCAAGCTCAGGGGCCTGGTTTTCTTTTTCTTTCTTTCTTTGCCTATGGATGGGTGACCAATCATTGAATTAGTCAGCTGTCTGACCTACCAATCGGAATTTCCGGGTGCTGGGGTCTCCAAGAAGTCTCCAAGAAGGCCGCTAGGAAAGATGTGTGGTACGCTGGAGGGTGGAGAGCCCAAACACCTCCAATCATCTCCACCTCACTCGATATAGATATTTGACTGTGCGCTGGTCGGGCGCAATGAAAATGATATATCTCTGGCAAGCTGTTGCAGTCATGGAATGCAAAATCATAGGTTCCGATGTAAGCTTCAACTGCCGCCATTCCCCTCTTCGGAATGTTCTTCCGCCTTCCCAAGAGTAGTGACGAAACAAACACGCGCACGCGATAATGATGCTTGCAACCTAAAAAACTAAGGCAGGGTGAGTCATTTTTCGGACCTCAGTGGTCAAGTATTACTGACTTTGTAAGTCAAGCTGAACTGCAACTAAATTTCTCGCAAACTGTCTTGCAGGACTTGCAATTTTCCAAGTCGTTGAATCAGCAAGCGGGATCGCACACCTCTGTCTCCACTGAGATTACCAATCATGCCTACTCTTAGGAGAAGCAAACGCCTCAAGAACTGTGAGGATGACTCTGAAAATGAGATACCCCGCCGTCTAAGAACGCCCGATATATTCCTTGTCCCCGAAACCTTGGAAGCTATTCTTCTGCGTCTGGACATGCACACATTGCTGATATCAGCTCGGGTCTGTGCTACGTGGAATGCTCTCATCAAAAGCTCTCGCAGGATCCAGCAGGCCCTGTTCTACATTCCCATCGACACAGACACCAGAAAGACCCGTCGCAAAACAAGGAAGAACCCTCTGGTGATGGACAAGATATGGTTCGAATTCATCTTTGTAGGACTCAACTCGCGTCGGAGACATGGTGCGTGGCACTGCCCCTCTATTGCATCGGAGAAGAGAGAAAGGGCATACTTGCGCCCCGAGGCAAGCTGGCGGCGGATGCTCCTTCAGCAACCTCCCACCTCGATCGTCCGCTTCTGGAACCCCGAGTGCCTTTGGGGTCCCTATTGGCATAATCTGCCCAAAGATCAGATGGTCAAAACTGGGGCCGAGTGGACACCGGACGGAGACTATCTCCGCATGGAGAACGTTGCATATGAGGTCTACACAGGAGCGATCTCGGCAGGGCCCCTGCCTTTCCTATGCTGGGCAGATGCCGAGGCCCTGAGAAAGGTCATGCGCAAGTCCAAGCGACGCAAGCAGGTACGCCGCGATCGTACTCTCAAGCGCTATCTTCGGAGGTTCGATCTCACCATCAACACGGAATGCCCCGATTTCTGGCCGATTGTCTGGATTGAAGACCATCCGGTACCTGTAAGAGATTTTCGTCAGTTCTGTGAAACAAGGGATGTCAAGTTGTTGGTAGCCGATCCCCGTTAAATGGAGACTATGATTCCGTCTCAACCTTTGCGTATCCTGCTTCTCTCGTGCCTGATCCATCTATGTTCTTTTCAACCTGCTTATGCTTTTGTTATATCTGGAGACGAGTTTTTCTAGGTCATATTTCGCCAAGGAAACATTGCTATATTCAAACGCTTCTCTTCTCGCATTTGTTATTTGTAAAGGTCGAGTCAGAAGGGGGGCATGCCTGCTGAGATATGTGGCTGGTTTCTGTTCAACAGACTGATGCACCAGCTGAGTGCTCGTGGCTGGTGTAACTTTACTAGGTAGTTATCAGCGCTGAAGTCAAACAAGCTCGGACTACTTTTGCACGTGGAGCGGAATCAGCGATAACTTACACGGGGCCGAGGCTATGGAAACGACGCTCGCTTGCCGACTCCCGCACTGAGCTAAACAGTCAAAAGTTGCGTACAAGAATAGGTTGGTAGCTGGACATATAAGGATAAGATCCTAACTTTATTCAGCAAAAACATACAACAGAAGGGATTCGCTGGTGGTCACCCACCCAACTACTAACCTCCCGGCGTGTGGCTTAAGTACGGCTGAGCGGACGGGAAGCCCTGTTTTCCACACCCTGTGGTCGTATGTGCGTGCCTACCAACATGAAGACATACAGGTGTAGTGTAACCGCCTACCTTTGTGTGAATCTACTATGCCAATCCCTTATGCTATATGCATGCGAGTCATCTGGCCGTAAATGTTCGTGTTGATCGTAATTGCGGAGGAAGACACCCGCTCCGAAGGCCGTCGCGCCCGTGGTTCGGTTGCTTGGCCTAGATCACGGAGCAACAGAACTATACGAGCAATGGGGCAATGTGTGTATAAAGAACCCTGCTCAGGCCTTGTCGCCTAATCCGCCCTTCCTGCAATTCATTCAGGCCATGGCAAGGCTATACCATCCATACCAAGCAACATGATCTCACAAGCCTTTCTCTTCGGTATCACTCTCACCATCCTCCTCACCACCCTCCCCACCGAATCTACAGCCCAAGCAGGCACCAAACTCCCGCCTTGCACCAACGCCCAAATCCTGCAAGGCGACAAAGCCACCCTAGCCCACTGCGAGTGCGTCAAGGGCGACCAAAAATGCAGCACGCAGTGTCCCGTCGGCTCTGCGCACGTCGGATCGCCTTGCCCTACCAACCTCCTCACGCAACTCCACCTCAACGATTGCGCGCACCACTGCCAGGCGGACACGAACCACGTCTGCTCCTCCTGCGGGGTGTGGTTCCACTCGCTCTGCACGTGTCTGCAGACGGGCACCTGCGTGCAGCAATACACAAACCCGGCGCCCGGCGCGGCCTACTGGGTGAAGACACCGGGTGGGGACCTAGCGACCGTCACGGTCCCCATCGCGGATATCCTCGCGCTGGAGGCCGAGCACCCCAAGCTGGCAGCGGAAGGGTGGGATTTCGGGCAGTCGTCGGCGCTGGCGGTCTCGAACCCTGCGACGCAGGCCCTGGCCGTCAACTCCGTGCACTCCATCACTCACAACCAGATCCACATGCACCTGTGTCCGCTGAACCGCGACATGCAGAGGCTGCTGACGCGCCTCGTCACGCCGAAGACCCCCCTCTCTCAATTCAAAAGCCGCCAGCCGGTGCGGCTGACGCCGCAGTTTGGTGGTGCGCTCATGTACTGTCAGGCGGCGCAGGGCAAGAATCAGCCGATCTCCGGGAAGATCATGTCTGACAATATCAAGGCGGTGCGGGATGACAAGAGCCTCTGCGATTATGAGGTTGGCGCGGCGGTGATGAGGGACTCGAATGGCATTTCCTGGGGTTGTGTCACTGCCGATCGTCTTAGTACGGAGTATAAACGCTTCTGCGCTTGAGTTTGGATTGAAAGCAGGATTCTTATGAGATAGGCCCGTTGCCGATGCGGTTGGCTTTATCTATCAAGGTTGTGCTTCTCGAAAATTAGATGCTTTGGCAATAAGCATGTATTAAGCTTTACTGTAGCAAGAAGGCAATTTCTTTTTTCTTCTTTCATTCTTTAACTTGCGCCAACATCAGCAAAGACTTCTTCTGATACATGTTTTCACATTCTATATCGCGCGTCGTGGCACGGCGTGAAGTCAAGATGCCTTTAGGTGACAGGGCTTATACATTTCCCCGCCCCAGGAGCGAACCACAAATCCTCTCCCACCATAACTGGCACCCTCAAGCACAATGAAAAAGGGGGTTGAGATGGATTACCATACAAAGAAATAAGCTTAGTGGGTACAGAAAGACTGACTAGCTCGCCACTGGAGAAAAGAAAAGCAAGAATGAGCTGAAGCCAGAGTAATGCGGTTGAGGAGGTCACGGAGATGATGGACAAGGTAAGGCTGTAGGAGGAACCCGGGATTGAATGAGATATACTATGGCTTAGTATTTCCGGATGTTGATGGCTGCGAGGTGATATCCCCGTGGAGCTGGTATAGGTGGTGTGCATCTCTAGAGTCACTTCTCTAATTTACAGCATGACTACTGAATGCTTGAGAGGACACCACGAATGGTAGGAGTGGAAGTAGGGATACAAATTTGATATTAATTATTAATTATGAGAACGAGTGACCAAGATGAAAAAAGTTGAAGCAGGCGTGTCATGTAATAGCCACGCCAAACGCCTTGTTCCAAGACAATATTCCTCAGGGACCTGCGGCAGGGGCAGCAGGACCGGCAGGGGCAGCGGCACCCTTCGTGTCAGCCAATGGCACCCTGTAACTGCAGATGCAGCGACTGCACGGTTCCAAGCATTAGTATTTGAAACCTAGCGAGATCTACCCATCGGGCGGGTCTATAGAAAGATTGGAAAGGAAGGTCTTACAGGTCCTCCGTCCCACCGCATTGCCCACTAAGGGCATTGGCGTTGAGACACTATAGTAGGCGCATCAGCATTGGCTTGGGAAACAGGACATACATGCGAGACAGAGAAAGTTCAAAAAACATACCTGGGTGTTACATGTCGCGTCGTTGCAGAAGAGTCGTTTGTCCAACTGATTGGCACCAGCGTTGAGGGAGGAGGCGGTGGCTGCGGCGCACAGCAGAGCGAAGGTGACAATGGAGGAGAACTGCATGATGAAGGTGGAGGTATGAGAGTATTGCTGGTGATGGAGTGTCTTCTGGCGAGCAGTGGAAGAATTGAAGGCTTGGAGTGTGATGAGATGATTTGTGTAGAAAGACACCTCGAGGGTGATGCAGTGGGATTTTATACTTCGGTTTGCCCCTAACTACCACCGGCGCACACGGCGGTGTCACCAAGATCAACATCCATTGTTTGCCTTTTGCTTCTCATAGAGTACCTGACTGCGGTGATAAAGGTCTATCACTTCAAAGCTTCACGCCACATTTCATAGTGTAGGAATACAACCATGTGATCTTCAATTCATGGTTCCCAATTCGGGGACCATCAAAAGGTGTGACTACTATGTGAGTTCTAGTAATACAAAACTGAACCCAGATCGGGTGGTAGCTTCCATCAAAGTCCTGTCATCAACGATCAGCAATTTGAACTAATAGTTACTGCAAGAATCTGAAGGGGGAAAATATGATGATGCTGCAGACATGGCTCCCGTACAATCCTACATGTCATACCCCTGGGTGATCCCTAACAGCAGACAGTGACATCTGTCATATGAGACAGGACCCACATAACCACAGGCAGCGTGCATACCTCCTGATATTGTCAAGATATACTCTAATAAAAATATGTCACAACAATGATCGACTTGGTACACGAACCAACAATCCGACTTCTTCTTCGAACCTTTCACATCACCGTGGTAGACCCAAACTGATACATCACACACGTCTCCGAATATATTTCACAGCACAGGTAATACATCTGTAGGTAGAGCGACAGCCGGCGACGACCGGAAACCTCCAAGATCTGCACCAAGTCCTCCAGGCATCGTACCGTACAGCCGTGTTCGTACTCAGCCAGCAGCCGCAACTGCGTCTGCACATCTCCGTCAGCCTGCAGGCTTTGCGGCGACGAGAACTCCGGAAAGTCGAGTGAGTTGAGGTTTGCGGCGCGGCGGTCGCGCTCGATGCTACCCAGGTCATTCCACAGCCTGCCTTCCACCGAGATCTGCCGCCACAGCTTCGCGGCCAGGTACTTTTCTCGGACAGTGGGGAAGACATCCCCCTTTTCTTCGGACCCAAGCTTACACACCAGGGACTTGGAGACCACTGCACTCTTGACGTCGTGTACGGCAGAGGTGTGTAGCCAGGTGAAAAAGCTCTGGCCGCTCGTCACAGGGGTGGTGGCAGACTCGCGGCTGTCTGGATGCTTCTGGTCATGACCGTTTGTGGTATTGATGCTGAGCGATCTATGCGCTTTGGCTTGTTGTATGGCAGCCATCGTCGCCAAGCTGACCTCTTGTCGCAGATCGCGTCGATCAGCAGGACTTGGCTTGGTCGTGGCGAGGTTCACGTCCAGAACAAAGCGGAACCAGATAGCCAGGTTGTGCTGGACATTGCTGAGTACACTTCTGGACTTCCCATTCGTTTCAGGGGTAGGTCTAGCGTGAGAGGAGCGATCTTGGCAAAGACCATTTGTGCCATGGCACAGCTGCTCAATGTAGTCAACTATGGTCTCAGAGGCCGACTCAGGCAGAGCCACCAGATCCCTTTCCATCAAGTCATCCTCCTGGAAAATCCCAACGGAAAGTTCGACCATACTGTAGACGATGCGGGTGCTCAACAGATACTCAGGGCGGGAATTATTGGCCAACGTCCAAAAACAGGCAGCGAACTTGATGTATTTCTCGCCAAGAGCGTTGCCGGTGGAGAATACATCCAGGTCCTTCAGCTTGTAGCTGAACAGGAGAGCTTCGACCACGGACGCCTCAACCACCCACTGTGGCGTTTTCATCTGCGACGGCAATCGCGCGAAGAATTCAGTCATTTTGCGCACCGTGGCAGCCGGAATGCCAACGAGCAATGATGGTATTACGGCAACTTTGTTGCCAGGGGTCTCAGTGTTCCCAGCTGTCACGGCTGCCATGATGTACGAGTCTGACACCGTTGGAATGGCATACAAGGTCTTGTCTAGCCAAAGCTGATCGTCTGTCGAGCAGCGCTTGTCTCTGGATAGGATAAACCCAATGCCTCGCCTGACGGCATCATTGAGCTCGCTGGAGATCCTCTCAGTCAAACTAAAAGATGCCACGCTCTTCAGTATAAGGAGACCATAGGCCGTCTCTTCCGCAGAGGCTGCGCTGCCCCAGGACCCGTCCTGATTCTGAGTGCGGAGCGTTCGGATCACAGCCTGGAACAGCGTGATCGGGATGTGGAATTTCATCAGATCATCGGGCAAGGCAGCTAGGTCGCCGGCACTCCAGCGCTGCAGGTAAGACATCAGGGCTTCGCACATCAGCATCGTCGGGTAAAACGATGAGATGTTCTAGAAGACCTTCGGTTAATCATAACTCGGATTTTCGCATCTCCACCAGTCGTGTGATGTACCCATTTATCACGAGGCATCCGATCGCACTTGAACCATTCTTCGCACAGGTAGCGAACACACTTCTCAATTTGAGGCTGGTAGCGGTCATCGGTGGAGAGCAGCACCAGAGCGGTTAGGACGTTGGCATTGGTGCTGATGCTCTTGTGCGTCTCGTATGAGTACGTTGCGAAATGAGTTTCACGTTCAAATCGATCGACCAATACTTGCGGTGAGTAGTGCTTTCCTTGGAGCATCAGAGCGACCAAGGCCTTAGCGGTGTCATCGGCATCAGGGCATGCTTTGGGGACTATTGGCAGGCAGAGACATTAGCAAGGGACAACGCGGCGATAATCTACCTTCGGTCCAGGTGGTCACCCTACCGAAGCCTACGAGTCCGTGTTGTTTGATTTCTGCTTCAATCGACTCGCCAGTCCGCTGTAGATCAGCGGCGGGCGCAATACCGTTGCGCAGCAGATTCGTGGTCACCTTGGCTGAATCAGTATCTTGTTCTATCAACACTCATGATTGTGGGCGAGAAGCGACATACCCACGCCCACTCAAACACCGTGGTCGGATACCCAGCTGCCACTAGTCCCGATCCCAGACCCACGCCGTTGGAGATCGCGCGCCGAATATAATCCTCGGCCTCGTTATCCCATACGGGGCTATACATCAAATATGCAGATGTCGCAGATGGTGAGCCCAGCATGCTGCCCAGGACTTTGTGCCGGGCTAGCCCACCGAAGTCGATCTTTTCGACCAGAGCTTCTAACGAGTGCAAAAGGGAGGACTGCGGACCGCTGAAGATGAGATCCAGATTAATCTTGGACAGTTTCTTTGCCTGCAGCTTGACGAGGTTCGTCCGGTTGAAGTCAAAGGTGTGACCCTCTGCCTCCAGCAGGTCCAGCATGGCCGGGAGTCGTAGTTCGAAGCTCACGGGTAGAATGCATGTGACTGTCAGCTCGTTGAGATCTTGCAAAGCCGCATCGAGAAATCGTTTTGCTTTGAGGATCAGTGAGTTGAGCTCCTGTGCATCGACCTCCCCTTGATTTGCGGCGTGCCTTTGCAGGGCCAGGAGAGCCGCCAAAGTGTTGGCAATGGTATCTAATCTGGCGATGGAACTACCCCACGAACCATCAAGCTCTTGGAGCTGCAGAAGAGTCGAAAAGGCTTCCGGAAACGCCCAGATTGTTGCACCTTCCTCGGTCGGCTTTCTGACAAGTGAGACCCATGCAGTGTCGTAGATGTTGCCGGACATTGTACCGAGTCCATAGGTGGGATGATGCGAGTTTGCAAAACTCTCGAATAAGCATTGGTTTTTCGTCTCGATCGATGTGGCCACAGCATTGTCACGCATCGTGTCGGATAGATGCCTCGAGGAGGTATTGATGAAAAGGAAAACCGAAAGGTAGGTGGCCGACTAAAGCTGGCGAAGGCGATGCAGTGCTCTAGCCACAGCTTAAATGTATTGAATGTTTATGTGAACCGAGGACATGATTCAGCTATAGAACATCGGCTTAGCAGGGCTGACAGAGTAACCCAGCTATGGCTCGATTGGGCTCAAAATTACCTGCCAAGCGCAACATGTAGCCGCCAGAGCTTTGAGGGCACCAAAGAGGGTCTGATCGGCAAATACTTTCCGTTTTGGGAACCATCTCGTCGATAAATATGATTCCTCAGACTAGAGTCAATTGCATTGCATATCCAGACATTGGACTGGCCTGAACAAAGGTTCAGTAGCACAGGCAAGGTTTCCTATCGATCCACAGAGAGAAGATGAATTCACGAGGCTAGTGCGACAAGACCGACTCCAGATGGCTTGCAGCTATTTTTACGCAGTCTACCGGTACTACATTATGCGCGTGACCAGGTTAAATGTGTCGGAGACAGCGGCCCCCATTTGAACCCTTAGCTGGATTGTGGCCGATGTCGATCCTCCTAATCCGGCAATCCGGACACTTTCCAGGGGGTCCCATGTCACATCGAGCCCTAAGTAACATACATTCATGCAGAATCTGACACCCCAAATCCTCACCCCCTTACTTGCAGTCTGCAGTCATTGCCACTACCCAGTGCAATGTGATACACCTTATCCTGCTGATATTTCTCCCGTCTGCGCCTTCTCCTTGACAGCTTGAAAAGATGGGGTGCTCGTTGCCTCTCTGCCACCGCCACTCCCCCAACATATCCTCAGCTGTAGGTCAAATATAATACTTTGTGTCCTGTATGGCAAGTGCTTCTTAGAATGATCTGCCTTCCCTCCCTGTCCGCTCATCAACAAACAAAGGATGGATTTAGTCTCAATGATTGATATCTTGACCCCTATCAGGGGGCACGTGGCTCTGAGTGGCACGATCCTGTTACTCGTTGCCTTCATTCTGCGCAGTATATACCGCCTGTATTTCGACCCGCTGCATCATATTCCCGGCCCAAAGCTAGCCGCGATCTCCCATCTGTACGAGTTTTACTACGATGTCATCCGCGATGGCATGTTCGTGTGGGAAATCGAAAGGATGCACCAGAGATACGGTAACGTGAATCTCCTTTGTGTGGGAAGCATCGGCCTTTTCACCCGGCGTGCACAGCCCCTCTGTTCCTAACACGTTACGATCATAATGATAGGACCCATCGTGCGAATCAATCCCCGCGAGGTGCACATCAAAGATCCTTCTTTCCACGACGAGATCTATGCTCCGGCCACGGGGATGCGGGACAAGGATCCCAAGTCCGTCCACATCTTCAGTGCCCCCGAGGCGATGGTCTCCACCGTGGGACATCACACGCACCGGATGCGCCGACGGATCCTCACCTCGTTCTTCTCGCGACGGGCGATCGAGGGAATCGAGCCGACGATCCAGGCGTCGCTCCAAAAATTCCTGAACGCCCTCACCATTGCCCACAGAGAGGAGAGAGTGCTCGAACTCATCGACCGACTGCAGGCGCTGACCGGCGACCTCATCACGCAGTATGCATACGGCAACAGCTACGAGCTCCAAGCGGAGGAAAACATCGGCAAGGGAATCGTCAAGGTGGTCCAGGAGGGGACCGACCAGATCCACCTGCAGCGGTTCTTCCCCTTGATGGGCACTCTCCTACGCCTGATTCCCTCGTGGTTCATGGCGCGGGTCTTTCCCGCCCGAGCCCGGGTCTATGATCTGCTGGAGGGGGTGCGAGAACAGTCTGTGGCCGCGCTGGAATCGAGAAGCACTGTCCAGGAGCCCGGCGGTGCCGCCAAAGCGATCACCATGTTTCATGCTCTGACCGATCCAGAGGTTCCACCGGAAGAACGGACGCTGCAGCGCCTCGCGGATGAAGGACTGGTGCTGTTTGCCGCTGGCACCGAGACGACGGCGACGACGCTCTCTGTGGCCATCTTCCATGTTCTGAATGATCCAGCAATCTTGAGCAAACTCCGCTCTGAACTCAAACAAATCATGCCCACTCCGCACCACCCGGTTACATGGCGCCAGCTTGAGAAGCTGCCATACTTGGTATGTACTGTCCCTTTTATGATCGGACTCAGGCTACTCCATCTGGTCCATTCGAGAAGAAAGGCCCCTTTCTGATTGAATTGACCGTTTTATGTGGTGCAGACAGCAGTTATTCATGAAGCTCTCCGCTTTTCCGGAATCGTGATGCGGCAACAGAGGATCTCGCCGATAGAGGTACTGAGGTATAAGGACTGCGTCATTCCACCAGGGGTAAGACGTACCCAACCCATTTAGCTACCTCTTGACCACTGGCTCACGCAAGCAACATAGACACCTGTCAGCACGATCGCATACTTCGTCCACAACGATCCCACCCTGTTCCCAGATCCGGACAGGTTCTACCCGGAACGATGGATCCTCGCCGCGGAGCGGAAAGACGGTCTTTTGCGCTACCTGGTGACATTTGGCAGAGGCAATCGGGCCTGTCTGGGGATGAAGTATGTTAATCTACTCCCTCTCGGGGTGTCTCATTAGCGGCTAACCTTCCACCTCCGTGGCACGACAGCCTGGCCTACGCGGAAATGTACAATGTCTTGGCTACGGTGATTCGTCGATTTGATCTGGAACTCTACGAGACTACGAGGGAAGATGTCCGCTTTGTGCGGGACAAACTGCTACCGCGGGGCAGGGATGGGCCATGGCGTGTGCGAGTCAAGGTGGCTGGCATTGTTGAAGAATAGATGGTCTTCTACTCCCTTACTGTGGGTGCAGTCTACTCTATAGTGTATTGGAAATAGTGAGGGGGTCGAGAAGGAGTCATAGAGGCATAGTACTTGGGTCGTAAGTTGTAGATCAAAAGTACATGGGTAACGCCACGAGTAGATGATCTCCTAGCTATGGGGTTTACCTCCACGGTAGAAAGACCCGTATTGAATAAGAAGAAGGGACAACGATGCTGTTGCATACCGCCAAATGCATTTCGCGAAGTCTACACCGACTAACCTTGTGCGCAACTCTGCAGACATCATCCACCCACACCTGCGTCAGTCATGCTGGAGTTACAGACGGGTCACATCGTTGCCCGTGCTATCTTGAGACGGTGGGTTAAAAACCTGACTGGCAAAACACCCCTGGCCAGCCCGCCTCTCCCCCTTGCGTCAGAATCCATTAGGGTTGAGGATTTTATAAGTGGTTTCGGCGCTCACACCACCCGCATAGTTTTACCCTCAACCTCTACCCCATCCCACACATCAGCCCCACCCCGAGCACAATGGGCCAAACGGCCTCAGCACCGCGACCAGGAACACAGCTCCAAGTGATCGGAGCAGGCCTGCCTCGCACAGGGACCGCCTCATTCAGCGCGGCGTTAAGCATCCTCCTCGACGGCCCCATCTACCACGGCGGCACGCAACTCACCCGCGGGCCACCGGGCGAGCTGAAAGCCTGGATCCGGATCCTCCGTTGCTGGCTAGCTGGCGGGGAGCAGCAGCGTGGGGAATGTCAACGCCTTCTCCGGCATCAGCTCGACGGCTATGCGGCCATCACCGACGCACCGGGCTGCCAGCTCCTCCCCGAGCTGATGGCGCTCTACCCTGACGCCAAGGTCATCTGCACGGTGCGCGACCCGGTTTCCTGGGAGAAGAGCATGGCGCAGGTGCACAGCTTCACGCGTCTGGGATGTCTCAAGCTCCTCCTCTTTCCACTGCCGGGAATGCGACACTTCGTGGACTTCACCTGGCTGCTGCGCCGGCAGTGGTGCCGGCTCTACGCGGACGATCAGAGACTGACCTCCGTCCAGCAAGTCAGCGGCACGCTGATCCACCGTGGCATCTACGAGCGGCATATTGCCTGGATCGAAGCGAACGTCCCCGCCGACCGCGTGGTGTTCGTCGACGTGCGCGACGGGTGGGAGCCGCTGTGTCGCGCGCTGGGGAAGGAGGTCCCTCCAGGTATTCCCTTCCCGCGGATCAACGATGCGGATGCGATTGCGCGCACCGGGCGCGAGTACATCCGTCGCGCGATGGTGCGGTGGGTTGGACTTCTAGGTATCGTTGGCACCGTGGTTCTTCTGGTTGGGCGATGGAGGGGTTGAATGTGTTTTACGAGGGAGGAGAGCTCGATGGTGAGGGCAGGGCAGCGGTGGGGACTGATATTTGATATACAATAGATCGCCTTAAGGTCCATTTAACAAGTCAAATTGCACTGGGCAGCAGGCCGATAAATGCCTCTGTACCAGGGTAAACCCCCTGTGCACTAGAAACCACCGCCAGAACATGACCCATTCAGCTTCAAGGAATAGAACAGCCCGGCCATGCCTGTCTACGGACCGCTCTGTGCATCCTGTGCATCCCGTGCCTGCGCTGTTCGGTCTCAAAACTCAAGACGCCCAGCCTGCCGTGCTGTCGGGGTGAGGTAGTCGACCGCTTAGGCCTTCAGCAGTGTCCTCGCCCCTACGCTTGAGGATGTTCAGCAGCTCCAGGTCAGTCCGGTTTGAGTGGATAGTATGAATCCCGAAAGGCAACTCACGGACATGTTTTATGCTCATGTGTCGGCTTGCAGTATAAGGATGTCTTGGCGCATTCAAAAGATTGTGCCGGGGAGGTCCGCTACCGTGACACGGCCACAGCGGGGTATGGATTGGCTCTGCGTATAAGTTCTGGACTTCCAGCAAGGGAGCGGAACCAATGCCTGGTGTATTCCCGATCGCATGAGTCAGGCACCTATGCAAAACCAGCCTCGCAGTTTTGTCTAGCCCGATCCAGAGGTATTTTCATCCAGGCGGACACGGCCAGGGTGTCACACCGTGTCACGCCAATACAAGTCCAGCCCCTGGCCACGATAGCAATCTGGAAGCTCCTCCACAATCTCGTCAACACGATAGCCTTGCTTGCGGAATGGATATTTTGCGTGACACGAAAGATGCTATGGGCGACCGGCTTGCCGCGACGAAGCCTGGGGTAGTGTGGGTATCAAAGAATCTCGTTCGGGGCTTTTAGTGCGGACTAGGTTCTCCTCCTAGGTTAATATAGTCAAGTAGCTTACAGCAAAGAAGCGGTTCGCAGGGGGTTCCCAATGCCCCTGATGCTTTCAGCCGGCTCGGACGTTCTTCGCAGCCACTTATTGACTGCCAGCAGCAGTTTGTGTTCAAATGATTTTCCTCTCCCGACAAGCAGCCATTATAAGGTGTATGAACGATATATGCAAGGGCAATTGTCAAAGGCGTGGTGATTGTTTTATGGTTTCTTGAGGACAACTTGGAACGAGCGACAAATGTCCTCTGTCCCTTTCGGCTCCAGTAGTTTCTGGGTGGTCTGACTGACGGCAAAGGTGACAGTGAATGTGGATCTCTGAGTCAACCAAGAGTGGTAACAATAAAATTAGTACGGCCACTCAAACAGTGTGCGGATTCCAGATGCTTGAGCCTTGCCGGGGGCGGAGCTCGGTGGAATCACGGTCAAGTTTGAGCAGGCATCAAGCTTGATGACCACGGTCTGACCTGTTAGATTGCATGACATTATAATCAATTGTGGGATGACAGCCGTCATCATGCACAGCTCCCGCCTCCCCCCGCGGGATGAACCCGTGAATTCGTGAGATCTCTAACTTGCATGGTGCAAGTCTTTTAGGGTAGGAAGCGTGAAGAACGTGCAATTCGAGGCTACCGAGGGAGACTAACTACATCCATCCTATTCACCGAGTATTCTAGCATTGCATTTTTTCCAATTTAGGCACTGTACATTTCTGTGGCCCAGATGACTTGCACAAGCGGTCGATATTGATCTAAATGCCCTCGTCAATCAGTATATATGTAAAGCGGTTCAGCGCATGCTTGATTTCTCCCATTTAGGGGAAGCTCTATGTACACTTACTGGGCCATTCCCACCATCCTAATCAAGAGTGATGCAGATCTTTCCAATGCCCTCACCCAAGGCGAGCTCCTTATACGCAGCCACAACCTCCTCGCGCGTGAACCTGAACACCTTCTCGACCGGGAGCTGCAACCTGACTCGATCAACGAAGGTGACCAGGTCCTCCAGCATGTACTTGGGGCCGATGAGGATGCCGCGCACGACTGCCGCTTTACCGAGCGCCATCAGGGGCACGTTGGGCATCTTGGCCGCATCGTACTGGGCCAGATAGCCAATGACGCTGATCACGCCCCCATACGCAATCGCCCGGAGACTCTGCTCGATGGTGCCGACGCCGCCGATCTCGATAATGTGGTCGATTCCCTGCTCGCCGACCAGCTCAAGGGCCCGGGCCGCCCATGCTGGGTATTCCGTATAATTGATGCAGTGGTCCGGAGAGTACTTGGCCTTGACCGCGGCGAGCTTCGCTTCGCTCGAGGAGGTGACGATCGTGGTTGCGCCGGCAGCCTTGGCGATCGCCAACGCGGTCAGTGCGACGCCTCCGGTGCCTATACGTTGAGTGAGTTTTGTGAGTTAGGTGTCCGCAATGAGGGTTTAATGGGTAAGGAACTGGAAGCAAAGCGCAAGGGAAAAGCTCACCCTGCACCAACACAGTTTGCCCCGGCTTTAGCGGCACATTACCAAATAATCCATTCCACGCGGTGACACCGGCGCACACCAGCGAAGCAAGCTCTGCATAACCCTGGCGTGCGCTGGTAGGAACTTTGACGACACTGGCGGCGGGGCGCACCACATACTCGGCCAAGGGACCGTCGATGTACCCGCCCTGGCAGGTCAGCCAGCTCTTCTGCGCCCCTTAGAAGTGACTCGTGTTGAAGCCGATGACCACGCGGTCGCCCTGAGTCAGATCGCCCACTCCTTCGCCAACAGCGACGATATCGCCTGCCCCGTCCGAGCAAGGGATCAGGTTGTCCGTCACGGGGAACGGGTACTGTCCCGTCGCGACCTGCAGGTCGCGTGAGTTCAGAGCGACCGCGCGGATCTTGATGAGGACTTCATGGCGGCCGACCTCCGGGATCGCTTCGTCACATTCGACCAGATCGTCGAACGAGGTGCGTTTGGGGAAGCGGAAGACTCTGTGGCGCTGCTGTTGATCGTGAGGCATTGTGAGGTTGCTGGCGGTAACTGGTTGTAAAGAGGGATTTCGTGGATCGGAGGCGAGGGTTGTTGCTGGTTGAACTATTTGACGCAGACTGAGGGGGAATTGACTGGAGTCAGAGAATTAAATTCAGGACGGTTGAACCAACTGCAAAAAATATAGTTGACTGCTAGATACCCTACTACTCCACCATCTGTCGATGATAAATCGAGATCGAAGGAGTCGCCTATCAACCCTACTTTCTCCACCCACCGTCCTCGGAGGGCTGACTGGCCGGCTTGGGAGACGGGGTTGGGGGTGGAGGGGATTCTCCTGGTGCATTCCATGGCCGACCCGCCTCCGTCTTGTAGCTATCGAGATTGCTGGTAAGAAAGGAATCCTCTTTACTTGAGTCGCTCAGTGCGCTCTGTGGGCCCTCGCTTTAGGAAGAGGATCCCGATGTTGGGGGGGCGTAGCTGATTTGATGATGGATGTATTCTAAATATCATTCTGCAATACTAACACCATCCTCCTTCCATGCGTTGAATCGTATCAATCATACACACGCCACCTCGTCACAGAAAATTGACAAGACCTGCTTGGCATTTCGGAGATGCTTGGGGGTGCTTTGGAGGCTCTGTGGACGTGCTGGAGGCTGAGGTGGGCCTATTGCGAGCACCTCCAACTGCACCTCCAGCTTGCCAAGCCCTGGAAGAGAAATGGCAAGACGAAGCTGTTCGTGTTCTGCTGCTGCCTTGGTATTTTCCGCAAGCAAACACATATAAGTCTCCGACTCATAAGCAAGCTTTACTGTTGAGAGTGCTCGACTTCGAGGAGACAGATACCTCCAAGCACAGCCAGGCCTCCATTTCACGAAGCCCACTCACCGTATGGATCATTATACACAGGACCTATAGAGGGTAGACTCGAAGAACATGGGATATCCTGCCAAATCTGAGAAACTGTATACAGTGGCTGACCACAACAAAGAACCCTCGCCATTATCTCTTTCACACATTTGAAGTACACTGACCGATGACACTGACCGATGAAAGCCAGAGCACTCCACCATCAAACATCTTCTTAATATCCGCCACCCAAGCCACAGCACAATCGGCATGGCCATATTGAACAGCATATGAAAGGGCACCGTCCACAAAACTGTATACAGGAACTTGGGCGCCATGACGGTCCAAACCACGGCCTCGTCACTAAGCAGGTAGCATGCTCCCATCGCGCCAAGAAGACCATACGCCACAAAGACTGTCCGAAGTCCCAGGTGCTCGCAAATGCCACTATGACCACTGTGTTCTCCCTGCCCGGTCGCGCCCAACAATCATAATCCATTCCCACTCTACCAGATCGGACCAGCGTAATTGCTGCAGAAGGTATGCACGGGACTGAGCAGCCAGTGGTGGGCTTGAAGTCCGTTGAAACCCTCGGTGTATCGGAGCGCTGCGATCGTGTTCGCGTTCGCGTTGCCGAAGGCGAAGAATGCGCTGTGGGTGAACAGGACGATGGAGAAGCAAAGTTGAAAGGAGCTGAGGTTGGCAGCCGAAGACACTGTATGATATGAAGACGGGGTCAGAGACATGTGTGTCAGGGAGATTACATTCGCCTCGGGACAACGCCGATACGCACCGATCCACTCGAGCTGAATTCGGTAGATCAGAAGAAGCGGGATATTGCCGGGGATAGTCTGCATGAACAAGTACAGCTTCAGGACTTCAAGTAGAGCGGGGAGTTCGGCCGCTGGAAGAGGGCCAGTATTAGCGGCAGTCCCAACAATCGCCGATAGGGCAAAATGCCCCTGTCAACTCACCATTTACGCTCTTCAGCGACGCTTCTTGGGCGCAAGAGCGCAGGACCACGTAGCCGCTCCCTACAGCTAGACTAACGAAAATCAATTGAGCCATCCGCGTTAGGGGAAGCTGCTCCAGAATAATGCCCTGCAGCCATTCAGGAGCGCGGTCGATGAGACCCGGGCCAGCCCGGGCTGCAGAGGCGAACTTGAACAAAAAGACGGCCAGGAGTATTGCTCGGTGAGCGAATACAAGAAGTGGTTTTTCTCGAGCGTCACGAGTGACATTCCTCCTACGGTGCATTGTGAATGTGTAGGAGGTGTGGAGGAGGGTCACTGCAATCAGAAACCAAAGACAAAGGGGACGTCCGTCGAAGAGATTTTGGATGCTGTATATTTTCTCGGCTGCGTCCCGATCATGGATATTCCACCGCTGCGACAGTATATGCAAGAGAAGGGTGGTGCAATTACCGAGGCCTAGCATGTAGGAAGAGCGGCCGGTAGTGAAGACTACCCAGCCCATCCATACAGTAGAACCCCAGAACCAAAAGAGATGCTCTTTCTCCACGGGAGATGGAAACAGTAAAGTAAGGCCGTGGCCCAGATGAAACAGATTCACGACTAAGAAGTTCTTGCTCGGCGGAGGAATTGACTTGCAACCCAGGCAAGCACTAGTGCGATCACGGCAATGGCAATGCCATAGTGGAGAAGAGAGACTTGCATGTTTCCGGCAGTCGCATCTTTTAGTTTATTCTGAAGCTCTTTGCTCACCTAAAACGTCTCTCAGTTGTATCAGTCATGCATGTTGCGCGTCTGCCACCGGGGAATAGATTTGTTACCAGAGAAAGCTCTCCTAGGCTCCTTTCTTTGAGAGACTCGTGTGGTACACCATGCCAGTCAAGGTTGATGTCGCAAGCAGCCATCCCGGTATCAGGTTCGCAAGATAACGCTCGAAGATGCTCGAGATTCTCAAGAACAAGATTGACTTGATCCGTGGAGTCCCTCCACAGATCAAGAAGTTGGGGAATGAAGACCCCAATGCTAGCGGAAGGTATAGGAACACCCAGCAACCCTGCCATGGTAGGTACAATATCGACCTGCTGCATGACAGTGTAGTAGTCAAAGGCACCAGCGGTGGGTACTGCAGGTGATTCATAGCTTCGATTGAGCGACTTGAAATGGGGCGAGATGAACATCATTGCGGCCGACACTTCAGGGTCCGAGGCACCGCCATGACCCCCCCACCAATCCATCCCATGGTCGCCTCCAACCACGAAAAGTGTCGAGTCCAGATGAGCCTCCGTCTCGAGAGCTTCATAGGTCTCTCGAATGATAGCATCCATCTGACGTTGCTTGGGTGCCATGAATTCACTGTCCGCGCCACCCATATGGCCGACGTGGTCAATGCCGGGAAAGTGAAGGACCAGTGCGCTCCAGTCATCTCGCTGAAGCTCCATCATGGCATTGGCGGACACGTTCAGGTCTGGTGAATCAATGTCCTGTGCGGGTTTCAGCGATCTACCAGTCATTCGATGTGTCCTTTCCCTCTGGCGTTCAGCGGAAGAAGAGGTGGGCTCTTGGGCCTTCGAGACTCACTGGGACGAATAACGGCGAGATAGGACACCCTCGGTCAAAGACCTCGGGAAATAGCTGTACCCACGTGTCGTCGTCGTAGAAGAGCAGGCTTCCCCTTCCAGCAGCTTTCAGGTGCCCCAACCACGTATCTGTAGATTCGGGCGTGCCGGGTCCGTCATCAGCGTTGTGAAAGACGTCCAAGAACATGGAGGCTGAGACGACAGTCATCGCCTTTATACATGCCCTAGTCAGACTTGGCGAGCCCGTTTTCATAGTAAAAGGCATGGCTGCGCCGGAGCGGATTAGACTTGGGTATCATATCAGCTCCGGTGGTTTACGGATTCGGCGACGGATCATTACATACCTTTGCGTGAATTCGAACTGAGAATGTGGGCTGTAAACAAGGTCACTGTATCCTTTTGGCTTAGTATCAGGTGTTAGGGTCGAAAGTAGTCGCTGGCATCTGTTTCGAAACCCACCTGCGGAGCGCATCAATCATCGAAAACACCACTTTCTCGAAGGGGGCTTCTTGGTCAAAAGGGCGCCTGTCTAGCGGTACTTTTTTTGCCTATGAGGGGGGCATGGGCCGCAAAAATCCCATGGTGAACACAATAGCAGACGCAATTATCAGTCCATTGGCGAGGAGGAGAAGAGCTCCACGGGAACGCCAGCCCATCGCGTCAAACAGACTCAAAGGAGCAAGAGACAATAGACAACTACGGTGATGCTGATAGGTGATCTTCAGAGTCGAATGCTTCTACAATTCGATCTTTCTGAGTGGGAAGCTGTATATTCATTGGTGTTGACTATCGGCATGACCGACATGTAAACCGAGCATACGGAGTGCTGCGTCAAAGCTTTCCTGAGGGCTCGAGAGCTTGATATGCTCAACCAAAACATTGGGAAATTCGTGAAGAGCGAGTTACTAAGTAGTTACAACACCGGACACCGTAGTGAAAACTGTTCCTGGCGGAAAACATGAGTTCTGATGGCTCTCATTCTGCAGTACTTCTCATAATATGACCTATCTGGCACAATACGAGCATTGGGTGAATGCGGTAAATGAGCCGTTGATCCCCGCCATCTACGATCTGATGAAAAGTTCTCTCCCTACTCCGTACAGCTTTCCATCTAGTCGAGTTTCTGTTCATCAATACAGGGGCTGCTGTACGTCTTGTGCTCCGCAGCGTACTACGTCGTCCAGTTTCCACCTCGGTGGGACAGGGTTTCCATCCGACAACGGCTTAGTTATACTGCGCAGCCCACCCCCAACGCCACTGGAAAACTTCAACCTTAGAATGTCTCCAATCTCATCGCACGCTGCCAAGACACGGTTGAGGTCCTCCAGATTATGCGCCGCAGAAACACAAAATCGCACTCGACACAGCTCGAGCGGAACGGCGGGGAACGGAACCACCACCACCGAGATCCCGCGGGCGAGCATCATCTGTGAGAACGCGGGCATCTTGCCTGGATTATACAGTATCAACGGAATGACTGGGGAGTCGTCGTTCCCATAGACGATGAGCCCAAGTCGCTTGAGACCGAGGCGCAGGTAACGAGAATTGAAGGCCAGGCGCTGCAATCGTTCTTCCTTCTGACCCGGCAGTAGCTCACCAGTCAGAATCCGAAACGAAGCGGAGATCTGCGCCAACAGAGCTGGGGCTATGGCTTCACTGTACAGCACGCCCGCATTCACAGCGCGGAGCTTGCGCACGGTCTCTCCATCCGCTGCGATATATCCTCCGATGGCGCCAAATGATTTTGTCAAATTTCCCATTAGGATGTCTACCTCCCTCGGATCAATGCCAAAGTAGTCGCAGGGAATGCGCCTCATCTACAAACAGGTGGAATGTGTACCCCCGCTTCAACGCCGTGATGTCTGGAAGGTTGCAGAAGGTTCCCTCCATCAAATATAGACCTTTAAATGAAAAACAATTTGAATTGAAGGATAATTCAATTTACCTTTAGGTCGACCACGACCAGAATCTTCCTCCAGGGACGATAGCCACCACTGCTGCCGGGATCGGTCGTGGTGGCGGGCTGTCCCTGTGAGATAGCCTCCCGCAACCTCTCCTCCAGGGCCTGCATGTTGTTTTGTCAGGACGTCACGATCGATGCGCCGAAAAGGCGAGCCCCGAACCGTAGGGAGGCATGGTTGAGCTCATCTGAGAGAATGAGGCAGCCCGGCCCAACCAATGCAGGGAAGATGGTTGCGTTGGTGTGCCAAACCGCGCGGAAAAGACGATGGACGCTTCCTTGCGCACGAACCCGGCCACCAGCTGCTCGACCTCGATGTGGAGATCCAGACCCCCGATATCAGCCCGGGCGCCGCCTGCGCTGACGCCATACGGGCGAATCGTCGCTTCGACCTGATCCGCGCATGTCCCCTTGAACTGAGCAAAACCCAGGTAATTATAGGATCCCAGGTTCAGGGTCTGGATGCGCGCACCGAGATTGCCCACGCCTGTTGCGTGGCAGTATGGAAACATATCACGTTCTTCCTTCCTGTGCAGGAGATTGTAAAGTCCTTGCATCGAGATGAATATCCTCCAACCACCTTTTCTCGGCAACATTTGGGAGCATTTGGAATCCTCAAGTAGCGATCTAATTACCAAACATCAGCCTGATTGAATAGAACCTTGAAGTGTTGAAATTATCTTACGCAATATGAAAGGAGTGAAACATAAATAGCTTGCTCCGTTGTAGCGCACTTTGCGACGCGATACAACATCATTCAAGGCCCGCATGATTTCCTCCTCCATGGGGGTACCTCGGTCAAGATGGTGGATTTGCAAGACGTCGATGTAGGTACCTAGCCATTCCACACTTCGTTCGTCAGCGTCAAAAATATGTTTCCGGGATAGACCTGTGGAGGCCCGGCCTTCTATTGGCTGGGCAACTTACCATCTTCGGCCGGCAATTAGATAGATATTTAAATAGCTAGAATTTATCTCTTTTTATACTCTTCTTAGATTATAGGATTTTTTTGTTTATTATTTTTTGAAGTATTAATTCCATTAATATTTTATTAAGAAATCTTCTATTTATTAAAATTATATTATCTATAATATTTTTTTTACTTTTTCTAATTTTTAGATTCTTATATATATTAAGTAAGTATTATAGCCAGCTGAGTAATAGTCTAAATACTTTTAATATGTATTAAATATAAAAAATTACAAAATTAGAGATAAAAATGTTATTAGAGTGGCTAGTATCATGGTACAGATCTAATACACCTATTCTATCTGTCTGATCTATTTTATTTTTTTAATTTTTATAATCTTACTGCTTTTTCTAACTGTTTTATATATAATATATAGAACTTCTTAATCTTTTATTTATTTCTAGTTCTATTTATAGCTCTTTAAGCTATATCTTATTTATAAATCTAAAAATAATCTAATCTAGTAGCTAGTAAAAAATCTAAAAAACTAGTTATAAAAAATTATTTAATTAGAATTATTATTTTTATTATTTAGCTTAACTAAGACTAAACACCAGTCTGCTTTTTAATATTATATAGCTTCTATTCTTAGAAATAATAATTTAATAAGATACTAGTAATCTTATAACCTCCGGCTGTACTAAATAATTTAAAAGAATTCGTCTAATATCTTAATAAATATTTTAAAAATAGTATTATTACTATAATTAGATCTATATATATATTATAAAAATCTAAAATCAACTAGCTATTTAAGAGATGCTTCTAATTATTTAAACCAAATAATTTTAATAAAAAAAGATACTTTTAATTAGAGTGGCTTAATCTGACTGTTATATCTTAATCTTAATCTAATTATAACTGTACAGCCAGATTAAGATATGAAAAATTTTTAATTATATAATTAAAATTACATTAAAATATAACTATTATTTTAATTATTTATATTTATTAATTAGAAAAATCAGATATAGCAGATAGATTATTAATTATAGATTAATTAATAATATATATATTATTTTTATATATATTATATATAAAATATAATAAATTCTTAATTATAATATAATAATATTTTTGAAATTTAACTAATTTATTTTATCTATTTTATCTATTTTTTTTAAAAATATATTATACTTTGTAAAATACTTTTGTAAAATCTAATATGAAAAAATAATATTTAATATTAAATTAATAAATTAATAATTTTGTACTACTTTTTATACTGTTTAGAATAATAATTATAATTTTTATTAAAAACCAGACTTTTTATATTTTTTAAACCAGATTTATAATTTTATTTATAAAAACTAAACTTTTTATATTCTTTAAACCGGATTTATAGTTTTATTTTTAAAAATAAGACTTTTTATATTCTTAAAACTAAGTTTATAATTTTATTTATAAAAACCATATTTTTTATATTTTTTAAACTAGTTTTACACTTTTATTTAGGAAATTAGATTTTTTATATTCTCCGAACCAAATCTATAGTATTATTTATAAAAATTAAACTTTATTTTATTAACCTAATCTATTATAAAATAAATAAAAAATATTCTATTTTTATTAAAATCTACTATTATTAATATTTGTAGTATAGTCTTTTTATATAATTTTAATAATATATTTATTTTATATTATTTTTTATATTATTTAAGATAATAATTATATTAATATCAAAATTATAAAAACTAGATTTTTATTTTTATTCAAATATATATAATATTTAAAAATTCTGGTAGGTCCAGTTCTTTTAATTTTAGTAATAATCTATTTTTAGAATTATTTTCAAAATTATTTATGTTTTTATTTTTATTAATATAAAAAATATTAATTATTGTATTCTTTTTTTATTCTTCTAGTATAAAAATAATTAAATCTAAATTGAAATTATTAAAAATATTCTTATATTTTTTACTAACTATAAAGTAATTAATATATATTTAAAACATAATTATTTTAATTATATTAAAATAAAATCAGCTTTAACAATAATAATAAATATTTTAAAGGTTATTAAATAAATATTTAATACTAATATTATTAATTATGATTAAAAAAATCTTTAACTCTTTAATAAAAAATAAAAAACTAATCTTAATAAAACTTCTAATAGATAAAAATATTAATATAAATTAGAATATTTTATAATATTTAAAATAAGATTAACATAACTTAAAATATTTTATGAAATTATTTATTTTTAATATTTAAATATATTTTTAGTTTTTTAAATATTTTTATTATAGATTAGAGTCTTTGATATTTAAAAATATTATAAAAAATTTTATTTAAATCTAATAAAAAGCTAAAGATTATTAATAATATATTAATAATTAAATTTTAATTATAATAAAAATATAATAATTTTTTAAAATAAGTTTAGTACTTCTTATACCAGTTAATATTATTATTTCATTATAAATTTTTTAAATTTTTTAAATTTTAACATTAAATTAAAAATAACTATAATAATATAAATATAGTTTTTTATTTAATAGATATAATAATAGTATTTTTAAAGTTTTTAGTATATATTTTATAAAGTTTTTAAATTTTTTTTTAGAATATCTGTTTTTATACTAGTTAATTAATTAAATAATCTAAATAATTAAAAAAATTGTTAGAAGTATTATACACTTTTATAAATAATAGGTCTATTATTTTCAAATAAATAGAATATAAAAAAATATAAAAACTTAAAAAAATATTCTATCTATTTTTATTTAATTATAATAAAATAAAAATAATAAATATTATTATAATTATAGTACTAAATAAAGCTTTAAATGAGTTAATAAAATTTAAATATTTAATAAATTATAAAATAAAATAAATTTTAATAAATTTTATAATTAAAAAAATAAAAAACTAAACTAGATTTAAATTATTAAATAAGCTAAAAGTTTTTATAATATTAAAACCTTATATTTATAAATTATATAATTTTCCGAATCTAAATCTAAAAATTAGTATAATTAATAAAAAGATTTTAAAAATTATTTATAAAAGATTTATATAAATAATTTTTAAAAATAATTTATATTAGTTTTTTATTAACAGCTTCTAAAATTAGAAGTTATTTATATTAGTTTTTTATACATAGTTTCTAAAATATATTTTTTTAAAAATTTTAAAAATATTAAAAAAAGCTTTAAAATCTTTATTATTGTTTCTTTATATATATTTAATAATATTATCTAAGATTTTAATCTCGAGTTTTTATAGTAGATTATTAACTATAAACTAAATTATATAAATAAAATAAAAAATATAATATTAGTTTTAAATAATCTTTAAAAACTTAAAATTAATTAAAATATTATAAAGCTAAGTATTCTAACTAAACTAAATCTAAAATTTAAATAAGATTATATTAAATATTAAACTATTATTACTAATATTATTAATTATTATATTTAATAATTAATAGAAAAGATTATATTTATATAAAACTAATAAAATAATTATAATTAGATTTTTATTAGTATAAAATTGAAATATTAATGAAAGATTTAATAAAATTTTATAATAATTTATATCTTTTATTCAAAAATATTTAATTAAAATAAAAAAATATTGTTTAATTAGAGCTGGTTTAGTTGTTTATCATATTTAATATATATTTTATATCTAAAAGTTTTAATAATAACTATATATATATTTCTTTAAATAATTGTAAAAAATATTCTCTAATCTATACTTAATCAAAAGAATTTAGCTTTTAGTAAAAAAATGAAATAATTAAATTAATTCATTATTTAAATTAATTGTATTTAATTAATTAAAAAAATAGATAATAAATAATTATAAAATATAAAATTTAATTTTACAAACTTTATTTATTCCAGACTATAGAAGTATAAAAGAAAATAAAAATTAAAAGAAATTTATTTTTTAAAAAAAAAAGTTTTTATAATAATTTTATATTTAATATTTAAATAATTATTTATTTAGATATAATTTATAATATTTTTTATAATTTTTATAAAAATATTAACTTATAAAACTACTTTCTAAGTTTGTAAATTTAAATATTATAAAATTTAAAATATACTTCATAATAAATGTAATAAATTTTATTAAAAAATAATATATTTTTTTAAAAATTATTTTATATTATTAATAATTTTTTTTAAAGATAAATAGTAGTTTCCAAGTATATGTTATACTATACCTACCACTACAGCAGCCTATATCTACTATTATATTAGTCCGCTTAGAGATTAATATAGATTTATTAAATTTTTATTCTAAATATTTATATTATTATATTATTTATTGATTTTTTTATATAATATATTATTTTAAGATTTTTTTAAAAAGAAGATTTCTTAAGAATTAGTTTTAAAATTAATAAAAAACTATTTTCAATTATTTTATGTATTCTATTTAACCAGTATATCTATTATATTATATAATGTCTAATAATTTCTAATTTTTATTTCGTTATCTAAAAAAAAGTAATATATTATTTAATAAATTTTTACTAAAATTATTCTAAAATGTTTTATTTATTTTTAAATTATATTATTTAATCTAGATAGATATTTAAAAAGTATAAGCTATTATTTATTAATTAAAATAATTAAAATAATTAATAAAATAGATTTAAATATTATAAACAGAATCCAAAAATATTAAATTTTGAATAGAATTATATCAATATTATACTAATTTAATTTTATCTTCTAAATATAAAAAAAGAAATTAAATTTAAAAAAAATCTTATTTTTTAGTTTAATTTATAATATAACAGAAAATAAAATAGATTTATAATTTATAATATATTTTTAAAAAAGCGTTTTAAAA